ATCGACATAAATCGAATTTATTATCTGTAAAAGTGGACGGTGTTTTTACTTTGATCCCCTGACGCTATTCGGTCGGAAGGTCTTTTGTCCCACTCTGGTTTTGAGTTTTGCAATTTTCTGGTTCTTTTTTATAAAAAAATGAGAGAAATGACTTCACTAAACTCAATCTTTCGGCCCTGGCCGAAAGTTCTTTTTAATTTAAGAAAAAAACACACCTGTGCCATTCTCCTGCATTGCCTCACAACAACAAAACCAATAATCAAAGAAAAACAAAAACTACCAAAAAGTAACAAAACCCAACCAAAAATATAAGAATAAAAAATAATTTTAATTGGAAGTTGAAGTTGTTCTCTTGTTTTGGAGTCAATAATTGCACTTTCATTAATCCAAATAATTGGAACTATCAAATCACGCATATTACGAGTTATGCTGTTAAAAAATTTTTATTGTATGTAAATTTGAAGAAAATAAATTTTTTCACTTGACCGAGGTAAAATAATTTTTTCTTGAATATTTCTCAGATTTTTGCGCCCTAATCTAAAAAACTATTTCAGTAGTTAAGTGGGGAAATTTTTAAAAATAGGGTGAATGCTGTACGACTGAATTTTGTACGCCTCAAGACTGAAACGGTTCTAGAGTTTTTACTGCGAAAAAACTGCAGAATTTGACAGATAAGAAAAATTTTTTTTGAAGATTAAAAAAAAATTTTTTTTAAGAAACCTCAAATCTCCTCTAAGCATTCCCAAATTTAATTGAGATTTTTGTTGTACCCCAACAACAACACCCGTAATCGGTTCAATATCAAAATAAGAATAATCGTTTTTAATTGAAGGTAAATTCATTCCTTCAAGTAAAAGAGCTGAAGGAGCATTCAAAAAATGAGAATTGGACCATAAAATGCGTGGTTGGCCTGGCAGGCAAGTTGACATATCGAGTAATCCTGAAGGGGCACATCCACCTATTTTAAAAAAAAGGAAAATTATTAAAAGCAAAGTCTAGCGGAAAATTTTTTAAAAATGGTTTGCTTTCTAAATTTGTTTAAAAAAAGTTTTTTTGCTAATTTACTTAAATTCTTTAATGTTAGAATAAAATTTAAATTCAACAAACTTTTTTGAATTGAGCTATTGTGGAAGTAATCAGCAGCATTTGGATTACAGAATCCTTGTATTTGTTGCGTTTCAACATCCAAAAAATTTTTAGGTTGTGAATAACGAAAAACAGGAATTCCAGAAGTGAAGGCTGTGCTTTGCTTTTCTATGTTGAATGATCTAAAATTGAAAGAATAAATTTTTTGTCAAAAATAAATTTGCAGACATTTTTCTAATTTTACGGATTTTGAAATTTTCCTTAAAAATCTTCTATAAATTCAAGAATTATTAAATATCCCAAAAAACTATCAAAATTTATTTTTAATAAATGTCATTTTAAAAAATTAAAAAAAAACATATTTTTAAATAAAAAAATCAAACCTGCAAAGCTGTCCGATAAATCTGCAAAAAAATTAATTTAAATTTTTAAAACAAAAATTATATTTTTTACATTTCCAGTTTTTCACTGTTATAAAGGCTTGGTTTAAAAAGTTCAGCATCTAAAAATTAAAAAAACTTCTTAGAAACAAATATAGGTGAACCTCACTGTAAAATACCCTCGGACTAAAAATAATAACTTATGAAGATGTACCGTAAATGCTTAAATAATGTCCCCCCCCCCTCCCTTTTAATTATCCCATCCAACGGGAGGTTGAAACAATAATTACTCTGGGTAACACTATTTCCTTAAATTCAAAGGGGGCGCGGGTCCAAATCCTTCCTATGCAAAATTAATCTTTCTAATAAATTAGAAAAAAAAACCTGTTCCATTAATCATTCTAGCCTGTTCTCTATACCAACTATTATTTTTCAATTTTCCTTTCAATCCATTCCAAGAATATACTTTATCTAATAAATTAATATCGTGTAAACCGGTGTCAACCTTTAAAAACGGAAAAGAAATAAATTTAACAAAAAAAATTTTTAAACCTCGTAAAGTCCATCGTCTGTTCCGTTTTGCTGAAAAATAAAAAATTAATTTTTAAAAATTTAAACATTATTTAAAAAATAAAATTATTATCCGTGAAAAAATATAAAAAAATCCCCCAAATCTGGGAAACCTCCAAAAATCGAAACACGAAAAAAAAAATTAGAAAAGTTCCAGACGGGAAAAAATTATTAATAAGTAAAAACCCTAAATTCGGAAAACCCTCAAAAAGTCGGAATCGAAAAAAATTTGAAAATTTTTAAAAAAACATCAAAAGCACCATTAAAATGTTTATTTTCCATCATTTAATATCAAACCCACCACAAAAAAATAAACACTTTCATTCAAAACCCCGGTCACTACACTCTCAATCACAAACTCTCCCATGTATCAAAGATATTTTAATTAATTAAACTTACCCCATAAAATAACCCAATCCTTTCAGGAACATTTAAAACTTTACAAATTGTCGGAACCAGAGAACAAACATTTTTAATTAATTCATCTTCATATCCATCAAATAACAATTCGGCTGCTGTTACATTAATAAATATTTTCTCCTTATTTCGAATGAGGAATTCGATTGTTTTTCTAATTGGATATGATAGTCCAGTTGTTATATCGACTATTTTCTTAAAAAAAAGTTTGTTTTCAGAATTATTAAAGGGGAAAATTTAACCCCCTTTATTATTAAAAGGGGGGAGGGGGGTAAATCTAACCGATTTTGGTATCACCCAGCTCGAAGAGCTCATAAGCAAAAAAGCTCTGGTTTGTCGCAAACTAATCTCTTAAAATAATTTTTTTCCATTTTGTATAATTTGTAACAAATTCTCTGAGCTTTCGTAAGTAACAACCAATATCCCAAATATACTGACTTTTCAAAAGATTATAGGTCTGCGACTAACAATAAGATAGTCGTATAAATTAACTATACCATTTTTTAATATTTTTACCGAAAAAATCCCAGACTTATTCAAAAATAATAAACAAAAAAAACCTGAAAAAGTATATTCGGAACAAAAACTCGATCAGACAAACTACAATTAGCACACGATTCATTAGCATTGAAAAAATAACTTTTTTGGTTACGAAAGAATAAACGAGTGTCATTTGAAGAAAAGTTAACGTCTGTTTTGTGCAGTAAAACACTTGAAAAAATTATAAAATTAATTTAAAAAATTAAATTTAGAGGAATTTTTTTAGGGAACACACCTTTTTCTTTGCTTCACTCGGGAAGTAGGAAATGGGTAATTCATGGTACATAAATAGGACTGTTATCTGTGGGGAGGAGGTAGCAAAAACAAGTAAAGTGTCGAAAAAACAAGAGGGGATAAATAATAAGTTGAGAAAAAATTTAAAAGAGAATAGATCTCGGAAAGCTAAAATCCCCTAAATTTAAATAAAAAATAAAATTTCAAAAAACCTAAAAGTATAAGGTCCTTTTTCTTCAAGAATCGGCCTTTTTCCTCTATTAATCACGTCATCAACATTTTGAGTTGAAAATGTCCAAATTTGAAGTTTAATGTCATAAGGAGGATCGCGGAAATTCTTCAAAACAATATTATCTGTCCCATTTTGTTCTCTTCCCAAAAACGTTTTCTAAAAAATTTAAAAGTTTAGAAATATAGTTGGTTGGACTTTGCTTAATATCTATGTCAGTAAAAAATTTCAAAAAATCCGGACGGGAATCAAACCTCCGACCTTTCAATAGCTAGCTAGAAGTTTACAGGTGCTCTTAAACTGCTGCTTGGATAACGGTCCGACTATCTTCTAGCAAAAGAACCCCCTCTTACCAGTATTTATTGTATTAAAAAATTTAAAAATAAACCTCTTTAACTTGACAGTCAATAAATTTCGGAACAAAAATAAACGCCAAAAATCCCAAAACAGCAGAAATAAGTCCAATAACAGCCAAAATAATAAATAAACAAAATCGCATTGAGCAAAAACCCATCTGCAAATTTAAATATATTTTTACTAAAGGGAAAGACGAAATTTCGTTTCAATCCGAAACAAAAAATTATTTCGTCTCGGATTGAAAAAAAAAATTTTCCCCAACACCCAGATACCTGAAAAATTTGTAAAAAATTAACTAAAAATATAAAATTTTTATTTTAAAGGAAATCCTTTTTTAATATGTAAACAAAAATGAGGCGAATTAAATTTAAAATTCATTCTCTTTCAATTAAAAAAATAATCACAATTTTTAAGAGCAACAAGTATAAAATTAAAAAAAAAAGTAAAAAGCATTTTAAAAAATGTTTATGAGAAATAAGAAAATGATTTAAGTAATAAAAATGTTTTAAAAAAGAAGAAATTAGTCATTCCTTTTATGACAAAGAAAATTTGTGTTGAGTTGTTGTTTATAATGTTTCATAAAAAATTAAGAATCGAACAAATAATTTAAAAAATAAAGTCTAAAAAATATACTGACATGAGTTCAAATATGTAAAAATTCTTTGCCGGAGACAAAAACTCGTAGAGATATATGTAGGCCCCTAGATTGAAAACCCATAGGGGAGGCAATCTGATTTTTGGGGTGAAAAATTCGATTTTTTTACCTTATAGCTCATTCGACTCGGCTCGACAAGCTCCATCAAATGAGCGACAAGCTCCTTCAAATAATATTTGCATACTCGAATTTCTGACCACTAATCACACCTATGAGGTTTCAATGCGCGTGGGCCTGTAACTCGGCCCTACCAAGTCAGATCACGTTGATTTTTGTACCATTCGACTCACATCAGCTTAAAATGAATTTTTCACTCCTAAAATTATGGTTTTTCAATTTTCAGGAGCCTACATCTCTGTAAGTTTTCGTCTTCCAGATAAAAGGAACTCAGCTTCTCGAAAGGAATTGATCGCCCACGTAATATAACCCTCCACTAATTTGCTGTTTTCAAATAAGATCTAAAAAACTAAAAGTCTATTTTTTTGAGCGACAATACAAATGAAACAAGGCAATTAAAAATACTTAAAAAACGTCAAAAACTAGATTGGACAAATGTTTGATGGCCATTTGGAATAGCTAACGGAGTTGGGGAAATAATGGCACGTCCATTTGAAAGATGCCTTTTAGTGGATCTGCTACGACGACATTTCTAGAAAATAAATTTTTTTAAAATAATTACAAAACCTCATCATAAGTCCCTTAAAATTGAATCGTCTCTTATAATGAAGGCGTATCTTAAATAGCGAGTATCCCCGAAAGTAGCTTCCTCAAACATACAATTAGTGGAAAAACACATATAAAATATCATAAATAGAGGAGTTTCTATTCTTGAAGTCTTACATCAGTATAAGATACCCCTAAGATTAAAGCCCCTTAAAATAGATCGTATCTTATAATGAAAGCGTTTTTTACTGCCCAATTCCTATGTAACTTTTTACATTTAAAAAATGTTTTAAAAGAAAAACCCTGTAAAAAACAAAAGCCAAAACAGCAGATATCACCATTAAAGAAATAGCCATAAAACAGATTGAACCAACTTGAGCTGATTTTTCTACCAAAAGAAGTTTTGTTTTTATCAAATCGAGACTGTCATCATCCACATGAATCTTTAAAAGAAATTATTTTTTTAAATAATTTTAATTAAAAATCAAACATATTCATCAATTTCAAGCACAGGAACTACGCTGCTACGAAAATTGACAAGTTCACTTTAAAAAAATTTTTCAAAAATTAATTAAAAAGAAATTAAAAAATTTTTGGCGCTGGGTTAGTTTATATGTCCAATGGACTTTTATGCATCCACCGAACTTTTATTTTTATTGGACACATAAACTAGACCAGAGCCAAATTTTTTTTAAAAACCTCAAAGAAAGATTAGCTCCTTTCCACATAGATATACTTATCAAAAATCTTCGATGTGCTTGAATTATTGTACCCAATCTAGGCTCTACATCAATCTCAATTTGGTCACGTTCTTGAATTGGTGGGAATTGAATGCCTTCAATAGATTGCTGAACATAATTTGGAGAATAAAGAAAATTTGGTTGAGAAATAACAATTGGAGGCTCTCCTTTAAAAAATATTTAATTGTAAAAAAAATTATTCTCCTCTCATAAAGTTCCTGATTAGCTAGGAAATGCCAGAATACTCCAATCCATTTATAATACTACTTTAAGGTAAATACTATTTATTATAAGAAAACTAACCAATTTGACATCTACTAACATCCAACATTCCAACAGGTAAACAATCAGAATTTTGTTCTTTAAATATTCTCTTTCCTGTTTTTGATTTACAAAATCCCTTATTTGACGGCAAATTCCAATCCCAGGCATCTTTTGGCATTATAAAACGATAGAGAGGTACCCCAGCATATTCAACTTCTTTTTGAAAAACCAAATCGATTGTTCTTAAAATTAAAAAAAATTTTTAATTTAAGGAAAAAAACCTGCACAATTCAGCTACAAAAACTGGTATTACATCAGTTTTGCTTACATATGGAGGCATTAAAGTTCCATCGGTTCCTTCAATTCGAAGTGATTGTGGCGATTCCCACCAACTTTCAGGCTACAGGTTTAAACATTATTTTGTTCAATTCAGTGATGGCCTGTCGTTGCTTTTTTCTCAGGCCTTTTCATCTAACCAATCAACCCGAAACGCCGATCCAGTCTACCCAAATATGCGGCCCGTTCTGTGGACTTACCAAGGACGGACACAAGAGACTAGTTCGGATCTACGGGTAGACCAATCAGAGATTTAAAGATTTTAGAGTAGGATAGTTACTAAAATGAGAAAACCCAAACCACAATATTAGCTCGAAAAATGCCCAAGTCCTAAAACCTTCGTCAAAGCCAAAAATAATTTCCCACAAAAAAACTAATAATTAACCAAAGATGTCCCGTTGTTCCATGTAATTATTCTTCCCAAACTCTCTCCATTATCTTTGTGTCCATCTTCCACTTCAAAAACACCGGTTGACGTACCATTTTTCTATTTCATTAAAAATAGTTCAAAATTAATACAACAAAATAAAAACCTTATAAAAAAGCCCAATTCTGTCAGGCAATTCAAGTATTTGTTCACAAACAAAATTAACAAACGGCAACGAACAAACTTGATCAATAAAAGGGTCAGCATATCCGTCAAATATTAGTTCCCCAACTTCAACTTCCAAGAAAGGAGTTTGGACAAGTAAAGCAGCTATTGCCGGCTTGGAAATAAAAAAAAATAAAATTTTTGTGACCAAACATTTATTGACTAAGTGAAAGAAAATGTTCAGGTTTACATTTTGAAAGAGTTCATCTCGAAATATCAAAAACCCAAATTTTCGGTTAAAGACGATTCAGTATCGCCGATTCAGTATAGCCGATTCAGTATCCGCCGATTCAGTATATGGCCATAACTTTCCTGATATTCGACCGATTCGAATAATTCTCATATCATTCGAAAGGTCTCGAGATTCGACATCTTTTTCATAATTGGCCCGATCAGATCTGATGATCACAAAAAAAGTTACAGCGTGAAAACCGATTTTTTATGCCTGCAAAGTCGTTTATCAGTGATAACTTTTCGTAGAGTGATCAGATCAGGTTAGTCCAATTGTGAAAAAGATGCAGCACCCCGAGGCCTATCAAATCATATATAATAATTCCTACAATATTGATCGAGCAAAAAGTTATGGCCAAAAAGCCCAAATACTGAATCGGCCAATACTGAATTGGCGATACTGAATCGGCGATACTGAATCGTCCCCTACCCCAAATTTTTCCTAAAAAAATTTTGGTCAGCTTTTTTAGCCAACTCACAAATCAGAGTCCGAATGAGCGGCAGGCAGACATTTGAGGACAGACATATGAGGACGGACATTTGAGGACAGACATATGAGGACGGACTTTTGAGGACAGACATATGAGGACGGACATTTGAGGACGGATTTTTGAGGACGGACATTTAAGGACGGACATTTGAGGATACAAAATTATATACAAATTGGCAAAATCTTAACAAAAAATGCCAAAAATTAATGAAATATTGAAATAAATTATGATTTATTTGTAACATAAAATGAAAAAGAGCTTAATTTTAGTAAAAAAAACTTTATTTTGCTTGAAACCAGAGAAAATCGTCATTTCAGGACAGAAAATAAGGAAAAGGTATCTTGTGCAATTTCAGATGGACATAAGACATTTTGGGAATGCTTAGTGGATTTTGAGTTTTTTTCAGTGGAAGGTTTTGAGGGCTTATGTTCAGAGGGTGTTTCGAGGCATATTATGTTTATAGCTCGACGAATTGGGTATTTTACTCAATTGGACATTTTGAGATTAGGCAAAAGATAGATGTTTTAAGGGTTTGCTCATTTTCGGGTTTATTCATTGGGACATTTTTTCTTACTTTAAATAAGCTAGGATTTCCCCTTTTCAGCGCCGCAGGCGAAAATTTTGGAAATTTCTGAGGACAATCCCCAAATTTTTTCCACTTTTTTCTGAAAATTTATGAAAATTCACAAAATTTTGGCAAAAATTTGCAACAATATTGAAATAATTTGCAAAAAGTGCCAAATATTGAAATAACGGGAAAATTGGCTAATTTCGTAGTTATTTTTTATTTTTTCCATATATCCGTCCTCAAATGTCCGTCCTCATATGTCCGTCCTCATATGTCCGTCCTCATATATCCGTCCTCATATGTCTGTCCTCATATGTCCGTCCTCAAATGTCTCACCACCGAATGAGCAACCAGTTTTTGTTAGAAAATCAAACCTCATTATAAGATACCCCCCTCCCTCTATTTATAAGTAATACTGGGGGAAACCATTATAAGAGGCGATTTTTAAGCCCCAGGGGCCCTACGATTATATATTTTCAGCCCCCGATTATATAAGTTTTTACCCTCATAGCCGGTTTAGATGCTGCGTCAACAAACTTTTGATAAACCAAATTAGGTATCCATATTCTGTTGTAAAGTGAACATTCTTTACAGGAAGCTTCTTCCTGAAATTGAGAAATTTCATATAGAAAGACCAGTCTTTCTCCTTACATTAAATTTGTAGTATTGAAATGTCTCATAAATAACAGATCCATTCCCCCTTGAGTGAATTCTTCGTTTTTGTGTTTGATCAAAGACATAAGGGCCTAGTTTTGTTACATTTGGAATTGATCCTTTAGTGACTTTAAAAGAAATAAAAAATATTTGAAAGAAAACTCTACCTTCATCAGGGTTTTTAACTGAGAATGTGTACATATTTGAGCGATAAAAATATTGAGGGTTTGACCATTTGTCGAGCAATATTGTCCCTGTATCCAAATTAGATGTCTGAAATTTTTGGATAATTTTATTTTAGAATTTTAAAGTTGGGAGGGGGGGGGGGGGGGGTCGAGAGGCGCCGAAACTAATTTTAAAAAGCGGAAGCGAAACAACAAAAAAGACGAAACACTACAGACGAAACATGAAAATTAATTTAAAAATGTGAAAGGCGAAAGACGAAACTTCGAAGTAAGAAGGGAAATTCGAAGAATAAACTGGCACCCCTTAACGTTTAATTATAAAATATCTCCTTCCATCTAAACCCTCCTCACCTGTCTAATATTAAATTCAATCATTGTTTGAAGAAAAATAAAAGTTGCAAAAGAAATCACAAAAATAATTAAAGAAATTACGAAGGCAGAGAAAGTGAATAAATGCCATCTTTTAGTATTTTCAGGCAAATATTTATAAATTTTCTTTCCTTCCATTTAAAGAAAAAAATTTTTTGCTAAAAAATTTAAAAACGTAAAAGGGAGAAGAAAAAAAATTTTTTTTAAAGAACATCAATCAATTAATAAAAATAGGCGTGGGAGAAAAAGACCGCGCGAAAAATGATTGAATGAAAAAAGAGGAGAGGGAAATAAGGAAGGAAGAGAAAGAAACTTTCCGGAATTAATTATTTTTCCGGAACAAAATAATATTTAATTAATTCGTTTTCAGAATTTAGACAAATATTTAAGAAATATAAGAGATTTCAGAGAAATAAAGAAAATCCCTTCCGGAATGATTAAATATTAAAATTCTGAGGGTTTTCCGGAAAATATTTTAGAAATTCTGATTTCTTTCATTTAATAAAATTAATTCTGATTTTTCCCTTTCCGAAAAACAAATTAAAATAATTTCAGAATTTTTATTAGAACATCAATCAATCAATGAGGAAAGAATAAAAGGGAAGAAAAAGCGCGGATAAATGGAAGTGCGTGAAAAAAAAGAGAAAACGAGCAGAAAAATAAGAATAATTGGAAATATTTTTAAAAATAAATTGAATGTGCCCATGTATTGAGGGATTTTTATTTTATTTTTATTTAAAAGGGGAAAAAGTACGTAGAATTTATTTTGTCTTCTCTTCTACCCGGCCTCTTCAGAACTTGATTTAAAAATAAATTCTAAATTATTTATTGAATTTAATTAAGTAAAATGAGTAATTCTGCGCATAATTAATAAAAAAATAAAATCAAAAAAAATTTAGATTACGCTAAAATTACCGTGATTGAATAATTGTTGACGAAGTTACGATCAAAAATGAACTCCCATAGAGGTTCGCCTGTTTCGGATTTTAATGTAGGGGAGGTGGCAGAACGGAAAAGTTCCAAAATTTCGAAAAAAAAACCGAAAAATTTTTTTCGTAGCTAAAAATCTTTCCTTTTTTTAATTTTTAAAACATTTTTTTTTCAAATAATTTAAAAGGCCTCAAGTTCCACCCGCAATTTGTTTTTAAATTTTAACTGGTTTCCCGCGCATTTGATAGAAGAAATGGCCGTCATCGTTATATAAAAATACTTTCACACATTTACTATTTTACTATAGAAAATTGATTGGGCGTAAAAACTAATTTTTTTTTATTTTAAAATATTTTTTAAAAAATAAACAAAAAATTGTTCTAAAAATTAGGTCAGTTTAGGTAGGGAAAAGAATAATTAAAGAATTAAAGAACAGTTAAATTAAAGAACAGAGCAGGACGTTGTGAAGGTGGTTAACATTGTGGAATAGCAAAATAATTTTAAATTTACTCGAAATACATTGCAAATAATTTAAAAAAATTTTCTTTGATTATGGATCAAAAGATGTTTGGTTTTTGACAAAAATATTTTTTTCAAAAAATTCTTTATTTTTTAATTAAATAAAGTACAAAAATATTTAGTAAACACAATTAAAATCAAAATAAAATTTAAAAAGTTCTCACTCAAAAACAATAAAAAATGTAACAAAATAATTACAAGATTGTTGTTAATATTACGTAGTAAACATTAAAAATTTAAAAATATTTTTAACGTAAAGAAAGTATGTACTTTGCGGACTTTTTAATATAAAATTTAAAACAGAACTTGAAGAGATGGACGAAATTTTTTTTTAATTTTCATCTCAACGAGACAGAAATGAAAAAATAAATTTCATTTTTGCGAAACGAAAGCAAAACCAAACTTTTCGCCCCTCGATCTTGTTGTGTCCGCGCTTGCAGAAAGAACATAAATGAAAATAAATAACCCAACATCGGGTTGGATGGTGGCACAGTCGGTTGTGCTTCGGTCTGGGCTCATTCCTTGATGGTTCAATTCCATCTCCCATCCAAACAATTTTTCCACAGCATGAACATCGGACATGACAGATCTCAATAGATAAATCGGGATTTTAATAACCAAGACTCTTGAACAAGAGCTCGTCTCTAATTACAATTCATGGTTATTTACGGTTATATTTAGGGCTGTCGTTTTCGAGTCGAGCCGTTGTCGGGCTCGATATTTTTTCTAGCTTGGGTTTTTCGAGCTAAACAGCCTCGGCTCGCTCGATCTTTCGAGACTTGGGTCGAGCGAGCCGCCAACCATAGCTTTATTGTCTCACAATGTAGTAGCCAGCTTTCACTTTTCAAGTGGCCAATCACCTTTCTTACTAGAGTTGTCGATTTTTGGGAAAGCTTCGGATATCAGGAACCGAAAAATCCTCGGTTCGGTTCTAGAACAACACTCTCTTTCCCATTTATTAATTTTTAGCATCCTTGATAATTAAAAAAATTAATTTAAAATTGAAAATAAGTTTTTTAATCAAATTAAAAAAAAATTCCCAGATAAAAAATATTAATTATTACGCTTTATTATTGTTATTAAATACATATTAGGGATCGGATTTTTAGGAATCATTTTTGTTAAAATAAATAAACCTTAAATAATAATTCAAAATTTTTTATATAAGGACAAGAAAGGATGGGAAACAATGACAGAATAAAAAATTGTTAAATATTAACAAAAATATTCTGTGATTAATAATTTAAGAAAAATTCAAGAATATGTTAAAAATATAAAATTGTGATTCATAAAAATATCGGTATATTTTCTTGAATAATTACCCTAAGTTCGAGAAAAGGGTAATTATTAGAACTGTGCATATTTCCTCCAAAATAGCCATCCCTCTAAAATAAGCCCCCACTAGAGGAAATACGGCAAGGATTTTAACCAAAAATGTTGTAGTAGTTGGTTGCAACTTGAGAATGGACTGGGAGGGTCTTATAAGAAGCAAGGTTGATACCTTGAAAAATATCGATTTACAAGGACGAGATTTTCGTTTAAAATCTTTCCTTGACCGATCTCTAGTAGATAGTTTGAGAAGCAAGTTGAATTTAACAATTTTTTTCGTTTAAGGGACCTATTGTCATCCATTTTGGCATTGTAGCATGTATGTATTTAGATACTTATTCTGTTTTATAACTCATAAAAATCCGATCCCTAATTTAAAATAGTAGAAGGAAAACACGTATACATATATATCACAGTATTAAACAATAATAAAAGTGAAGAAAACAATAATACACATACGTGATGGGCAAAAATATTATTTAAAAAAAGAATATATTTATTTAAATAATTTTGCAAAAAAAGGGAAAAAATTTTCAAAAAAATTTTTATTTAGGTTCCCGAATAAATCTTTAGAGCCTACTGTTATGGAAAGAATGACTTTGAATAAAAATTAAATTAAATTCAAAAGCAGACCCAAGGAAACCAAAAAATCAGGTATTTCAGTTTCGCTATCTTTTTTTCGCAACGGACTTATAATGGTCAGACCTAGTATAAAGTTGGGTTTGTCGAAATTTACAAAAATAAAGTTTCAAGTTCTGATAATAATAAATACTATAAAGGAGGCCCAAAGTTAATTTTTCCCAAGTTTATTACTAAAAGTTTTTAAGTTTTCAAGTTTATTTTTTTAATGTATTCATTCAAGTTTGCCTTTCTCAGATTTAAAGTTTGCAAGTTTATTCTTCTCAAGTTTTCTAGTTTATAACCGGAAAAGTTTCAGGTTTTTAAATTTTTAATTAATTTTTAAATTTCCAAAGTTTTTAATTTTTCTCTTTTTGCATAAAAACAAAGTTGGAACGAATTTTTATGTGCTCTTATATAAAGAGATAAATAAATTGAAAGAAAAAAATAAGTTGGTAGGCAAAGAGTGCGGCAAAAAATAAAAGAAAGAAAAAAAAAGTTTTTATATTGTGCTTTTTATATTCTTTAAAAGGTTAGAAGAGTTTAAATAGAAAAAAATATTTTTATATAGGTAAAATTGGGCTTTAAAAAAACAATCGAACCTTATTTTTACGTACTCTTCTCTTGGAACATAAAAATTGTATATTATAATTACGTATATTTAATTTCAGAGGATGTCAACTCTTAAATGAAGGTATATCTAATATTGGAGGTATCTTATAGTGAAGTTCATCTAGTATTTAGTGTATGTTAAATCGAAGTGTAGTAAAATTGAGGTTCGACCATAACCATTTAAAACAAAAAATTTTGGCTCTACTCCAGTTTATGCGTCCAATCGACTTTTATGCGTCCAATGAAAGTTTATGCGTCCAATAAAAAGAAAATTGGATTTTTCTTGGTATTGCAAAGCTAGGGTATGGTTCATTAACATTTCTTCATGTTCGGGACCTACGCCCACTGGGCCTGGGACCATTTCTTACCCTATTCCTTTAAATTTCGGAAAGTTATAATTGTTTTTCCGAAATTTTTAAAAATCGGCTATAACTTTGCGAAATTTAAAGGAATAGGGTAAGGAACGGTCCCAGACCCAGTGGGCGTAGGCCCCGAACATGAAGAAATGTTGTGGAACCATACCATAGCTTTGCAATACCAAGAAAAATCCAATTTTCTTTTTATTGGACGCATAAACTTTCATTGGACACATAAAAGTCGATTGGACGCATAAACTGGAGTAGAGCCAAAATTTTTTAGGCCCAAACAAAAGTTAGGGAAAAAAACAATTTTATAGGTAGAAAAAAGAATGAAAGGAAAGAGATATAAGTAAAAATAAATATTTTGTGTATATTATTCGTTTCTGTATTAAAAATATATTTATTATGGAATGAAATTATATTAAGGAGCACCCCCGCTTTACCACAAAGGCATGTTAAATGCCTCGATTAATGTCAAAAACTAAAAACGTCCAAAACTTGGTCTTGAGGTCAATTTAAAAACGACCTATGTACATATTTGGTTAATTTTTAAAATAGGCTCAAAGATAGCCAAAGGTATAAAGCCAGTATATATAACCTCCACGGTAAGCGAGGGATATCCTCAAAATTATTATACTTTTGAAGAAATAAATTATAAATTATTTTTTAAAAAAAGCCAATAAATTGTGCATTATTCCTCACCTTTTCTCAAAGCCCCTTATTATTTTTAGCCTCCCCTTTGTATTCCTTAAAAGTCCAATGTTGATAAAGATTGGAAGTGTCACAATTATTCATTAACAATTTACTTGCATCTTTTCCCATTTCCAAACATTTTCCAGAAACTACATGCAATAATTGATGTTTCTAAAAAATATTTTTTTCTTAAATTTAGAAAATTAAGGAATTAAAGAATTTTGGTGTAAATGAAATTTTAATCACCAAAATATAAAAATTAGGGTTCAGAGATTTGTGAATCTAAAATAGCAAGTTAGTCTAAGCTAAGGAAGGAAGAGAAATCTAAAAAAGGAAGATAAAATATGCTTCAGATCAGAACTGTGCGAAAAACTCAAAAAAATTATACGACGAAACCAAACAAAAAATTATACAAAACGTTTCGCACTCTATTATGTACTTCGGGTCTACTAAAAAGAGGCGCGCTAAGCAGCGCTCAAGTCGGTCAGTAGGGCACCTCTACGTGCGGTGGTGGTGACGCTGTTATGAGTACACACCCCCAAGAAACAATTCCTATTCGAGCCTACCAATTTTTAAATAAAATAAAAAATTTTTTATTTTTTAAAACAAACATCATGATCGTAGCGCCATTCTTGATTTCCTTTCTACAAAAAAATTTTTTTAATTTTAAATTTATAAATAGAAAGGGGATTTTTATACAAATGCAAATTTTGATTAATGCATATTTTGATCAAAAATTTATTAAGATTCTGAGATAAATTTGAACCAGACAAGATAGCTGCGCTTAAATTTGCTCCCGTGACATAAATTAATCAAAAGCTAATAAATTTAAAATTTATGCGCATAAATTTTATTTTTCTTGCATATTTTCGTGCAAATTTTGCATTTTTAATGCAAAAAATCCCCTTTATACATATTTAAATAAAAGAGACCATGCTATGACAAGGAAAGATGATAACATCCTTTCCAGCATAATCAATACAAGACTCGTCTCTACGAATTTCTCCATCTTTACTTAGCATCCAATACTTAAAAAATAAAATTGTGAGTTTAGTTGAAAATTAAATAATAAATAAGGTGTGGGGTTCTACACGAATCGATCGAGAAATGAATCTGCAAAATTTATGATTTAGTCTCGGAACTGATCATCCTTACTAGGGTCGAGGTTTCAAATTTTTCTTTAAATTGATTTCGTGTCAGAAGTCGAGGGATTCGGGTAATCTTTTTACTTAAACTTTCCAATTTTTTTAAAAAACCTCTCATCACTCTCGTAGCAAAAGCTTTATATAAACACTTGCCTTTTTTACTAATACTTTCCAAAAACAACAACAAAAAACCTGATTTCCCCCTTGATTATGACACCAATAAAGTCCCAATTTTCGAGTATGTCGTCTTTTATTTGCCCAATCGAGACATATTTTTGAACCTCCTCCAGCACACCGAACCTAATTTTATTTTTTTCAAATTATTCAACAAATTCTCCAAAAATATTTTTTAAAAAGCAAGCGACGAATATAAAGCTTTTGCTATCCACCAGCATTTTTTTAAATAAAAGAATTTTTCCCAAGCAAATATTTTCAATTAATTGACACACTCTTCTAACTCTCCTCCACACAATAAGATATACTAGAGACCAGTCTGGAGGTTCAAAGAGAAATATGTATTTTGGAGAAAAATCTCAATTATGGTGTGGTTTGCGTCTTACAACAGGAGACTCTCTCTCTCATATCAATAAGGAGGAGATACGCAAATCGACTTTTTTAAAGTAACCCTACCATAAGCCAGACCTCACTACTTAAAGACATTAACAACTCCCTCCCTCTTTCTCTCTGTTTTTTTACCTGATTCCCTCCTTGCTCATGGCAAGGATAAGGCACAACAGGTTTATCTCCGGCATCCTCCCCAACAGCAGAATCAACACAAGATTGAGGAGGATTACCCCCACCACCTTCCAAGGCACTATTACCAACCCCATTTCGAATCTGAAAAAATACAAAAAAATACAAACTTGATTCCCGCCTTGATTATGACAAGGCCATAAATTTATTGGCTTGTCCTTCTCGTGTCTTCCTATCGCACAATCGAGGCAACGCGCATTGTTTTCTATTGCGGCATTTCGAACCTAGAAAAATAAAAAGCTAAAAATAAATGAAGCCTCGACTGTGAATTTTTTAAAAAATTTGAAGCAAAAATTTGTTTTTTTTTCAAAATATCAGAAATATTAAAAAAAAGCCTGCAAATTAGCTCTAAAATCAGCAAAAAAAAAACTACAAAACACCAAAAGCTGGCAAAAACACGAAAACTTATTTCTAAGAAAACTCGAGAAGAATTCAAGCAAAAAAACAATTTTAAGCGCAAAGCATTAGAAAATTTTTTTTAAATTTATATAAAAAACAGACCTCTCCTTTGGCAATAGCTTCACCAGGAATAAATAATTCTGGGAAAATGTTGTCCAAATACCATTTGAATGTTTTACATTGTAATTTCTAAAAAGAAAAAAGAAAAGAAAATAGAAATATTATTTTAAAAAATATAAATGGATTAGAAACGAAGCCTCGAAAGAATTTTTGCAGATCCGAACCTTGGACAGATTCGAATATCCGAAAAATACCTGGAAGTTTCGGACCGGATATCTCGCGATTTCCGAGAGGATTTCCCCACTCTGTACACCACGCATGTTTTCCTGATTTTGGTAACCAATTATAGAGACAAGGGTTTCCAATTAGAATCGTTCAACTGTTTCAGATTTCTGGGGCTAGTTTACATAATCTTTAAAAGAACAGAGACAATTGAACCTATATGTGGTGAGCGAAACGATCAAGAAATTACAAAGAGGTTTCAGATTCGATTATTACCTGGACACTAAACCTAATTTACATTAGTTTCTTACCTAAAATCTCAATCTAACTCAATTCCTCCCTTCCCCAAAAAATTAAATTTTAAATTAAAAAAAACCTCTCTAAGTTGTTTCCGACTAGAAATATCTCCAAAATCACCCAATTGATTATTAATCCTTTCATAATAATATTCTTTATATTCATCTAACCAAACTTCTGCCAATCTTATAGAATTTCTTTTAAGGACATTTACTCCCGTTCTCCATTTATAAGGTGATCGTTTTCTAAAAATGTGTCCAACATGTGAACATGGAACAATTTCAAGACGTCCACCACACATCCAAATCTTTTAAATTATTTTTTATTTAAATATTTTTTAAAGACACAATCAAACTTTACTATAAAATTACCCTTGGAAAGAATGTGTATATTAAATAGAGGGTATAGCTTTGGCAGCACCTCTAAACAATGGTTATCGTAAATTGAGGTATATACATATAATATTGAGAATTTATCTTATAGTGAGGTTTGAATGCATAGGTAGGTAAGCTAGAGATCGGACCAATATCCATTTCGGATCTCGATTGACATCAGAAACAGTAAAATAGACCTTAAATTTAGGGGTCGTGGGTTATTTTAGAGAACGTATAATACTGTGATGACTCTCATTATAAGGTACGAATTTTTAGGCCTAACATAAAGAGTAATTTATAGTGAGACTCGACTTTAATAAAATAATAAAAAACCTTAAAAGAAAGTTCCAAATTTTCACCACCCCAAATATCAAAACCATCATCATAAGTTCCAAGTTTTTCAAAATAAGCTCGATCAATAGAAAACAATCCTCCAGCCTTTAGAAAATTATTTTTTTAGTTTATTTAAATTTTTCAAAATCATTTTCATTGAAGAAACTTTTATATTTTCCTTTCATTTTTCTTCAAATTTTTTTCCTTTTTTCTTCCAAATAATATTTATTTTTTCTTACTAAAATTAAATTTAAAATTTAATAAAAAATTAAAGGTTGAATCTGGATAAGGTTCGAGGGAGTTCTCCCCAATATCAAAACGCAGAAATACCAAAACCTAAACGTCACTGAAATACCAAAATGTGGAAAAATAACAAATATAGGTATGCCCAAAAACGAGAAAAGCAAGTTGTTCTAATAACGTGGATGTTGCTATAATTTAGCATTTTTTTGATTTTATGTATGACATTTCAGTCTGCTATTATGGCCCAAAAACACGACAGCAAGAAAAAAACCAGTTTTTGATCTGGGCTGCCCAAAACTCGAACTCGGATCCCATTTAAAAATTAACAAAACAAAAATCAAACCATTGTTGGAGAACGAACAGGATCAATATTTCGTCGATTTTTGCGGTCTCTTTCAGGAATAGGATGCCAATTAAATTGCAAGGACCAATCAAAACCTTTTTTAAACAAAATCTTTTTTTCTAATTTTTCAAAAAAAAAACCTCCAACATTAGTAAAGAACGCTTTAGAATAATGATATTCAAATGTATTATCATCTATTACATCAATAACTGGACAAACTACAGTTGTTGGATCTTTTTTTATTCGTGCAAGAAGTGGTTCTAGCCATCCTAAAAAGGAAAAAGAAAAAATTATTTTTGGATAGATAATCCTTGCTTTGGATTAAAGGGTATGATGTTATAATACCAAAAGCTTGTAATACCAAAGCTTGTAATACCAAAAGCTTGAAATACCAAAATTTGTAATACCAATAGCTTGAAATACCAAACCCCCAAAAGATGTTGAAATACCAAACCGTGGAAAATAGCTTGTAATACCAAATAAATACCAAAACATATTATTATTCAATTTGTTAATAAAACTGTGGAATTTTTTATTATTTACCTCGCGGCAGAATAACCTGTTGCTTTTAGCCTGTTGGTTTTTAGTCTTCGCTGGAAAAACTGTTTTTGTGCCAGGCTGATTTTTGGGTTCAAAAATTCGATTATACAGATGATACCTCATTCGAAAGTGCTCGTCGAGCTGAGTCGAATGACACCAAAATCAGCTCGATTAGATGATTATGAACAAAGTTATGACCAACTGAATCTTCGCTGGAACTGTTTTTGTGCTGCTACGGAGGGTAGGCCGGGCATGGTCTTCGCTACACGATGGCCGTGCTTCGCTGCGGTCGTGCTCGCTTCGCTCGCGGCGACCGTAGCGAAGCGGCGGCCGTCGTTCCGCTCGACATGCCCGGCTTCCTCCGCAGCGGCAAAAACTTTTTTCCGCGAAAACCTTATGTGAAAGGTTTCCACACTTTGTATTATGAAGGATTTTGGAGGAGGATTATATTATACACAAAGAGGAGTTTTATAAAATTTTTTCAACGGTTTGGTATTTCAACAGCTTTTGGGTATTTGGTATTACAAGCTTTTTTCCACGGTTTGGTATTTCAACATCTTTTGGGGGTTTGGTATTTCAAGCTTTTTTGGTCACTTTGGTATTTCAACAGCTTTTGGGGGTTTGGTATTACAAGCTTTTGGTATTATAAAACGCTCCGGGATTAAAGACGTCTCAAAATCTCGTGTTTCGAAGATTTTTAAAACAAAAAAAGCTCTGTTTGGGAAAAAGGATTTTAAAAAAGACAAGATAAATGTAGGCTTGGGGAACACCCCTCCCCTCTCTAAAAAATCAGGTTCTGGATTCTTTATTTGGTAGGAGGGAGACCAGGAGAAAAGGAGTGTCTACAATTCGAGGAAATACAACAACCCCATGCCAAGATTCCCAGTTTTTTAGCTACTATAAACACTGAAGTAGATTGGGTATGCTATTTTTGCTTCCATAATTAAACTTCAAAAAATTCCCAAACCTTCCATACACTCGCAATGGCTGTCCAAATAGGTTATAACCTTTCCATTTGCTTTAGTAGCACCACGAAGACGGGCTCTAATCAAACCTTCCCTCTTTTCCAAGCGCATAATTTTAACCTAAAAATTCCAAAAAATTTTTTATAAAAAAAACAAACTTTTGGAAATTGCGCCATATATTCCTCCAAAGGTTTTTTCAAATGTTCCATATCAGAAAAATCATCTACCAGCACAACATCCTTTAACAATTTGTCTGGAGTTCGTTCAATAACGCTGTGTACTGTTCTCAACAAAACAGACCAAGCCTCATTATGAAAACAAATTACAACAGAAGAATCAGGCAGATCTTCCGGATATTTTTCTGTTTTACAACTTAAAAATTTGTTTTAAGTTTCCAAAAAATTAAAAAAAAACTCTTCATCAGCCGTAGCTGGAAGCGAACGATGAACTGAGATCAAATCAGAAGCATATTGGTTAAAAGCATTATTGACAAATCCAACGTCATATTTCTTCTTTTCTTCAGGAGTCAATTTCTAAAAGCAAAAAAGAAAATAAAAGAAAAAATTTTCAGACAGATTTTGTTGCGGAGAAGCTGTCGAATATGGATACAAAACGAAAATATTAGATTATATGTCATTCGAAAAAGCTCGGCGAGCTGAATCAAATGACACCAAAATTATTCCGCAGGAGCAACATCAACTCAACAAACTATTCCCGAATGCCATATGTATAATTCAAGTATTCTCATTTGGTAGCCATATTCGACAGGTTTACCAAAATTGTCAACAAAATAAATTAAAAACCCGCCAACATTTTTCGAGAAAAATAAACAAAATTTAACCTCTTTATCAATTTTGACAGCCTTCCCTCCCTCTCCTTCCTGATTTGGATCTCCCTTCTTGTATATTGGAGATTGAGGATCGAAGAATACTTTCCTCGGTTTTGGAATATTGCCAACCTAAACAAAAATTCTTTTTAATTTTTAAAATTAAAAAAAACGTCTTGATTTCCACTCTTTTCTTCATCCTCTTTATGTTCCGATTTTTCCTTTATATCGTCTTTAACGGCCAAAGGAGGACCAAAACTTAAAAAAAATTTATTTAAAAAATCAAATTAAGTAAAAAACCCTCTAATTTGTTGAATATTCTCTTTAATTTTTTTATATTCTTCCTTAGCTTCATCAACATGTAACCTCTCGATTGGCTTATCATCGACTATTTGCTTAAATATTTTTTAGTTAAAATTTTTAATTTGCGGATGTTTGCGGACAAATTTTAGAAAAGAAAAAATCCGCAAAAATAAAAAAATTTTGCGAACAGATTTTAGAGAAAGATTTAGAGAAGGATTTTAGAGAAAGAAGAAAATGTCCGAAAAATCTAAAATATCTTTTTGCGGACAGAATATCAAACAGATACAAAACCCCCCGCAAAAACCCCACAAAAATTAAAAAAAACTTACCACATTAGGTTTATTAAAAAACACAACAAAAAGTAGCCAAACAACAGGAATTAAGATTAACAATTTAAATATTGTAGATCGACGCCTAATAGTTATTATTTTCATTGGAATGTTGCCCAAAAATTATTTACAAAAAAAAGTAAATTAAAATAAATAATCTAATAAATCTACTGAAAAAAAAAGAAAAAATTAATTTAAAAGCTAAATAAATAAAAATTAAAAAAATTTTAAATTTAAAAATTTTTTAAAAATTTGAGGATATTTGCGGACAGATTTTGTGAAGAAAAAAGTCCGCAAAATAATTCCGCAAAAATTGATTATTTATTTCGTTGTCATATTGACAGGCAAAAAATTTAAAAAAGGGACGGGATAATTTATTGGAATATCTCGGATACGTATACCAAAATTTTTATTTATTGAAACGTGTCTTAGCTTGCCTTTTTGAGTTGTTTATAAAATTTTTAAAAATGAAAAAAAAATCGACTAAAAAATTGGTTTGAATCATTCTAATTCCAGGACGTTGGGCGCGCACCTCAGAACTGACACTTAGCTTAAACTTAGTTTCCTGAAAATTTTCACAAAATTTTTTACCCAATTAAATCCTCCAAAATTTTTATCAAATATTTTAAAAGTTAGTGTCGATAAACCTCGAAAAACTAGAGCATTTTCGACAAAAGCAACACATTTTTGGCCATAATTTCTGAAATTCTGGTCCAAAAATTCTGAAATTTTTGGAAAGATAGGGGGTTATTATTTCAAAAATTTTTTTGATTTTAAGTAATCAATTGATTAATTTATAAGCTCTCGCGCCAACTTGGACCCGCGCCAAAACGTCCTAGTCCTCCCTTAAAAAGGCTCACCAACTCCAACTATCTTTAAAAACATTTTTATAAATGAAAAGCTTTAAAAAATATGCTTATTACTCAATCCACGTTAAACAAAAATTATTCTAAAAAAGCAAAAGAAAAATATTATTTAATATTGGGATACACGTTGCAACCCAGTCATTAAAAAATAAAAAAAAAATTTTTAACATTTTTAACACCTTTTAAATTTTGCACAAAAAAATAAATAGAACAACAATTTTTAAAATAAATTTTTTAACAAAACCATTATTTCTCTTTACAAAAAAATACTTCGGATTTAAAAAAGATTTTTTTCTATCTATTATATTAAAAAGAAAAACAAAAAAAATCTTTCTTTATGGGAAAGGAAACATGCTTTTGTTGCTTCATTTTTGGCCAACAAAAAATTGTTTTTTATGTAAATTTTTTTCTCCCTTTTTTTACTGTTAATCTAATGCATATTCCTTTTTTAAATTTTTTGTTGATTGTTTTTTTAATATTTTTATTATGTAGATTAATAAAATCAATTTTTATAAAAACGGTCGAATATCGATAAAAGGTCACCCTTGGGATCGAATTAAATCGACGTCCTTACAGAAGTGAAGTGTTATCGAGTTTAAATTTTTACCGATTTTTTCAACAAAAATAATTTTTTTCGATAGGAAGAGGGTTTTTTAAAGGTCTTTCCCTCTTCAATGGGAATACTTTCATTTTATCCCTCCCACCTTTTTAATAAATTTTTTCAAATTATTTTTGAAAAAAATCCAAAGTATACCTCCCACAAAAATCAACAACAACAAAAATTACTTCTAATTATCCAAATAAAAATAATCTCCAGATTTTTTCTGTTCTGTATCAAGTTGAGAATCTTTTTTATTTATTCTCGGTCTATGGCTTTCCGCATCCCGTCTAAATGTAATATTTAATTGACTTAAAAATTGATTCATTCCAGTAACTAGATTTTGAGGACTGAAAATTTTAAAAGAAAATTTAAAATAATTTTTAATGTAAAGACAGAGTAACACCCTAAGTCTTCGGGGTCAGGTGTGTCGGGGATCGGGATTTGGTGGGGTAGAGGCTTTAAGGTTCGGGTCTGTTATGTCCTAGGTTAGCGGTCTTACCTAGTGACAAACAGAATAACACAGGAATAGAATATAACGTTTATCCGAATAGTAAATACAACAATAGTGAAGGTGGCAACAGGCTAGAATGATGTAGGACAGACGGCGCCGGTCGACCCAGGTGTCGACCGAGACTGATCTCTAACGACTCCTTTTATACTAGACCCACACATACCTAACAGGGTCGGGGTGGTCAGGAGAGCTACCCTATTTTATAGTAAGGCCCGCCCCTAGTCCCTTTCCATTATCCAAAAAGAAATAAAAATAATAAAATTCCAAACGAATTTGCTCTCGCTTTAATTGCTGGTTGTCCATCAAAAACAATTACTCTATCAGCCAAATATGTACTCATAATAAAATCGTGTTCAACAACAAAAGCTGTCTTTTTTGCATGAAGTACAAATCTTTTTTAAATTATTTTTTTTAAATTAATTTAAATTAAAAAAAACCTTTTAATAACTTTAGCAGCGTGTAAACGCTGTTCCGAGTCTAAATAAGCACTTGGCTCGTCAATTAAATAAACATCTGCTGGGGTTCCAAGGCAAAGGGTTAAGGCTTTAAAAATAAAGAATCTTTAGTAAAAGATTTGCCCTCACGCTAGCGATAGCTAGAAATAATTAAGTGACAACCGGGACAAACAAACAAATTTAAAAAAATTACACAAACCTACACGTTGAAGTTCACCACCAGAAAGATTTTGGACCTTAAAAATAAATTTCAAAAATTTTTAAAATTTCAAAAAAAAAACTTCAAAGTCAATAATATTGTCAATATTTAAAGGATTTAAAACATCAGTTTTAAATGCTGGATGATTAAAAAGTCCTGGTATTTTTGTTAAAAATAAATCTCTGACTGTTCCTTCAAATTTTGGAGCAATTTTTTGAGGTTTATAAGATATTGAAAGTTCAGGAATTTCTCCTTTAGATGCTGTTGGCTTTATTTGGCCAGCTAGAAGACTGAAAGAAAAAAGAATTAATTGAAAAGGATTTGGGAAATATTTGGATACTAAACAAAAATTAGAACTTCGGACTAGTTTTAGATTCGAATATGAGGACTAGTGAATAATTTTAAAAGTGGAGGATATTCTCTATCTCCCCACATAATCAAAGAAAAATCACACCCATTTCCTTAAAGATATTAAAAAACATTGTGTATATACCGAATAAACGTGGTTTTTCCTGTTCCATTTTCTCCAAGCAAAACAATAATTTCAGAATCAGTAAAATCCCCCTTTTGAATTGTCAATTCAAATTTTTTAGTTTGCCCAACTTCATATGTCATATCGGGATAAACATAACTAGTTGTTCTTTTTATATCTTCACGTTCCTCTGATACTTTAAATGAAAGGGAAGAATCTCTAAAAAATTAAAAAATTTTTAAAGTTTTAAATAATAGTCTATTTGAACCTATTCCGGATGTTTTTATATTTTTGTCACTTATTTTGGTCATTTTTTGAAAAACCTTACATTTTTTCAAAAATTCAAGAAAACTTTTCTTAATTATTATTTTTAATGATAATTTTGAAAAATAAAAACTCCTATTTGTCATTTAATAAATAACGATCTCTAATAATGGGGTATAGCTGTATTTTTATTTCTTACCGAAAACGCATATTTTCCGATGCAATAAATCCTAAAATTTTAAAAATAAAATAAAAATCTTTTTTTTAAATTCCCAACCATCCAAAAATTGATTAATTCCTTCCCGAACACCAGAAGGATGTGTTACAACACCATAAGCACCAGGAAATCCATATAATAAACAAATATGGTCAGAAAGATAATCCAAAACTGCCAAATCGTGTTCAACAACAATTATATAACTTGAAAAATAAAAATTAATAATTTTATATTTCTGTACAAGAAAATGTTTGCAAATTGCGAAATAATGGATGGACATGGACTTATTATTTTGTCATCTCTAACCAAAGGAAAAAATCTTACTTTTTTGCGTCAGACGATATTGGAGGACGGGAACTATTTACTTTAACTACCCACCCAAAAAATTTCCGGGAGATTTATTTTTAGACAATACATATATGTCAATCGAAAGAGCTCGACGAGCTGAGTCGAATGATACCAAAATCAGCTTGCTTTGACGATTTTGAATAAAATTACAAGCAACGCTGAAATCCATCACCGACGCCCACAGGTTTGCTCCGACCATTTTGAGTCAGAGCAAACTTGATGTCATTCAAAGCAACTAGCCAAGCTCTTTTGGCGGGGGCATCTAAGATATGTCCAACCTTTGATTGACATATAAATTGTCCAAATTTAAAATCTCCCGGTAAAATTCTTAGGATGGGTAGTTAACGTAATTAAGTTCCAGAAAATGATCGGGAGACTATACAATGGTAAAAGAATAAATTTTAAGTTGGACCATTAAAAAGATAAACAAACAAACTTTTGATCTGTCAACAATTCCCTAATTACTCTTGCAGCTGTTAAACGTTGTCTAACATCTAAATAACTAGATGGCTCGTCAAACATATAAATATCTGCTTTTTGTATTGCTGCTACTGAAATAGCAAATCGTTGCAACTCACCTCCAGAGAGTTGATTGACTTCTCGGTCAAGTAAATGGGTTAATTCTGAAAAAGAAAACAAAAGGAGCTAATAAGGGGAAGTAAGATATAAGAGAACCTCCTTATCTACGGGCCCGACCTCAGTAAATAATGGCAATATCAATAAATTATTAAAATTAGCTTATTGAACTTATTGTTAAGTAAAAGAAAAATTATTGTTGGAATTATAATTTATATTCTCAAAAGCTGTTAACGCCGAGAACGGAGCCATTTCTCACTATTTTTTCAAAATGGCATAAGTAAAGAAGAATTCAACCTCTTAGAAGAGTAAACCTCAAAATGTCCCAAGACTTTTTTTATTAATTAAATGCCGACGTTCTCAAAACTTTAGTTTGCCGATTGTAATTATTCCAATTAGACGAGATAATCTTTTACTTTTCTATGCCACCCATAAAATTAAATGCAAACTTACCCATATCCTCAATTATTTTGTCCAAATTGTCACGTTCAGCTCGTCCCTTCAACAAATCAATAACCTTTTTCTGTGGAGACTTTTCCAAATATCTTTTTTTAAAAAAATAAATTTTTCTCTTTAAAAATTAAAAAAACCTCGGAATTTGGTCAACATATTGAGGCTTAATAATTGCTTTAAATTTTTCTTCTAATAATTTAATAAAATAATTTTGAAGTTCAGAGCCTCTAAAATATGTTAAAATTGACGGCCAATCTGGCGGACTCTAAAAATTTCAAAAAAAACTTTTTCAGAATTTTAACAAAAAAAAACCTTGAAATTACCCAAGTTAGGCTTTAATTTGCTTGCCAAAATATTTAAAGCAGTCGATTTCCCAATACCGTTAGTCCCTACAAGTCCCAAAACTGAGCCTAATCGAGGCATTGGTAAACGATGAAGTTTGAAGGAATTTGCGCTGTAACGATGGGTTGTTTCTTTTTCTAAATTGCTTGGAAGATTGATGATTTGAATTGCACCATATGGGCATTTCTTGTTAAAAATAAAAGTTTTAAGAGGTGAAATTTAATAGTAAATTTATTAAATCAATTTTGGAGACGATACCTGACCTTTTTTTAATGGAAATTTTTTAATGCAAATTTAAGAATCAAAGCCCGGGAATTTTTTAGCTCCCTGGATTAAACATGGACTTGGCATATTAAAGAATTTTAATCAAAACCTCCCGTATCAATATAAGGGTCCAAGTTCAGGCATGCGTGGACTAACACGAAAAGCTTTCCTAGGCAAAGCTATAGATTTTCAAAAATAAAAATCACTAGTTAATTTGCCCCATATGAAGTGATAAAATGAATTTCAGGTAATTTATCGTCAAAAATGTGGTCCTATGAAAAAGCTAAAAACATTTTAAAAAAACCTTCACACAAATTCCACATCCAATGCAAAGAATTTCGGATATTTCAGCAATTTTTGATGTAGGCTCAACCACAATGCATTGTTTACCTATTTAAAAGGTAACTTTTAAAAAAAGAAACAAAAAAAACCTGTCCTAACAACTGGACAATTCTTTTTACAAGGCTGGCCACAATTCTTTGGTTTACAACGATCTGGGTTAACAATAGCTATTCGAGTTTGAACTGATTGTACATCTGGTTTCCCTTTCTTCATTTTCTTAACTAAAGAAAGAAAAAATCTTGATAAATTCTATTAGAAAAGATATGGATCCAGCCTTGATTTTTCTCAGGATCAAGACTTTTTTGATTTTTCCCCGCCCCAAGGTTATCAACCAAAATCAGTGTTTAAAATTTCTAATATTCGTGAAAATCGAAAAAACTCTAAAATGACAGAAAATCCAAAATATATTTTTAAAAAACAGAATGCCAAAAAATCGAAAAATGTTTTTTTTAAAACGTAATTCAAAAAGTCAAACGAAAATTTGTTACGGAATTTCACAGCAAACAAAGAAACTTCTTTTCTATTTTTTTAAAGGCCACATTTCTAGGATGTAATCAAAGACCAGTCTGATTGTGTGAAAGATAAATACCAATAAAGGCAAAAATTCGGCGAAAGTGCTCGGCACATCCCTGTTACATATGACCCTTTTTAAAAAATTTTTGTGTGGCGCCATAACGGAAAAGTACCAAAAAATCAAATATTCAAACATTAGTGATGATTGGGTGTGTAATTATTAGAGTGTGTCATTTTAGGTTTTTACCTATTTTTTTTGCAAGCAGCTCTCGGTCTCGGGTCAAATTTTGTCCCTCGATCTCGGCTTTTCCGGCATGGTGATCCTCGGCCTCGGCTTTTTCAAAAATCCTCGACCTCGACCAACTCTAGTATTTAGAGTCAGACATTGAGAGATGGCTCAAAACTTGGATAAATTTCTGTTTAAAACAAGAAAATTGGAGAAAAAATTAAATTTACGAAATGTTGATTCGAAAAAGTTTTAATTTGAGCCAAAATTCGAACCTATTTAGTCAAAATTTGGACCTAATTGGCCTTTTTTGGATTTTTTTGAACCTATTTTCAACTTTTTTTTGGACCTAAATAAGATCCTATTACACGATTTTTTGGACCTAAAATGACACACTCTAGTAATTATGTATATGGAAATCCATATTTTTTCCTGAATTGCTTTGACTATGAAATGTACGAAAAACATGTTTTTGGCTTGTTTTAAGGTTTCTAGATCTTTAAAATCCATATTTTTCCATAAAATTAAATTTTACAAAAAATTAAAAACCTTTACTTTAAAACAAAAAAAAATATCAAAAGGATACATTTAAATTTTATCTTTAAATTTCACTCATTACCCATTTCTTGAACTGCATAAGCAATTAACTCTTCGTTTCCTGCTTCTTCTTTGACACGTTTTCCTGAAAATATTTAAAAGTAAATACTTTTTAAATTGTTGAATATAATTAGCTGATATTGGGCGGGGAGATGTTCAATCGAACCTCCCAATTTAAGATACACCCTTAGCCTAGAGATACGATTTTCCAAATCCAAAGGATTTATCTATAATTGAGGTATATGGCATAATTATAAGTATGTATTCCAGAAGAAATCAAACAAACTTTGGGAGAGTGGGGGGGGGGGAGGGGGGGGGGGTTGTCTAGCAAGTAAGTAACACCACCCAATTTAACAAACATTATAAGATACCCCCAATATTGTACACTTCTATTTAGGTAATTTCTGTTAAATATGGTTATCCATTGGATGAGGGAGCCGCAAAAAAGCAAAACATCCCAATTAAATAACACCGCATTATAACGAATTTTTCAGCCCCCAAAGGTTTGTATATACCTATGTCTTAAATATTCCAGAACAATCCCCAAACAAAAAAACCAACTTATCAATTGAATTATAGCCTTATTTGTTCTTTTATCAAGTTTGTCCAATTTCTCTTTAATTCCTCTTCTCAAGTCCCAATCCACTTTTCTTGGAGCCAAAGTATTAATATCTAAAGAATCCCCAACTTTTGCATCTTTCCCAGCTTCTAATTGCCCTTCAATTTTTTCTTTTAATAAATTAATTTCTTCTCTTGGTGGTTCTGATGGTGATGATTGTTGCTGCACATTAACTGGTTTATATGATCGAAATTGAATTGGAAAACTTGAAAAATAAAGTTAAATTTTTTAAAAGTATAGACAAAGAAAATTCCCACTTTTCAGGACAATCGACTATTTGGGATCCGTGGGGCAACTAAACTTCCTAAAATTCCAATATGATAATTGCGGATATACTTTTGCCAGTGAAACAATCTTAAAAACAAAAACCCCACAAATCTTTTATTGCCCTAACATGTGGGCTCACCCAAAATCGGTATTAAAACTTGACCTCATTTTGACAAAATTCGGATTTTCAAGGTTTTAATTCGGCAAACTCAACCAGGGTCATTTTAAATGAAAGAAAAGCAGAATACCGGTTAAACAATGTAAATAGTTCAAACTCTAATTAAAACAAAGCCCCTAATGCAGGCGAAAACCTCCAAGAATTTTCACGTCATTGTCACCTTGACAGGCAAAATTAAAATAAACAAACCGTTCTTCTCCACAATTCTGTTCACCGTCAATGTCTCCATTTCCTTGATTCCTTCCAACAAACCTTTTTCGCATTTCCAATAAATGCTGCCTTCTAGAAATTGCATTTTTCTCCAATTCTGTTAATATTCTTTCTTCTTCAATTATTGCTTCTTCTGAATTTGTAGAAGTAGTAACCATTTTTCTTTTCCTTTTTTTTAAAATTATTCACAATAAAATTAAAGCAAAATATATTCGGAATAAAAACCAAAATTAAAAAAAACTTTTTCAATTATTTTTAATATCAGCTAAAAATAACAAAAAAATTTTCTTTTTTCAAAATATTTAAATTGAATATTTAAAATCTCTAGAACGTAAATAAGCATAATAATCCTGCATTTTCTCCCACCCATCTGGATCGGGTTCGCGCCCTTTAAATGTTGGAGGTGTTCCTTCTTCGAGTCTAATAAAGATATTTATGTAACGATGACGAAGAGGATGCCATGCCTAAAAAATTTAAAAAATTTGATCAAATTTTTGAGGTTTTATTTGTTGTCCGCAAAAAATGTCCGCAAATATATTAGGAAGACTTGGTTGGATACACTTCTATTTAAAATGCATTTTTAAAAGCATTTAAAAGTTACTGATGAGGTTTTGGTAAACAAGTTGACCAAAATTCCGAACACCCCCAAAGAGAAAATTGTTTATTCCCTCAAGAAAAAAAATAAAATTAACCCCTCTAGCATGTCTTCTAGCCGATTTAATTATTTTACATTGAATACCAAAAGCTTCAGCAACAAACATGCTTTCCAATGGATTGTCAATTTTAAATTCATCAGCAGCCCTTTCAACAGCTTCTTCGATTGTTTCGGCTAACAATAAAGTTGGCTAAAATTTTTGAAAAAAAATTTTCTTTCAAAAAATTTTTTAACAAAAAACCTTGGTTATTTTATGTCGTAATTGTTTTATTGCTTCATTTGCCATTAAATTTTGGGCAAAAAAGCAAGAAGGGAAAATCCTTTAAATTTTAAAAATTATTGAGAGAAAAAATAATGATAAACAAGTCCAATACCAGACATCCCCCCCCTCTCTCCCAAATTTTGTCTAACGTGTCGAGGACCAATCCTTAATAAAAAATTTTTAACAAACTTTTTAGGATGGAGATGAACAGATTCTAGAAAAATTTTGAAATTAAAATTAAAGAAAAAATTTAAAGAAAAAAACCTTTGACATGAAAAACTTCTCGAGCTTTAGGCTTCCCAGTTTCAGGCACAACATAATTTGGAGGCCAAACAACTTTATTTAAATATTCCCATTTTTCTGGGGTAACACCTTAAAATTAAAAATATTTCTTTAAAAGGAACAAAAACAAATCGATTGAGTAAAAAGATAGAGCAAGGGTCGCGACGATAAAATTTTTTTTTTAATTTTCAGGAATTAGTAACACCCAATTTCTCCCAGTTTCAGGCATCACTGGTTTGAATTTTAATAATTTATTCTTTTCTTTGGCATTTGTAAAAGAGTGGGGTGCTTTATGTAGAAAAATACAATTGATTAGGGAGATAGCATAGACACAATTTTTCATTCCCAAATCCCCATCCAAAAATTTAAAAGAAACCATAATTATTCATTGGAGAATATTTATCCAAATTTCCATCTCGCCGTCCAGATTTATCCAATCTCCATTCTGGGGCATAATAAATTTTTGGAGTAGGCTTCTCAAAACGTTGAATTGGTGCATAACCAGAAACTGCTGGAAGAAAGCGTTTCATTTTCTAAAAAATTTTATAAGAAACAAAAATTATTTTAAATAAAAAATAAATTTTCTTGAATTCTAACAAGTAAAAATTTTTTCAAAAATTTATAAAAATATTTTTTAAGAAAATTATTTGTCACAATATCAACAATAAATTTATGTAATTGTAAGTTTAGTCTGGATTTTAAATTAATTTGATTAGCGCCTGAACATTAACGATTCTAGGTTCCAGCCTCGGAAATCCTAAAATCGTTTAAGGGGCCTATTCCATTAAGAGACATTTCGACAAAAGTCAATAACAACTGTCAATTGTCTAAACACGTCGACAGTGATCGTGTCGATTAATTGAATGTCATTGTATGTCAATGTCCGGTCGTCGATATTTGTCGATTTTAAGAGTCATTGTCGAATATGCCTCAGGGACAGGGAAAGTAACTGTTAAGAAATCCAGACCATACAGTAAATATACACAGACCATGTGATATATTTAAAAATTAGAACAGGAATTAGAAAATCTAGTCATTTTCTGAAAAATTTTAGAAAATTTTCCCTCAGTTAATTAGTTAAAATTTATGGCATTTATTATTAAATTATAATAAATTTTTAATAATTTTCCTCATAGAAAACTTTGTTTCTTTTAAAGCCTTTAATTCGATTGTTAATCCAACAAAACCATAACAAAAAGAAAAACCAGCCATTAAAGTAAGTGCAAATCTGACTAGTGCTACCTTTAAAAAAATAAAAATTTATTTGAGTGAATCCTTCCCTCCTCCCTTTAAGGAAAATGTTATGGATGTCAAAAAATCCCTTTCAAAAATAAAATAAATTTCCTTACAAAAGCAAAGGCAAAAGGAACATTTAAATCCAATTTTGTCGTTGCTACAATTAAAATTATAAATAAAACACACAAAGCTAAAAATAAACGTCTATCCCATAAAACTCTAATTTCGGCTTCTTCAATTATTTTTAATGATTTTGTTAAAATTTGTTTTTCTATGGAAAGTTGTCGAAGTTGTTGAGAGCCTGTATCTATTTGGTTTTCTAAAAAAATATTTTTTTAACTTAATGAGGTTAAATTTAAATTAAACCTTTCTTTTAAAACATACCCCCCCCCCCCCTTTTAGAATTGAATAATATTATCTTGTAATGAGGTGGATTTTAGATTGAAGGTTGTTAACTTTGCAGAACCCATGCCCCTCACCACAACTTTTTTGGTGGTAGAGAGTGACAAATTTTAAAAACCTATATTAAACCGAGGTTTATCACAGTCGATTGTACATACAAACTTGTGGAGATACACCATTGGGGTTGAAAAAGTAACTTGTAATGAGATTGAGTTAAATTGAGGGGTGCCGTTTAGGCATCAATCTCACCCATTTTCCCAACTATATAAGTGGCCAAATAAATTTTAAAAACGTATTGGGTAAAGGGAGTACAGTCAAACCTCAATTTTAAATACCTCCTGTGACTAAAAAATCGTCTCTTACTTAAAACTAGAGAGGGCTTAAATTGTGTTTATCTTAAAATGAAGTCAAAAATTTAAAAAAAAAGAATAAATAAACCTTTTTTAATTTCAAATTTAGCAGAAACCCCAAGATGGTCAGAATAATTTAAATCACTTTCAGGAATTTTATCAAAACAATATTCACAATTTAAAAGTTTAATTTCAGCTGAAAAGGGAAAAAAGATTTATAAGAAAAATTAATTTTAATATTTTTTTTACTTTTTTCACTTCTATACATTATATAATCCAATCTTTTTCCATTAGGAGAATATTTTAATAAACACTTTGATGTATAACAATTATCAGGTCTTTCACAAGTTGTGCCATTTTCGTATAAAGGGTCAACGGCATTCTTTAAAAAGAAAAAATTTATTTGAGAGAAAAATATTTGGGTCTTTTATCCAGTTTAAGCGTCCCCCATAGAGGTTAAGTAACTATTAGATTCTCTTTGGTTTCAGTTTCCTTAGTTAAAAAGAGTTCGGGACGCCAAAAAAGACCCGAACCTTAAAAAAGAATATACCTACAACTCAATAGTTCCCATAAACTTAAAAAAGGACTTAAGAAAAACTCAACAAACCGGTCTACATTCCCAAGCATCATTTAACGGAACCAAATTTTTAATTAATTGAAAACCCAAATTTGTCGGCTCCAAATTAAAATCCCCAACAAGAATAACAAAATCTGCACCCCCACAAGTATGTCGAATAAATTGAGACATTTCAAAACATTGAGAAATTCGATGAGGTAAATACAAATCATTTTCTTTGTTATATTCTGCATGTAAATGGGTGGTGTAAAAACAAATTTTGTAAGAGTCAAATAGAATTTCTGCCATTCCGACAATTTTGCCTCCAAACCAGTCACCTCTAAATAAATTTTTTTGAAGGTATACGAAAAAAGGATCTTTAAAAGCTCTCTGAGGAAACCTGTGTATATGATGAGGAAATCCATTCAAAGAATATCTATGAAGCAAAGTAGAAATGATTGGATATCTGCTAAGAATACAAGTTCCACTTCCAGTAAATCCACTATGAAAATAATGTGAATAAGGAAACTTTTCTTTTAAATTGTGGACCATTTCAATAAAAACTTTCTCACTCCAAATCTGTAAAAAAACAAAAAAAAATATTGATTGGTCTCTTTTGTGCTTCCAAAGTCCCAAGTTTTTCTCCGAAAGTATAGCAAAAGAATGACCTCATTACAAGGGCGTAGCCAGGGGGTCGATTTCAGGGAGGAGGGGGGGGGGTTAAAATAGGGTCGGCGCCAAAATTTTGGCATTTACTTTGGTGAAAATTTTAACATTAAAAAACCTCTTGTAACGCCACAATATCAAATTTAGACACAGCCAAAGCACTAATCAACATTTGAATTCTAAAAGTTTTGTGTTTACTACCAATAGGCCAAGGATGAGGAAGAAGCCTAAAAATTGAAAAGTAAAAAATTTTATTTTAAAAATTTCTTACCAACAATTTAATGTTGCCACCCGCAACATTTTAATTGCTAGAATCTATAGAAAATTGAAAATTAAAAAAAATTTTTAGGGACAAAAAAGGGTATGTACAGCCCAATTAGGCGCGTGCCAATTAGGCGCAACCGATTAGGCGCGACACACAGAAAAGAGTAAGGAAGCAGAGAAACGATAGACATTACAACAATTTTGCTTTATTTGTGGTTGGTTGAGAGCCAAATTTTTGAGTGCCCAAATTGAACTGTATGACTCACAACTTTTTGCGCAAACTTTGCGGTTGTTTTGGCTCCCATACAAAATCTCTATTCCTTAAAATCGCTATTCCTCAAAATCTCTACTAGGCTAAAAATGCTTAAAATCTCTATTCCTTAAAATAACTATTCCTTAAAATCTCTACTGGGGTAATAATAATTAAAATCTCTACACCGCGCAAATGGACGGTTGAGTCTCAACTAAAGTGTACCATCTGAATCTTTTGCTGGAAAAACCAGACTTGGTAATAGATACGGATATGGATACAATTTCAAAATGGCGGCGGATATCCGCCTGTATCCGCCGTAAATATCGAAGATATACTACACGACTGCTTCACTGCAGTCGTGTTCATTTTGCTTGCGGCGATCGTATCGAAGCGGCTGCTGTCGTTCCGCTGAACATGACTGGGTTAATCAGCAACGGCAAAAACTATACAAGCAAAATAATATTAAAAGATAATCCCAGAAATCAGAACAACGTTTCCGCACTTAACGTTGGTACTCAAAAGGCTTCCAATGAAAAATAGACATTTTATCTTATTTATGGCCGTGTAGAGATTTTAAGGCATGTCACCGTGTAGAGATTATGAGGAATAGAGATTTTAAGGAATAGTTATTTTAATCATTTTTAGCCGAGTAGAGATTTTAATGCATTTTAGTTCTGTAGAGATTATAAGGCATTTTACCCCAGTAGAGATTTTAAGGAATAGAGATTTTGAGGGGATACGGTTGTTTTACCTCCTTTTTCTCTTTTTTTTTTGTTTTGTCTCTGTTAGTTTAATTTCTAGTTAATTAATTAATTTATTACACAAGTAATTCGGCAAATTTTCGTTCTTGTTTTACAAAGAAAATTTTATTTATTAATCTACAAGAGTTACAACTTAACCAAAAATATATTCGATATGATTTTGTCATAAGCAGTACAGCAACTTTTAGGATAGTTAGCTTAAAATTTGAGATTTTGTTTATTTACACAGGGATTTAACATACGCAACTTTTGAAGAATATTTAGCCAAATATAAATTGAATCTGCATATTCAGTAAAAAATGGAATTTGCCTTAAATCCCCCTACTAATATGTAACTTTTTTTTATTAAATATTTTTAATAAGCATTTTCTGGTTTAGTCAGTCAGTAATCAACTTTCTTGGATCTAATGGTTATTTCCGAACATTGGGTGTTTTAATGGAGGAGATTAATGTTTGTTTAAAATAATTTTTGGATTAAAAGAATATTTTTCTTAAAAGATGCCCAATCCAATCCAACAAATACCGGGACCTATGTGGTTTAGGTTTGCTTTTTTAAATGCCTCTACTAGCCAAAATCAAGCCTGTGTAAGGAAGAAAGGAAAATTCAGCTGGCATGTAAAACTCGTGCTAGGCGGGGATCTATTATAAAAAGAAAGCAAAAGCAGCGCCATAGATCACTGTTAGCAGAATTTAAAACGCTTAGGCTGGGGTTAAACTAATATATAATGAGATAGAGAAGGCATTTGTGTAAGCCCGGCAAAGCGAGCAGGGTCGAATCTTGCCCGGTGGCTAAACTTTTGCTAAACTCTTATTGTGGTGTGCGAAAGAGCCCATCAGTAAATGTTAACGATACACTTCCTTCTCGCCAGGTTTGTATAAATTCTTGAAGGTGTAAAAAGAGGTGTATTTGAAAGAGTAAACCTAACACACTTCTAAGTTATCATCAAATGCCAAGCCAACCTAATGATGTTTTAACAGCAAAACCACCACAAGATCTTGAGAAACGAAAATTAGTTCAACAACAATTAGTTTTTCTTTTGCATGCCCATAAATGTCAGCAAAGAGAAAAGGTTTTTTTTTCTTTGTTGATCTTTCTAAAGAAATTTTTAATAGTTGGAGCCGGAATGGCGCGGTTGTTGTAATCTTCCATATTGTGCTATAATGAAAGGTGTTTTGGAACACATGGTTAAATGTAAATCTGGGCGTAAATGTCATTTCGCTCATTGTGCTTCTTCTCGCCAAATAATTTCTCATTGGAAAAATTGTCCTGAAGAAGATTGTCCTGTGTGTAATCCTATTAGAAAATTTATTGCTGAAAATGGACAAAGTCAAGTGATAGATATACTTTGTTAAATAATTTGTAAATTTAACTACATTGTTGACAATTTAAAAGAACCTCCAAAAAGAATCATTTTTTTATTTCAGGGTTATTATCTCGAATTTTTAAAAATCAGCAAAAAATTATTAAACAAAAAAATTAAATTAAAATCACTTTATACGTTATGCTATTTTTATTTTTTGACTCCAACAATTATTTTTATATTTTCAATTATTTGGGTAACGGAATTTTCGTCTCCAAAATTTTTCGGAATTTTCGTTTCCAGCTGAATATTCGCACCAAGTCAAAAAATGGAATAATGTATTGGTCACATGACTTTTAGGCGCGTTGTTTGATTTTGTGTTACTTTTCAAATAAATCAAAAAATTCACTCCGACGCCCTCAATTCCCCGCGCCTAAAATTCCAGTGGCGAATATTCAGCCGGAAACGAAAATTCCGTACACCACAAATATATTTAAGTTTTATTTAAAATACAAAATTTAATTATTTATTAAATGGCGCTTTGCGCAGCAATTTTTGACAAAAAGGACATTCTTGTATTTATTAAAATAAAAGAAAAAGGAATTAATTCAGAAACGTCAACAGAAATATCCCGCTTTCTTTACAATTCTTTTGATATAATTTTGGACAAAATTAATTATCCTGGTGCTAAAGCTACACAAGATTTGTATATTGGGTCGTTGTTGATTAATTCGTCTTTCAGGGTTTGTTGAAAAAAATTCATTTTTAAGTGGGGGAGGCTGTGGAAATTAATTTGAGTTGTTTAGTTGAAGCAAAAAGAGTTTTTGGATGTTTAAAAGATTAATTTCCCGGACGGGCTCGAACCTTCGACCTCTAATATTAATGAAATTAAAATTAGAAATTGATTTGTAGCCTCTCCAACCTTTTAAAAGACAATTTTTGATTTCCATACATGCCTTCCATATTTATTTTACATTTTTATCTTTTCACCTTTAAAAATTCTCTCCGTTCGGGGAAAAGTTTTTTACTTATTTTAAAATTAATTTTTGTCTTTTCCAAATTAAAAATTACTTTTTTCAGTCTTTTGGTTACCTAACAAACACAAACACAAAATTCCTGCTTGTAACAGACGTCGAAAACAATTTATTAAAAGACCACGAAATTAGATTATTTTTTAAAAAATTACATTCAAAATATTTTTGTGCTATAGCCAATCCATTTTACGTGTTTGGAAATTTGTTAAAATCAAAGTAAATTTATTTTTGTTTAAATTAAATAAATTTTATTTTTTTAAAGACATATAGACAATGTTGTGCAGGAATTTATTGATTGTTTTTAAGAGAGAAGTTTTTGTAAAAATAAACTTTGTTTTATGTTTAAACTTGTTTTGATTGTAAAAATATATAAACATTGTTTTATTTGTTAGACTTTCAACAAACTTTGTTTTTGTTTTAATGTTTTTATTTAAAAAAAACTTGTTTTTCTTATTATTAAATTAATTAAATTTGAATTATTTTTATTAGACTTTGTTTTTACAATTAAAAAATATTTATTAATTCTAATTTATTAAAATTATTTTTAGTATTTTAAAAAATAAATAAAATGTCAGAAAATACAAAAGAAGCAATAACAACAAAAACATCCAAAGGAATTGTCAGACTTTCAAACACTTCAGATTTTGTCGAGCCTAGTCAAGTTTGTTTTGCTTCTTTAAAACTTGAATTATTTAAAATAAAACATGTTTTGGTAAATAAAAACAAGTTTTAATAAACTTTGTTTTAAAGAAAACAATTAAAGGTTTGAGTTTGTTATTAAACTTGTTGTGATACAAACTTGTTTTTATTTAAAGAAAACAATTAAAACTTGTTTTAATAAATTAATAAAAACTTTTGTTTGTAAACACTATTTGTTGAGAACTTTAAAATTAAAATATTTAGTTTAAAATATTTTTTTAAATATAGAAATGTATATTACCAATACAAAATGGAGTTAAAAAGAAAAATGATGGCTTAGTTTCGCTTCACTCAAAAAATTCCCAAAATTTAATAAAAAAGAAAGTTCGAATAACTTTACAAGATTGCCTTGCTTGTAGTGGATGTGTTACAACAACAGAAAATAATATTTCTATATTAGAAAGTTTTTGAAAGTTTTGTAGAAATAAATAAACATTTTGCTTTTGTAGAAATATATATTTATTATAAAATTAATAAAACTTGAATTTTATTAAAACTTTAAAGCAGGTTTATTAAAACATGAGTGGAAAACTTGATTTTTTAGAACTTGAATTTTTAATAAAAACAACCAAGTTTTGATAAAAACATTTGAATGTTTTTATTAAAACTTGTTTTAATAAATTTAAAACTTGTAAAAATATTTACAAAAATTAATTTTTCCTAAAAACTTGTTTAAGTTGAACAATTGTTTGTTTCGAATATAAAAATGTTCAAAACCTTTAGATTTACCATCCCAATTAAAGTACAAAAAATAATGGAAATTTAAAAATATTTATAAAAATTAGTCAAAATAAAATAATAATTTATTAAAAATTTTTTTGAATCTCTTTCCAATCAGTCCAAAAAATGTTTAAGTTTCTGTAAAAAGCAGAGGTTTATTAGAAAATAAATGAGAAAACAGGCGGATAGCGAGCAAACTGGACCCGTTATTAATTTATTCAATTTTTGTAAAAAATAAATACATAATTTGATTGAGGATATTAATGTTTTTGCTTATAATTTGTTGCTAATAAATCTTTCAAAAATATTGTTTTTAAAAAGAAAAGTTTTTTTCACCTTCGCATGAGTCAGAATGTTTGTTTGAATTTCTTTTAAATAAAACTAATAACAACAAGTTTATTTTCAATTAAATGTTTAGCAAATAAGTTTTAAAACAAAGTTTAATTAAAGTTTGCAACAAAAAATAAACTTGAAAAACAATGAAGATTAAATAAATTAATTGTTAATTGAAGCATAAAAGAATTTTTGTTTTCCTTTCTTTAAAAAATTTTTTTCCAATTTTATTTTAATTTTTTGGAATCTTGTTTAAAATAAAAAGGAAAGAAATTAATTTGTTAGACAAAAAATTTTTATATATTTCTTTTGAATTTAAAAGGAGTGGTTTTGAAAATTTTATTTAAATTAAGAGTATGTAGGGTTGCACGAGGTTCGATGAGGCTTTGAAAAAGGAAGATAATCAGGCTTCGTTCCAAATTAGATCTTTGACCTCGATCAAGGCTTTTTCAGCCTCGGTAATCCTCGGTTTAGGTTTTTTTTCGAGAACTCGACCTTCCTTAACTCTAATTAAGAGTGATAAATGATTAATATATTTGGATGTTTAACTTTTTTAAAATAATTTTCTTATTTATTTTTTTATAATTAATAAAAGTTTTAATTAATAAATTTTTGTTTTTCTAAATTATAAGCCTTGTTGCAAGTTAAATTTATTTATTAAGAATACCTGCTTCAAGTTTAAATAATGTTCATTTAAAATTAGAACTTGTTAATAATTTACAACTTTATTGTTCAATGTCCCCTTTGCATTCAATAATTGTTTTTAAAAAATCAACGTTATATTTTTTATTTTTCTTCCACCTCAATTCTACAAAAACCATAAAAGTTTTCTTTAAATCGTGGTGTGGCCGAAATGAATTGGCAGTACAAATAAGGTAAAGAAGGAATGGAAAAAGGAGGGAAAAAAGGATGATTTTGATGGTTAACTGAGAGGAAAAAGAATGGACGTCGATCGTTTAAAATAAGAAGAAGAAACTCCTTCCAAACATTTTTATTATTTTTATCCGTTTGTTGATTTTTATTTCTTTTCTTTTTTATTTCCTTTAAATATTTACATATTTTTCTCCGTTCTACATATGTATTTATTTTGTTAATCCAAACATTCGTAAACATTTAAAACCTAAAGCTGCTAGTATAATTAAACTTGGATACTTAAACTAGAATATTTAAATGAACTTGAAACATATTTATTGGATAAATAAACTTGAGTATTTAAGTTTAAATAAACTTAAGTATACTAAACTTGAATAATTGAACTTGAATACTTATAAACTTGAAAAAACTTTAAGAACTTGAATAAACTTAAATAAACTTGAATAAACTTAATAAACTTGAAACCTAACAAGCTTTTATATATTTAATCTTATACAACACAAAATTACTTTTAACTCCTAAACTCATTCCACAAAAATTATTTCATCTTGTTGTTTTGTATATTTTTAACTCTTTGCGCGTGCTATCACTTTACAGCCGTGCGAATTTATATATTTTTCATCGCCCGCACACATTCATTTACACACAAACAAAACAACACAAAATGTTCTTCTTCATCTTCTTAACACTAAAGAGACGAAAAATAAAATAAGAAAACCAAAACCGCCGTTAGCAATTACTCTATTAAATAATTATTTGCGTCTCTCGACATGTTTTTAATGATTTGGCGCAACTTTTATTTAAACCAGCTGTTAATTAATACATAGAATGTTTTTAATATAAATAAAATAATCATTTTTATTTATTTTCTATAAATCAGCCTTAATTTACTTAAATAATCGTTATTTTTTATGTGTGTTTTTAAAAAATGTTTAAGTCAATGTTTGTTTCAAGTTGTGTTTTAATTTTTAAGTTTGCTCATTTTGTGTTTGAAGCTTGTTATTTTTATTCAAGTTTGTTTTTTCTATTTTTGTTTCAAGTTTATTTTTCCTTTTATTTTGCTTCTAGTTTATTTTTCATCATTTCCATCTAAATTCTAAGTTTAATTAATGAATAAAAATAAAAATAAAAATATGGTGGCCTTCATTTTCTCCTAATTTTTTCCGACTGTTGTGCCACTCCCGAAGTCCGTCTAAATGGCGAGAAAAAGAAAATTCATCAGCGCGGATAGTCGGCGGTGTTTGGCGACACTAATTGACCTTCTAGCGCTTCTTTCTTTCAATCTATTTAGCCTCTCACCGCAATTAGAATCAAATATTTTCTTCTTTGTTTTGGTTTAGAGTTACAGCCTTTCCAACAAACGTGAGACTTTTTAATCAATCGACTCTCGATATACATATTTAATTATCTAAATCAATCTAATATTTTTATTTTAAAAATATTTTGAAATTTTTATTAATAATGAAATTGATTTGGAGATTAAATAAAAATTAAATTTTAATTCTTTAAGTTGTTTTTATAACTTAAGCTTATTATAATTCAAGTTTTAATAATATTTTTTGGTAACTGCATTTATTTTAAATATTCACCCTGTTCTAAAAATTTTTTTATGTGGATAGAAAGCACGGATAGTACCGGCCTATTGGTTCTAAAAATCAGAACGGGTACTTATAGCCGTAGAGTAATATTTGTACGACATGTTTAAGTCTATTTTTATTATATTGATGGAGAAGGGTGAGGGGAACGAGGAACAATTTTACCTATTTTCCCCTTAAATGATTAAATTCATAATTAAATTTATTTAATTATAATTATCAAAAACTGACTAATCTCGTCATAAAAATATATCTTGCAATATCCTCTCAAAATACCTTTGCCTAATTTTTTATGTACTTAAAGCTCTTTAGTTCTCTCTTACTTTTTATTCTAAATATTCGCCACTTTTTGCTTTTTTTCCTTCTGTGCGCATTTACCTCCTACAAAAATATTTATTTATTTGAACACAACACAGAACACACAGAATAACATAGAGACACTTGAGCTGGCAAAAGCAACAAAAAAGAGAAGTATTTAGATGATTAAACAAATGAAGTAGTTAGTACATCCTTTTGCTTTAAGCTTGATCCAACTTTCGCTAATTTTTAGGTCGTGGGCGAATAACTGAACTTTAAAAAAAAGTTTTTCAAGTTTATAATTTACCTTTTAGTCGATGCTTTTTTTAAGTTTTATTTTTCTAAGTTTTTATTTAAAATTTTTCTCAAGTTTATTTACTTTCAAACTTTAATTTTCCTTCCGAGTAAATCCCTAATTAATTAAACTTGGATTTTTAAGTTCAAACTTAAATTATTTAAAAACTTGAATTATTTAAGAATAAACTTGCATTATCTAATTAACTTGAATTAATCAAACTTGGATTTTTTAAGCTTAATTGTTGAATTAGATTTGAATTATTCAAGTTCCAACTTGAATTAAATAATTCAATAATATAAACTTGAAGCAATTTTATTAAAAGTAAGTTTATTATTTCATTTCTTTTGAAGCATTTTATTTTAATTATTTTATTAAGTTTTATTTATTTTTAATTTCTGTTTCAAATTTATTTTTGTTGCAAATTTAATTTCAACTTTAGCATTGCTTGTGTACTACACTCACTCTCTCACGTTAATTTTTAAAAATTTAATTTTGTCATATGACTTTAAATTTTTTTGAAATTTTTTAAACAATTTCAATTTTTTCACTATCAATTAATCAGTTAAACTGCAACTATTTTTATTTTCTATTTATTTTTTCACTCGCGCAAGTCTTTCCCCAAACCTCCCCCCCCTCCTCCTACCCTCACCCCCCACCCTCCCTTCTCTCCACAAATTCCATGCCTTCTTCAAAAACTTCTCTTTTATTTCTCCTTTACGTAAACTGAAGCTAGCTACTAAAGATGCTCTTGTTTGAGGAATGCTACTCTTGGGCTTTGTTATTTTTTCTCCTCTTCCAAACAACTAAAATGTTCGCCGTTTCCGCAATTTTCTCTTTTATTTATTTTTATTAAAATTTTTTTCTTCTCTTTCCTCATTTGCAGCTGCGCATGAAGGATAGAGGGAAAAATTTTTTCCTTTTAATTTGATCACTTTCTTTTGATTTTTCTTTTTTTATATAAATATAAGAACATGCCATTTCTATTTTTTAAAAATCGTTTTAAGTGTTATTTTCTTTGATGAATATTAAAGTATAATTTGTTTTGCTTGTCTTGTTTTTATATGACATAAATAAATTTAAGCTTAGATAAAATAATTTGAGCAACTTGAAACATTTAATTAATTAGATTTAAATTATTTAAGTTCAAACTTGAATTATCTAATTAAACTTGAATGAGTAAATTTACTTAACTTGAAAAATTGCTTAAGTTCAAACTTACTAACTTGAAAATTTAAACTTACATTATATAATTAAACTTGAATTATTTAAGCGTAGACTTAAATTAATTAAACTTCACGTATTTATGTTCAAACTCAAATCATTAATTAAGCTTGATTTTTCAAGTTCTAACTTGAATTATTTATTGTCCTTGATTTAAATAAACCTGAATTATACTCAAGTTCTAACTTGAATTCTTTAATTAAACCTGAATTAAATAATTCAATAATATCAAACTTGAAGCAAATCTCATGAAATAACGTGTATTTAATTTTTTTAAAAGAATTCTTTAAAGTATTTCCGTTTTAATTTAATTAGTCAATTTCCGTCTAATTTTTTCTCCTTTTTTAATATGTTCCGTCAAAATACCTTAATTTTTCTTCCTTCAATTTTCTACTTTTTCTTCCCTAAACCTTTATAATTTTTAATTTAAACCCCCCAACTCCTTCCCCCTCTCGCTCACTCTCCAATCTTCCCGTCACTATTGGCGATCGCCTAAGGGCCCATCACCGCCATCACCACAACAACTAACAAAAACCCCCTCCCTTCCTCCCTCCACAATCATCAACACAGTTCCAAACCTTTCTTCTTTCTTTCCCTTTTTCTTCTCAATATTTTTACTAAAAAATTTTCTTCTTTACTTCCCTCAGTCTTCAAATCAAAAAATTCTTCTTCCATTAAAGGCTCTCCGGTGTACAAAAATGGCAAATGAATTGTAAAAGAGAGAAGAATCAACCACCCATATTATATTAAAAATTAAAGGCCCCCACAACAACAACAACAACAACGGAGGGGGGGGGGTGTTTAGGTTGGAGGGAAGGACCTCCTTTCTCTTTTTTCCCTTTTTCAATCTGTCCAGTCTCGTAATTTTTTTTAATTTTAAAATTCCTGTTTGATTATTTTTTGTATTAAATATTAATAAAATAATAAATATATTTTTTAATTTTATCGAAATTTAAAGCTTTTAAATCTCAGAATTATTAAAACAACCACTTAAGCATAATCTTGATTTTTTAATTAAGGAATTAAGGTTGTTTTATTCGAATTCAGGTTGTATTTAGGTAATCCTCTAGTAGTTTATTAGTATCCCTAATAAAAAATGGGCAAAAAGAGACTTTCGATGTTTTTAAAGTTTACCATTAGGTAATCGAAGAATAGAAGCGCCTAAGTGTTTAATACAAAAATTTAAATTTTTTTTTATATTTTTTAATTTTAAAAATAATTTTTAGAAAAATGGCTCCAACATCTGCGGGCCTTTTTTCTGTCCTCAGATTAAATAAATTTCCAAATAATTTTTATTTAAAAATTTTTATTTTTCTTCTTGCCTTATTTACTACTTTAAATTGTTCTGTAAATGTTGCAAAATTTAATGCTCGTCTTTCAGTATTTAGCAGTGATTTTGAAAGTAAAATATATTTGAAAAATTTAATTAAAAAAATATTTTTTAATAATTATTTAATTAGAAGAAATTAATTTTCCGTGAAAGTATTCGGACACGCAGCTATTTTTAAGGGGATTTTGTAGAGCGCCACTGTGCGCTAAAATTTTCGCATGGCTGCAATTTTTAAAATTTTAAAACACGCCAAAAGCAAAACGCCAAAATCGGTCCATAAACGGACGCCAAACGCTGTGGCGTACAGCCTAATGGGGAGCTATCTAAGAGATACCCTCTATTTAATATACACCTCATTATAAGGAACGAATTTTTCAGCCTAAAATATGTATCTAAAAACGAGGATTTTAGAAATAAATTTTGCATATATTTAAAGCATTGCAACAACAAAGGCATAAAAGAGCAACAACAGAATCTTTACTGACAGTAGAGTGGGAAGGGATTCAAAGTGGTGACCATCCAGATTCTTCTATTAGAGGTTTTATTGTTGAATATAAAGCTGAAGGTGAAAATCAATGGAATGTGCATTCTGGGATTATACCTTATAAAGGACCTAATCATCAATACAGAGTACAGGCATGTGGAAATTTTTAAAAGGAATTATATCTTAAGGTTGCCTGAGGTAATAAAGAGGGTTTGGGGGAATAAAATGAAAATAGAGAATTATAATTACAAACACTTTGGTTAACTTAAACTGAGCCGAAGAATCTTATCTAAAATCTGGGTTTTGTTTCGGCCCGGAACCGATACCAACCTAACCAACGCCTATCCTTAAATTCTCTTCCCTCCTGCTATCCTCAACAATTTTTTAAATTTATTAAAAAAATTTTTTTTCATTTTTTTTTCAGATACCCAAATTACCAACAGGAATATCATACTTTGTTCGCATAAAAGTTTTGGGTTCTAAAGGAGAAGTTTTGGTTGAAACACCAGAAATTCGTGCCAAAAACGAAATTGTTTCGATACATTGTGAACCTGAAGAAATTACTTCTCCAAACAATATCAAAATTAAAGAACAATCAAAATTTAGTATAGCAATTACTTGGCAGCCCCCAGAGTGTGGTTCTATTGGGGAGTATCAACTAGAATTGAAAGGATTGAATTTACAAAGTTTTGATGTTCATAGACAAACAGTTTCGCAACCACAAGCATCGATTAGTGGATTGATTTCTGGAACTGAATATTCTTTGAGGATTAGAGCTATTGATAGGGCGAGGATTGTTGGACCGTGGAGCGAGGAGGTAATAAAAATAAACTCTCTAAAAGATACCCTTATTATTAGAGAAACCTCTATTTAAGATACTCTAAAGGTTATTGGGTGGTGGAGTTGTTTAAAAGCATACCCCCTATTTAATATAGGTACACCTCTTATAAGGTAGGTGTCTCAAACTCGAGAGTGTATATAAATGTGAGAGGTCCGGTTACAAAATTAAATTTTCCAGAAATTTTTTTGTAAAAAAAAATTAAAAAATTTCATTTAAAGCTAATAACTGTGAGTACAAAAGGAGAATTACCAGAACAATTATCTAACGCACAATTAGAATATATTAGCGATAAAGAAGTTCGAATAAGTTGGACACCTCTAGACCATCCAAGATTACAACATTATGAGGTAAACAAATATGTATATAAAAGACTTGAACATGTTGTAAAAATAAATAAACTTGTTTTGGAAATTAAAATATACATATGTATAATAAACTTTAAAAACAAGTTGTAAATCAAGTTTTATTATAAAAACAAGTTTGCTTATATATAAACTTGTTTTTATAAACAGGTTGTAATTAGTTCTGAACAAACATGTTTTATTTATGTATATAATCAAAATATAATTAAACTTGTTATTTATTTATAGAAACAAGTTTTACTATGAACTTGTTTTTATAAAAACAAGTTTTGTTACAACTTGTTTTTATTACAAACATGTTTATAAAAACAAATTACATTATAAAAACTTCTCTAATAAACATTAAATTTTAAAACATTTTCTGTGGTATTAATAAAACATTAAAATTAAAGATTGTTTTGACTGAAATAATTAATAATTCAAAACAAAAAAACACAAAACAACACAAAGAAGAAGAAGATGATGGGGAAAAAGTTGAAAGAACTCGTGTTGCCCCAACACAAACAAATGTTTATTTTGGTGATCTTAAGCCTGATACTGAATATAAAATTGGTGTTTTGGCATATATGTATGTGGGGGGTTTTTTTTTGAAAAATTTTTTTAGGAGATAATTTAAAAAGTGAAGATTTTTTGTTTGGAAATTTTTTTTAATTTAAAAAAAAATTATTTTTTTTTTTAAATTTAAAGTGATCACGAGCCTGTTAGACTTCAACGCTTAACTTTGCAAACAAATATTGAACATCCTATTGAATCAAGCCAAAAGCCTATGGTTTTACAATTAGAAAGTGGGGAATATGAAGTAAGAGATTTAGTTTCATTAAAATATTATGAAGGGGGGAATCGTCAAAATTCTTTGTATGTCCTCCAACTTTTTAAGTTTGAAAGTCGGAATTTTTAATCCGGAAATGACATTCATTCAAAAAGTTTACTTGTTTTTCCTCGATTACTTTTTACTTCTCTTCAATTTTTAGCTAAAACAATTCTTTAAAAAATAATTTCCAAAATTTTTTTTCAAGGTTCATTGGAAGCCTCAACCAGAACTTCAATATAGCCAATATATTTTAGAATATAAATTAGGAAATGAAACAATAAAATGGTATTTATTAACAAAAAAAGAAGAAACAAATCAACAACAACAACAACAAAGTTATTCAATAAAAACAACAAAATTGGAAGATGCAATTTCTGTTCGTTTATTATTTATTGGAGAAAAAGAAGAGGGGAAAAAGCCTATTTTAATTGCAAAAACAGAAGAAACTTTAGTTGGACACAAATCTGTTGGAAATTCTTGTGAAAGAGTAGCTAGTGGAGAACCTAAATTTTTGGAAGAAGAAGAAGGGGAAGAAGTAAAGAAGAATGATAAAGTTGTGATAATACCTGAAACTATTAAATTTAAATGGGAACAAGTTAAATGTGAAGGACATATTGAAGGGTGGGAATATATGGTAAATTAGTAATTTTAATTTGAAAAATAAATGTAGGTTATTGGAGATACTAACGGGATTATATAGCTAATCAGAAACCCGGTGTTGTTGTCTACATCTTATTTTATAGGTACTCAAGCCAAAAAGTTTCCAAGGCCAAGACCGTCAAAACCCAAGGGATTCTTAAGGCAAGACTTTAGACCTATCTCATTTACAAAAAAACGCAGTAACTCTGAATGAAGCTGCTTCGGAGTCTAAACTTGATAAAACGTCAAACTCAATTTAGATTTAAAAGGGAATGAATGTTATATAGAGATTTGACGGTATTCCTGATAGACAGAAAAATTACAATCTCTAATTAATTAATTGTTTAAAGCTCCATTAATTTTATTTTAAAAGATTTGGCCAGCAGAAGATGGTCATCAACCATTAGAGGGATCTGTTCCAGAATTTACTAGCCAACCCCAAGTTTTACTTCAAGGACTTGAACCATCCACAGAATATCGTTTTAAAGTAAGGCATAGATTGCCCCATGGAGGGCATGGTCCTTGGAGTCCAACAGCTAGTGGACGTACAAAAATTAGTAAAAAAGAAGGAGAAGAAGAAAAAGAGGAAGGAGGAGAAACATCTGAAAATATTTATAGATTAAGAATTGCTTTAGTACCTCCACGTTCTTTTCTAGTTTGGACACCTTTGCCTGAACATGCTAAAAGAATACATAGATTTAAGTAAGTTTGGAATTAATTTTTTAAATCAGAATGCACTAATACATATAAACCAAAAGTTATTTCAGAATAATATAAGAATTTAAGACATTGTTAAAATTCGAATTCAAATCAGAATATTAAATCAGTATCAACTAGATGAAACTAGTTCTGAATTTATATGTATTATCAGAATTTAAACTAGAATTATGTAAAAGTCAAAATTATTTTAGAATTTAGATCAGAATTATAAAACAGAATTCTCAGAATTTTTCAGAATTATTTAATTAAAATTCTGTTTATTCAGAGTTTCTCACAAGCCAACAGCACCAACACTCGCCGATGGCGTCACTGTCGAAGGCCCAACGGAACAATTTGTTGCCTGCCCACCAGGCATTTCACAACCCGGAGTTGATTTTTGTTTAGACCTTCGAGGGCTTGAATTGGGGAGACAATATTCTGCAGAAATTTTGTACCAACTCGATGGGCCAACTGGAAAGTGGAGTAAAAAGGGGGCTCCTCTCTTCTTTATTTTAGTTGATGAAGATGTTAATAAAGAAGAAAAAGGGCAACAACAACAATTAAATATTGGGCAAATACGTATTGAACAATTAGAAGGAAAACCAAAATCTGTCGTTCATTGGACAGCCGATGGCCCTATGTTGGATCAAATACGTGCCTACCAAGTGGGTTTAAAAAATGTTTTAAATCAGAATCAGGAATAAAAATCCCCCATAAAATACCCCCAATACACCTTAATTCAATACTTGAAACAATGCCTCTATTTAAGATAACTTTCATTATAAGACGCGATTTTTTCAGCCATATGTATTTTATAGTGAGATTTGACTCCTCTATTAATTGATGTTTGTCATTTAAAAATTAAAAAAAGGTTGAAATTCGTGGTGGCCCTCAACAAATATGGCGTCCAATTAGTGGATATGTTGCTGCTGTACAGGCCGGTCAAAAACAATTTAGAGTTGAAATAGATAGTGCTTTGTTGGCTGGGCAAGCTGAAATTCGTTTGAAAGCTTTGGGCTCTGATGGAAAACCTGTAGTGGAAAGTTTACCGCTTGGAACTGGAAAGCCTTGTGAACGTAGGGAATTTATTAAATATTTACATATTAATAAATTAAAATCAGAATTAATTAATTAAATATTAAATCAGAATTATTTTACTCAGAGAATTTAAGTATTTATATAAACTATGCATTAATTAATTCAAGTCTGTGTTAATACTTGAATAAAAAAACAGAATTTAAATTTCAGAAATTACTTAAAATTAGAATTTAAATAAAAAAATTTTTTTTTGAAAAATAATTTACAAAAAAAATAAATTAATTAATATTTTTCTAGCAATAACACAATCTCCAAAAGACGTAATTTTAACAACCGAAAGAAGTAGTTATTTAATAATTCGATGGACATTTCCACAACCCAAAGACTTGAAAGAAATTGAGCGTTGTCATTTCCATTTTTTGGTTGGAGGAATATTAAATGGGGCTGCTTTACAAAGAACTGTTGATGGAAATTTGAGAGAATTAAAATTAGAAATTGAAGAAAAAATAAAAGGAAGACTACTTTCCCCTCAAAATATTCGTTTAAGTGTACATGCAGTTAATAGATTGGGGGCTGGGCCTGCTTCTATTCCTGTTTCTGTTGTTGGTGGAATTGAAAATATGGCAACATTGCCTGAAAAAAGTAGGGAAAATGAAATTTTGTAATTCTAAATAAATAATTTTTTTAAGCCCTAAAAATGTGGGAATTAAAGAGGGAGGGGGGGGGGGGAATTTGGGTTATCTTAATATTTTTATATATTTCTGGTGGTGGATTTTTTGGTGAAGGGTGTTTTTAAAAATTATTTCTTTTAAATATATGTAGTTGAATCTTTATTTTAATTTTCTAAATTTAATTGGTTGGTGAAGCCGCCTACGATAAAGCCCCTTTTCAGTCTCGAGGCTATATTTTAGGCATAATTTTTTTGATTTTTAATCGACTTAAATAATTATTGATGTGAAGATTATTTAAACTTAACCTTTAATTAGGTAATCCTACAAAAATTTAAGCAGAATAAGGACCACAATTCACGATTGTGGACACTTATCCAGCTCTAACTTTTTATTTAATGATCAGAGAAAATTGATTCTGTTATAAATAATCTTTACATCCAGAATTTTTCTTTAATATAAAAATTATTTAAATCGGTTAAAAATAAAAAAAAGTTATTTTTCCTCAATGGTCTACGAAAATTGAGGTTTTAGATGATTAAATTTAATAAAATAAATTTAAAAATAAAACCCCATTTTCAATTATTTTCTACCATTTTTCTCTTTTTTCTTTAATTTTTCTTTGTCTTTTATGTATTTATTTTTGTTTATTATTAAATGACAGAGCTGAACAAAAAAACCTAGAAGATTTTTTTGTGTTTTTCGGGCAATTAAAATCAAAATTTAAAGAAAATCAGCTCTGCCTTTTTTAAATTAAATATTAATTTATTTTCGGCCCTTTTCTAAGCCCCCAGCCTTTCAGCTAACAACCAAAACCAACACAAACGTTTTCGACGCAAAATATGTGACCCGAGAACTGATTTTTGGTGTCGTGAAGAATCTTTTAATGTTAATGATGGGTTGCCTCACGAAAAAGGTTTTTAAATTTTTAGAAAATATATTTGCTGTGTTTTTGTGTTTGTTTTTTAACATCATCTAATACAAATACTCGAGGGGGGTAGAATTAGTGATAATTAAAAGAAAACAAGGCTACTATGTACTTAGTACATATATTCATTCAAATTACGAAGAAGGTATATTAAATCTACTAATGTCTCACGAATCTGAACTTCGTTTACATAAAAATTGCTTTGCGTCTTTTAAAAGTAAATATCATCTTTGTATACCTTTTTAAATTATTTTGATTGAAGTATTTATGTGCATTAATTAATTATCCTCTCTCTCAGCCTTTTAAATCGTTTGATGTGTTCAAATCTTAACATTTTTTAATTTTTTTTTCTTTTTTTTTTTGCTTTATGCTCTGCTTTTTTAACAATTAAATAATTACTAAATCCTCCTCTTCTCTTTAATATTTTCTCTATTATTTTTTTATTATTCCCTTATATTTTTCTTTACCTTTTTTTAAAATTAAAAAGCCCAAATGCTTATTTTGCTCTTTATCCTTTGACGTAATTTAAAATTTTTCCTTCTCTTTTTTCTAGCTTTAATTTCACCTCCAACAGTCTCAACCTCACCAGAAGGTTCTCTACAAGTTCAGTGGCGTTCTAAAGGGCCGGGACGTGGAGTTTTTGGTTATCGAGTGCTTTATAGATATCCGGGTGGTGGATGGAACCCTTACGGGTAGTTATTTCTGTTATTAAATTGATTGAGGGTGTAGTGGACCTTTCAAGGGAATTTGGGCTTTGGCACTATCCAATTAGATCATCCACAAGGGTTATGAAAAATCATAGCTTATAATGAGGTTTATCTTAAAAATAGAGGGAATCGCTTGGACATATAGAGGTAGACAGAGCTTATATTTATCTAATATTTGCATTATCTAAAGAGAGGTTTCAACAACCCAAGCTCCTGCTACCAGAATCAAAAAATTCTTTTCTCGACTGGGAATTTACAAAATTTATTCAATTTAAAATCAATTTTATTTTTCCAGTCAAATAGTTCCTTATACCGGAGATGATGAGGACTACAATTTGGCATTGACCGGACTTTCTCCAGGAGTTCCTTACGAATTAAAAATCCAAACACTCGACAGAAACTCTTATGTTTTGTTTACTTCACAAGATGTTCGTTCATCTTCTACATGTCTTCCACCAACACAGCCACCTTCTCAATTAGCTATTGATGCACCTGATGCTCGACATGTTCGAGTTACTTGGGTACCGGTGGTGCAAAGTGTTTGGAAATGTTCGGAAGCAAAAGTGGAATTACAAGTGTGTGATTTTCTGTTTTTTTTCACGAAAAATTCCGACTTCTTTTCTGAGTCTCTCAGAAAAGTTCGGACTCTTCCCATAATTTTCACTCATTATAAAATTTATATTAAAAAATTAGATCGACGAACCACGCGGAAAACCACCAGTTTTCCTAGATGCAAGACAAAGCAGTCATGTATTTGATGCATTGCCTGCTCAGCGCATGGCAAGAGACTTCTTAAAGATATTTTTAATAAAAGAATATTTTCTAAAGACAATTCGTGCTCGAACCACAAACGAAGCCGGCCATTCACCTTGGTCTTCATCCGTCTCAGTTTCGACTCTTTCTTCTGCCCAATCACTCGCCGAACCAATTGACGGTCCTTTCGTTTCTCTAGTTCATGGAATGCCTCGACTAAGTTGGAAAGGCCGTGAAGGCTCCGACCCGGAATTGGTCGATCATTTTATTATTGAATGGAGAACGAGAACAGAACAACGCTGGAACCAATTGCCACAGCGTATTCAATTCACAGGGTGGCAAAGGCCGTATAATGTTGATTTGGATCAATTGCCTGCTGGGCATTTATATGGTAAAATATAGAGCTTTTGTTGATATCCACCGGGCGGTATTGAATCTGTGACCTCTTAGAATCTATTTCAATTGCTCGCAGATTCTGTCCACAGATAACAGAAAAATAAAACTTAACAATTCTCTTTACTTAATAATTCTCTCTCATTCATTTTATCTAGAAGTTCGCCTTCGGGCACTCGATCACAATTTGGGTACAGCATTTCTTTCTGGAACGGTATGAATCTTAGTTGAAATCATAAAAATCTTTAAAAAAAGGTCACAGTCCAAGCCCAAGCTCAATGCCGACCACCCCATTCGTCGCCAAGAAACTTGGAGATAACTCCTCTGGGTCCAAACCAACTTCGCTTGAGTTGGCATCCTTTGCCCGAAACGGAATGGAATTGTGATCAGCTTTGGTATGTGGTCAAGTATTCCAGCACTGAACAACAGGTTGGTTTGATAGATAAGAGACCTGAGAATTTAGAGGTGTTAGTCGCAAGTCCAGTCTACCCACACCTCAATGTAAAAATCGCATAGGTTTATTTTGATGGATTCAACCCAGCTCGACGAAATACGTCGAAACTACTCAATTTTGCTTGTTCTAAGTAGACAGACTGTTGTAGATCAGCAGAAGTCAATTTCAATAAAAAATTTTTTTCAGGGCTTCCGCAATTTAAGCAATAATGATATCAGTACAATCTTTGACTCAGCACCATTCACTCAATGGCACTTCCAAATACAAGCTGCAAACCCTGCCGGTGCCGGTCCTTGGAGCTCACCTTTGGATGGACAAACTTTGGGAACTGCACCAGGTCCAGTTGGGGATTTCTCTGCGCAAACTCTAACACCCGATGCTGTTCAACTTTCATGGCGTCCCCCACAAATTCCAAACGGCCAAATAACAGGCTATGAGGTTGGCCTAGAGGTAAACGTTTGGGGAAGGAAATTTGATCTATAAAGGTGACTTATCAGCTGATCTCACGAGGAATGTGCCAAAATGGACAGAATGTTGCAGGAAGTGATGCTGCTGGAGGAGGAGGGGAACAACAACAACCAGCTGCTACTACGCTCCTTTCAGACAAATCATCCTTCACTCTTCAACAGCTACACCCACATTCACGCTATAGAATTGGAGTGGCAGCACGGACAGACACGGGCGCTGGAGAGAGAGTGACAAGAGAAGTTCAGGTTAGGATCTAGTAAGAGAATCTCACTTAAGGTTACCCCCTTAAGACTGCAAAAATTTTTATTTTTTAATGAGAAATCTTAAATAGGGAGTATCGCTTAGACCGCCCTTTGTCTAATATTGGGGGTATCTTATAGTGAGGTCTGACTATACAGCGATTTTTATATTAAACTGTTTTTATCATATTATCAACAGACTGATCAGTCAGTGCCAACAGCCCCTCCAGCCAATTTTCGTGTCGACAACATAGGCGAAAATAATGCCGAGTTGAGTTGGCATGCACCTCCATGCGTGCACACAAATGGTGATATAACTGAATATGAGGTGCTTTTTTGAAAACATTTTATTAAAATCCAAAAAATTTTTCACAGTACGAAATCGCTGCTGCGGACAGACTTTCTGCACAAATTCCACGCGTCACAGACGTCACTCGTTCCACACGTGTTCACTTAACCGGCTTGGTTCCGTCGACTTCTTATTCGGCCCGTGTGAGAGCTTTTACTGCGCGTGGTCCAGGACCTTGGTCGCCGGAATTGCGATTTCAAACGAGGCCTTCAGCATTGCGCGAGCCAATGCCACAACCGAGAGTTTATGCTACAGGAAATAATGAAGCTCAGTTGGTATGGCAAACAACTCAAGGGCAGTCTGGATATTGGGACAAGTTTGCATGTCAATGGGCACCTACTGGCACTCAAAAATACAAGGAAGAACGTGTTGTCCCTGCCTATAATCCATGTTCTGCCGATCTGGTCCGTCGCTATCAACTTCCACCCAGTACCACACAGCTACAGACCCATTGCACAGCCTTGCCTGTTCGACAAGATCCATCAGCACTTGACTATCGAGTACGTGCTAAACCTCAAGGACAGCCATGGACACAATGGAGTCCTCCTCAAAGACCTGTTGTTGTACAACCGCCACCACCTCCTCCCCCACGCCCTCCTCCTCAACAACCACGCCCAGCAATTGTTGATGATTGTATACAATTACTAGCTTTGCACAAACAAGGAGGATCTGCAAATACTTTGAGATTTGCTTGGTCTGTTCGTCCATCAGGTAGACTAAAGGGGAAATTTTTCTAAAATTTTTTTCTAAAGATTTGTTGCGTTGTGCTGCTTTTATTGTATCCGTGACACCCAGAGATGGTAGAGAACCTGCTCGCCAATTCCGAGTTGATTCTAGCACAAACCAATACACTGCAGATTCGTTAAGGCCTGGGACGGTATATGCGGTTAGTGTTCAGCCTGTAGTGAATGAACGACCCTGTCCTGGAATGACGGTTGACATGACTACTGATGTGGTATGTGAATTAGAAAGACAAATAATTGTTTATTGGTACCAATAAATTTTTTATTTTAAAAAGGAACCTCTCTTCCAACTGGACCAACGACCACGAATCGTCGAAGAAAGGGCCACCTCAATCACAATTGCTTGGGACGTCCCTTCATCCATTCAATGCTCATCCTTCATTGTTGAATACCGCCTAGAAACAGGTCCTTGGCAACAAATGCAGCAAAGGGTTCCTTGTCAGCCGGGCAGAACAACATATACAGCAACAGTACCAGGACTTCCTACAAATAGTGCTGTTGATTTGCGTGTTAGAGCTATTTCATTGCAAAACCAACCCAGCAATCCAAGCCCTGAGGTGATTAGGGAAATTTTTATATAGACCGCAATCCGCAATCTAGGTTGCGGACGGCATTGTGTCCGAAACTGTAGTCCGTAATGAAGTGAAGAATAATTTATTTATTTTTCAGGTCCGAGGCCACACAAAATGTTCACCTCCAGACTCTCCCCCTCATGGTTTACGTCTTGATTCCCCTACACAAAACGAAGTAAGGCTCAGTTGGGCACGTCTTTCAAAACTCAGTTGGAACTGTGACGAGCTTCAAATTGATATAGGCTACAGAACGGCTGATCAGCCCGAACGAATATTGACTGTCCCAGCAGACAAAGTCGAACATATTTTCTCCTCAGAACCAAACACCCGTTGGACAGTTAGACTGCGAGCTACAAACCAGGCAGGAAGTAGCCCTTGGGGACCAGAACAAACACTCGTTACAAGGCAAGGAGCGCCTGGACATGTACTAAATATGCAATTAACGCCTCTATCTCCAAACGAAATAAAAGTTACTTGGTCACCTCCAACCGTTCAAAGAGGAACTATTGTGGGTTATGACATCTCTTATAGACTAAAGCATAGATTGGCTTGTCCAGAAGAAGAGCCACGTGATGTTAGCAGAGATTTTGTTACAATCTATAATCATAAGGTGAGAGCGCAAAATTTTTGGGGTTCAATGTCATTTGTGAACCGACATTTGCATGACTTTTTAAATGACTTCTGGGTCTGGTCATTATCATTATCTAAGCATACAATAATATTTTTTAGTATATTTAGTACTTAGCACAAGAATAAAAAGCTTCCAGCATGTCCGCAAATGTCAGGTTCGCAAGTCTCACTCCACCATTTCTGGTGGAGCAAAATTTAAGGCGGATTCCGTTATTATGACGGAGGATTAGTAGCAATTGACTAGAAAATTGTTTTGTCTTCTTCACAGGATACCGAATATATCTTAACCGGTCTTCTTCCAAATTCATTATATGAAGTCAAAGTCCAAGCAAGAACAACACAACTAGGCCCAGAAGAAACCCGTGAGGGAGCAACCTTTCAACAACCTCCAAGTGCTCCGCCTCTAAATCTTCAATTGACTTATGCCTTGGAACGTTCTCTATCTTTTCAATGGGAACCTGTGGAATGTTCACAAAGGCATGGACAAATAATTGCTTATGAATACGAAATTATTGGACAGGATGATTGGGCAAAGTTGGAAAGACAAATTGCTAATATATCTCAACAGCGTGTAACTATTGATGGCCTTACACCTTATACTAAGGTGAACTCTTAAAAGTTTTTTGAATACAGTTCACAACACTAAGAACTCTCAGAATTAACATTTTTAAAATTTGGTTGGCCACTGGGGTAGGGGACCATTAAACGGTACCCTCTATTTAAGATACACGTCATTATAAGATACAATTTTTTACCTTAAAGGAAGGTATCTTATAGAGAGACCGAACTGTATTTATTTTTCTAAAATATTTTTAGTACGTTTTCCGAGTTCGTGCCTACAACGGCGTTGGCGGAGGACCTGCTACCGAAAATTTGGATGTAATGACGGCCAAAGCAAATGCACCACTTCCTCCCCAAGACCTTGTGGTCACTCAGGAGGGTGTTTCTTGGTAGATTAAAAAATATTGTGAAGTAATTTCAAAATCTTGTCAAGGTTCACAGTTTCTTGGCTTCCACCTTATCCTCCTTATGGACCACACGATCGTTATAAACTCCAATATCAACATTTGAGTTCATCACCAAATGATTGGAAAAGTATTGAGGTTGATTCAAGAAGCAGAGAGTTGGAATGCCCAGTCAGTTTAAAAATTTTGTTTTAGTAATAAATCGGTTTTATGATATTGATGTATCCGTCATGCTCCCAATATTTTCTAAACGTTTACAGGTACCCGGTCCACGTCTTTGCTACAATATTACCGGTCTTGATCAAGGACAGCAATACCGAGTCAAAGTAGCTGCCCATATTGAAGGAGGCAATTACGGTCCTTTCTCCCAGATTGGTAAAAGTTTCTTTTTTAGATTTAAAATATTTTAAAATTATTTTAAGTTATTGCAAACACACTAAGAGTTGTTCCTGGAGCTCCTGCTTCCATTGATTTGATAGCCAAAACTGACCATTCCTTGCATGTTGGGTGGAAACCTCCATATGACCAATTAGGGCAAATTACTGAGTTGGCATTTTGTCCTTTTTTTAAATAAATTTCTAATAAAAACTTTATTTAAAGGTATCGCCTATCTTGGCAATCTCTTGCCCATCCAAATGCTCGAAGTCAGTCTACAATTGTTGACCACCCCAAAATGGATCATTTAATTGATGGACTTGAGCCAGAGACTTATTACAATATTTCTCTCTCAGCCGGCACTCCACACGGATTTGGGCCGGAAATTTGGGCTCAGTTCAGGACAGACTCGTTCCGAACACCTTCTGTTCTACAAGCACCTATATTGACGCCTGAGGGGGCACATACAATACATGTGGAATGGACGGGGGTTGTAGACACTCAAAATAGAGTGGCTGGATATATTGTTGAAAGTAGAACCAGTGATGCTCCTCAATGGATTGAATCGAGTAGTGTGGTGAGTTTTGATTGGAATGAAGAATTGTAGTCGGAACTCATTTTTAAATACGCCCTTTTGTGTGTAAGAATATCACATCTTATAATAAGCGGTATCTCTCATACTGGGGGTATCTTTTAGTGAGGTCTGAATAGAATTATTCAAAATACCAATTAATTGGTTTACAAAAAATTAATTGTTAACCATACAAAGGTCCCGCATGAGCCAGGAAGGCGTCAATACAAAACTCGATTGGACGGTCTTGAACCTGATACTCTCTACTTTGTCCGTATCAAAGTAGTTGACAATCGCCAACGTGTAAGTGAAGCCTCTCCAGAAGCACATGCACGTACTGGTTGTGCTCCTCCAACTTCACCGCCCACAAGTGTTGCTTTACACGGGTCAAGTGATTGGCGTCAAGTTAGAGTTTCCTGGCAACCACCAAATAAACAAAGCTGGCTTTGTTCAACAATAAGTTATGAATTGGAATATCACAATGGATCGGTGCCTTCGAGATTAGTTGATGTTCCTAGGTAAATTATAGTTTTCTAAAAGGGAGAATACTCAGGAATTCCTTTAAATGATAGAAATGACCCAGTTTTATCGACTATAGCTTCAAAAATAATGATAAAAAATTCTGAAATTTCTGAGTCTAGGATGTTAAAGAAATTTAAGAAAATTTTTCTTGAAATCAGATTTAGGCCAGAACAATTCCAACCTAGCACAGTTTTTTCTCCATCAATGAATTTCTTTGTAACATGAATTCCCCCAAATAGCTAATCCTTATACATATAACTGAAACTTTCCTTCTTTCAAAAATCATCTTTATTAATTTCCAGCGGCTACACAGACCACAGTTTACCTTCAGGACCAGGGACAGCTTGGAGAGTCCGTGTTCGAACAAAGGTCAGAAATTACTTCTACATACCTCCAACTTTTTAAAAAATTTTAAAGAATCCTGCCGGTGTCTCTCCTTGGTCGCCAGAAGTTGAATTGAGAACAGGAGGTAGACCGCCGGGAGAAGTAACCGATCTCCGAGCAGATGCGACAGGTCCAGACAGCGTTTCCTCTACTTGGTCACCCCCTGAATCTGACGATGAAATAACTGGATATACTCTAGTCTACACATTAAAATCGATTGGGGAATGCGGGCCGAGTTCAGCCTCTAGACCTATTACGAGGGAAACAACAGAACCTAATTTGGATTTGCAAGGATTGTTGCCTGACTCTACTTATGATATTACTGTTACTGCACATACTGCTACTCAAGAAGGGAAACGGTCTAAAGTTGTTACTGTGAGGACTGAGGAAGCTCGTATGTTTGTTTAATTCTTGGGTATTAAATTGGTGTTCAATTGTCCAAAAATTTGACCTGAAAGAGGGTAGGGTAGTGCGCCAAAAAACGCAGAACATCATGGCGCTCAAATCTCCTGAATGAAATTTAAGGGAACCCGTAGCGTATAAATAGATTAAATCAATTTGGAACTATTAAAAACAATACTCAAAAACAATGTAAAATTAGCCCGTCCTCCAAAAAATATTTATCCCTTTTACAAAAATAAACATGAGTTATTATCAAGTATACAAACAACCAGAGTTGGCGAATCTAGGAAATTTTCGGATATCCGTATCCAAAATGGTTATATAATGATCAGCCAACTCCAAATACAACACAAAACAAATAATATATTTATAGGGAAAGAGTTCTTTTATTCATCCCAAACAATTTCGACTTGTCCTAACTCCATCCATAGCCCGGTCCACGAATGAGCACTGATGATCACATAGTAAGCGATAGTGCCGACAATAGTTTGCTGCCATATCGCAGATCATGTTTCTTAAAGTTTTTTAATTTAAAGACAGTCAGATTTCAGTATAAGGTAAACCCTTGGGGATAGAAAATCGAACCTAGTAATGAGCTGTTCCTTAAATAGAGTGTACCTTATAATAAGATTCCCCCAACCAATAGCCAACTAAATAGAGGTTTCTCTTATAACGAGGTCTGTCTAACAAAAAAACACCTTCCGAGTTGATCCATCGAATTTAACCAATCTGCCACACGCCAAACAAATCCAGCTGTTGAGACAAGGAAAAAGTGCAGAGGCGGCCAAATCCATCCAGTCAAAGCAGCAATTAGAGAAGCAATCATTGGCTGTAAAAGACCCAAACAAATGTAGAAGGCAATTGCTGCTAATGGATAGGCTAACACCTTTAAAGAAGGAAAAAATATTTTTTGAAAAAAATAATTGGAAGGACCTCATGTTCTGCAGCATAATTTCCAAGCCTAATCAACAAAGCTGTCAATTTGACCAATCCATCCCAAATGTGTGAACAACAGTCGGAACCATCATCATTACTCTGCATTGAACTGGAAATAAAGAAAATTATTTGGTGTCAAGTTAATCTCCATTTTAGATGGAATACATAAGTGATCGTGTAAAAGATTTAGGGGTGTAAAGGTCAGTTTTTTAGTGTGATAATCCAAAGATGTGGGGTGTGATAAGTCAGTGATGCGATAAGCGATTTGGCATTGGGAAAATTTGGAGGTTTAATTAAATTAAAAAAAAACTTACACAGAGAACGACACATAAGAGGAATCCAAATCTGATCCTTCCAGCAGGACATCAGAATTCACTCGGACCAACTCTGGATTAGAACAAACTCCATTCGGCTTTACTCGCTTCATCAAAGCAACATGAACTTCGCGTCTAATGTGATTTGTATCTTGCGAGGATTTACTGCTGCTGCTACCACTATATTGAATAGCAGAACTTGGAGATGATTGAATAGTTTGAGTTGAAGCACTACTGTGAGAATGTTTAGCGCGTTGTTGAAAGTTTCCTCCTTTCTGTTCCCGTCCTTGACCGTCACAAATGTTTTTGAAGATATCCCTGAAAAAAGTGGGGAATGAAATGTAGTTTTGTTGAAAATAATATCAAGTAGATACAGTCAAACCTTGCTTGTAGGTAAATACATCCCCGGGGGTGAATAATGTTCTCTTATAATGAGGTGTATCTTAAATAGAGGGTATCACTTATAGGCAACTCTCCCATTCAGTCCCTCAAATAGAATTGTATCTTTATTGGGGGTAACTTATAAAGAGGTTTGACTGTATTGTCTAAACTCACAATCTATGCTGTCCTTTATCTGTCAGGGAAAGAGTACTTGCCTCCCCAAAAGTCTCCTCATTGAATAGATCATCTGGCAATGGGCAGGGTACGTCATCAATGCGCTCCCTTGCATTTCTGAAAATGAGAAGATTTTTAAGGTCAAAAAATCCCTCCTCCACTTACTTTTTTTGCTTCTTTCCAATGATTGATTGTCGCCTTCGTTGTATCTGTTTGTTCTTCTTCTGGACAGAACGATTGCGCGGTTTGTGCGAACTATTTGAAATTATCAACGTCATTTTGTTTTGATTGGTTTGTTGTTGTTTTTGTGTTGACGTTCTTGTGGTGTAGGAGAAGCTTGATGTTTAAGCCACCAAAGAACGGAACAGAATGAGAGCGACGCGCCTGCGAATGATTTTGTAGTGTGTTGAAAACATTGAAGCTTTAATGCTTTTATATTAACTTTTTATGCTAGAGAGGGTGAATTAGGATAAATTAAAAAGAGAAGGCTGTAAACAACACTTCGGTAGTTTAGTCGGTAGAGCACCTGTATATGTATACGAAGTGAGCGAAAGCCCCCTAGCAATTGCTAAGAAAAAAGGTTACAGGTTCGATGCCTGTCCGTGTTTAAACGTTTACTCTTACTATTGTTTTGTGTTGTACATATACATCCAGGATATAAGGAAAATTAAATTATACCTATGTGGGATTTGTTTTGGGAAACTAGAAAATTTTCTAAAAAATTCTCTGTTAAAGTTTGATTTCTTTCTTGATTCTTCTTATCTTTTTCCTTCTCCTAAGCAAAATCTACTATACTTTTAATTAATTAAAGCACCAACTGGTCATCCAAAGAATTTGCGTGTAGCCTCAGTCACCTCAACTAAAGCAGAATTACTTTGGAATGAAATTGAATGTGAACTTCGTCATGGACGTATTATCGGTTATGAATACGAATTGGATGATACAAGCGGGGAAAGTCAAAATATAAGTGAACAATCAACGGCTAGAAGAGTTTCTTTGGATGGATTGATCCCTTTTACTGAATATAGAGCTAGAGTGAGAGGAAAAAATTCGAAAGGGGAAGGGCCGTTTTCTGAATATGTTGCTTTTAGAACTTTGCCTGCTGGTACATTTGTTTATTTTTTTAATTTAAAATTAGCTCGTGAGAGCATATCAAACAATTAAAAACCTAAAATCCTTACAATCCCCCATTTTTTATTATTCAGCACCACCTCCACCCACCGATCTTCGCATTGAAGAACAACTTGCCCATGCATTAGAGATATCCTTCTTGCCCCCACACCCACCTAATGGAATTTTGGACCAATACAGAATTAGATGGACTCCTCACAAAAAGTTTAATTATCGCGATCAAAAAGTGCCAGCATATCAATTGGAATGTTCAACACCTCAAATGAGAGGAAGGCTATGTTATAGAATTACTGGATTGGAACCGGAACAAGAATATGAAATACAAGTAAGTATACTACACTATAAGATACCTCCTCAAAACTAAAAAAATCGTCTCTTAAATGAGAGGTTTCTAATTCTGGGGGTATCTTATAATGATGTCCTGGCTATAAGTAAATCCAATTTAAATACACTTTAATTTAAGATACCCCCAATACACCCCTCCCTATAAGACTACACTCAAAATACCTCAATTTACTTTTTCATAAAAATTATTTGGTCACAGGGTAGGAGGGCTTACTAAGCGATACCCTCTATTTAGTACACACACTTTTTTGATACACCTAAGTTATTTGTTACAATTGTTCAGCCATATAATAAATTTTCTATTTAATCTTTAAAGGCTGCAGCACACACTGAACACGGAGATTGGGGAGACTGGAGTGAACCTTTGATTACTCCCACAGGAATACAAAGTAAATAAAAAGGAAGGGAATAATATTAAATTTCAATTAAATTAATTTCAGTAATTCCCGTATTAGAAGCGCCTTTAGAACTTGATTTTGTCCATTCAACAAGTATCGGTGTCAGATGGCGTGGTCTAGATGAAAAAGACGCTGAACATATTGTTGGCTATATTCTTGAATATAAATCAGAAGATGACACAGATTGGACTGAATGGAATGGGGTTGTTAGACATCGATCTAGACAACCTGAATATAAAGCAACTGTTAAAGGATTGATTGAATCTACTGAATATTTCTTTCGATTGAGGGTAGGCATTTTAGTATTAGTGTAGGGATCTTTTTTGCGGACTTTTTTGCGTCTTTTTTAAATAAAAAATTTATTTTTAAAGGTTGTTGGAAAAGGTGACAAACGTGGAGGACCTGGACCTGAGTTGAAAGCAATCACAAAATGTGGAAGTAAACAAAAAATTTCTATTAAAGATAGTTAAACAATTTTAGAACCAGAACAGCCCCCAGGAAATGTCCGTATTGAACCTGTTGATTTCCAACAAGTCAAAATTGTCTGGGAACCTCCAGACGAAACCACATGGAAATGTGATCAAGTAAACTTGGCTCTTCATTATACAAATGCAAGTGGCCAACAAAGGACTATGACATTTCCTCCAGATGGACCTAAAGAGGTATTTTGAGGGGACATTTTTTGAAAATTTTTTTTTGCAAATTTTGCGGACATTTTTCAAAATTTAATTTAAAAGGTTTTGTTCGACTCTGTCCCCGGCACTCGTTGGGAGGCAAAAATGCGCACAGAAACTGTTGAACCTGGAGAAGAACCAAAACATTCTGGATGGAGTAACCGAGCAGTTCTCGTCACAAAGGCACCCCCTTCTGAGATATTCCTTAAAACAAACGCTCTTGGTCCAACACAGGGAGAAGCATTTTGGGGACTTCCGGCTGAATATGCGGACTGGCCTTGGGGTGTAGATTTACAATATAGATTGCTTCAATTGGGTGGTTGCAAAAAATTAGACAAATCAATGACACAACCTGTTGTTCTTGAAAATGTTCAGGACAAACATGTGAGGGAATTTTGTATAGTAAACCCTCACTATAAGAAAATTCTCAGAATTAGATACACCTCGATTTAAGATATGATCTTAAATATTTGGTTGGTCACTTGAAATACTCTCCATTTAGGATACCCTCGTAACTCCTTTTCATCATCAGTTTATATATCTTATAGTGAGGTTAAAATGTATTTTCTTGACTCGTTTTTCAACTAGAGTCCCTTCAATTTTAGGTTTTGTTAGACAATCTTTACCCCGGTTCTGAATACGAAGTGACCGTCACATTGCGTCAACCACCAGGCTATGACAGAAGAATTCCACCTAAAAAAGCTGTTCAACGATTCAAAACCGAAGATCAACCCCCAACTGGAGCCCCGCACAAATTACGAGTTGAAAGCCGTCAAGACACAAAATTGGGCTTTGGTTGGGAACCACCAGAATGTTTGGAACAGAACGGAGAAATTAGTCAATACGAATATGAATTGGTTGGGTTAGAAGATTGGAATCAAGGAACTCGTGAAGGCGTTAGCCCTAGAACGCGCGCAGACATTGGAGAATTACAACCTGGATCTCTTTATCGTTTTCGTGTTAGGGCATTTACTTCAGCTGGCCCTGGACCTTGGAGTGAACCTATTGATGCTAGAACTACTGGTAATAAATAATTGTTTTTTGTTTGAACTGACTTAGATATCAGACTGAAACTTCAAGAATCCCGATTATTTAAAGGAGGGCATGAATCATCTTTCTATCACCGCCTCCTCCATAGCTTTAAGAATTAAATAGCTATCTAAATTGCACTTTAGTTGTCTGTAGATTCTGTCCTTCCTTCCATAGATATCAGAACTACAAATTTCTGTTCCAATCCATTACATTCTATTTTATAACATAAATCTTATTTGTATTTTTAAAGGTTCCGAAATCGGCCCTCCACGTGATTTAACTGCTCTAAAAACAGCCGATACATTTGTGGAACTAGCTTGGCTTCCTCCACATCCAGAAACATCGACTATTACTGCATATAGAGTCCGTTATGGACCTTCAGCTGATACTTCGAGAACTCAGGAGATTATTTTGCGGGTATGGGAATAGGAGGAGATTAATACAACCAAACCTCATTTAAAAATATATCCAAAATATTATATACACCTCCATACAGAATTTTAAAATTTGGTTGACCAACTGGGTGGGAGCTGCCTAGGCGATACTTCAATTTAGTATACTCCTCATTATAAGCCACGTTTTTCTGTTCCAAAGGGGTATTTCAAGTGAGGTTTGACTGAAAATATATTTAACAAAAAATTTTCATTGTTCTCTTAAAAGGGTGACGAATTAACCTGTTCTGGTTATGAAAGCTCTTCAGCTATACTAACAACCGGTGACCGTCTCTGTACAACAGTAACTGGACTAAAACAGCTGAGTACCTACCGATTCGCAGTTCAAGCCCAAGCATCATCAGGAAATTGGGGGCCTTTTACGCCGGACATTTTTGCAACAACAAGTTCACCCATAGTTGGAGAACTCTATGAAGGAGGAAATATAAAATTGCTCTCAGCTGGACACGACAATTTAAAAATTAAATGGACACCGCCAGGAATTCTTGCCCCAACAATTGATAGATATGAATTGTTAATTGCAATGGCTGCTCCTTTGGAAACGGCTAAAAGATATGATACTCCGGGCTCTCAGACTGATTATCATTTTAAGGGATTAAATCCTATTACTTTGTGAGTGAAATATTTTTCTTTAATATACAGTGGATCTCTAGTTATTAGAACCACTTGGGGTATCCTATAACGATGTTTATCTTAAATAGAGAGTATCGCTCTCCTTTTTAAATACAGTAAACTCCCTATATACTCATTGCACAGCAGACTAGCGCAGGCAAAAGAGGGGACATAGCGGAATTTAAATTTTGGTTAAGTGGCTAAGAGCGGTGACTACAAAATCGTTTAAAAATAGGTCGCGGGTTCGAACCTTTTCATGGTTAATTAATATTTTCCTATTAGATAAGTTAAATAAAACATAAAAGAAACATTTTAAATAATATTTTAAGTGTGTAAAATTTTTTTTAAACTTTTAAAAATAAAAACGGGAAAAATTAAAAAAAAAGCCGGCTGTTATTTTTTAATGTAATTTTTGCAAATTTGGATTGATTTGGACAAATGAGGTGTCATTCGAAAGAGCTCTAAAAAATGAGTCGAACTTGATGTGAACGAAGGATCCGACATTCCGGGACCGAGTTACAGTCTCCCGAAAGTTGAAAACCACAGGAGGGCCCCTAGCCGATTTTGGTGACAAAAATTCAAATATAAAAATTATAGCTCATTCGAAAGAGCTCGTCGAGCTGAGTCGAATGACACTAATCATGGGGTGCGGAAATGCCTGTGGACCGAGATACAGGTCCCTAAAATTCCGATTTTCGGGGTCGAAAATTCGACTATACAAATTATAGCTCATTCGAAAGAGCTCCTTGAGCTGAGTCGAATGAGACCAAAATCTCCGTGATTAGTTTCCGACTTCACCTCAATATAGCACAAAAGCGGTTATTCCGGCGAAAATACAAATTGCCTGTAACTTTTTTCAGAATCTTAGAATCGAGCTGATTTTAGTGGCATTCGAATCAGCTCGTCGAGACGAATCGAATAGTATATGTTACGACCAAAACTTTCAAGATTTTTAACGAGTAAAAGGCATTTTTCTAAACCTGATTTATTCGGCCATTCATAACTTTTTTAAGATATTCAAAAAATCTATAAATATGGTTTTAAAACAAAGATAAGACTCTCATTCATTATTTAAAATAAGCAAAATTTAAAAAAAATAAGATTCTCGAAAGATGAAGATTCTCGAAGTTGACATGTTCAAGCAAACAAATTTTATGTCAAATATTTAACGAAATAACACGCGAAAAAAATAGAGCGACAAAGAAAAAGAGATAAATTTAGGGCTACCCTACAACTCATCCAATTCTTAACTCATCTAACACTTAACTCATCCACACGGCCAAAAACGCTCAACTCATCCAATCCTCAACTCATCTAATGCTTAACTCATCCACACGCCCAAAAACGCTCAACTCATCCAATCCTCAACTCATCTAATGCTTAACTCATCCACACGCCCAAAAACGCTCAACTCATCCAATCCTTGAAATATCGGCCGGTTGAGTCCCTAGCCGGTTGAGTCCCTGGTCAGTTGAGTCTCAACCGGCCCAAGACTCAACCGGCGGTAATCAACCACTCAAACGGCCGGGACTCAACTGACCAGGGACTCAACCGGCTAGGGACTCAACTGGTCATGGACTCAAACGGCCAGGGACTCAACTGACCAGGGACTCAAACGGCCAGGGACTCAACTTGTCATGGACTCAGACGGCCAGAGACTCAAACGGCCAGGGACTCAAACGACTGGTACTCAATAGTCTCGTTCCAAAGGATTGGATGAGTTGAGCGTTTTTGGCCGTGTAGATGAGTTAAACATTAGATGAGTTGAGGATTGGATGAGTTGAGCGTTTTTGGGCGTGTGGATGAGTTAAGCATTAGATGAGTTGAGGATTGGATGAGTTGAGCGTTTTTGGCCGTGTGGATGAGTTAAGGAATTTTAGCCGTTTAGATGAGTTGAGCGTTTTTGGGCGTGTGGATGAGTTAAGGATTAGATGAGTTGAGCGGGCACGAAATTTAGCTCTTTTTTAATTAGTTGGCGTTCTGCCCCAATAAATGACATTTGTTTCGCTATGACCCTTGCTAGTCTGCTGTGTCATTGGGACAAAAAATCATATCTTAAGAAACTTAATTGAGGGTTTTGCTTACAATTAGACAGCTCATATATTCAATTGCTAACCAAATTTTAAATCTTAAATGGACGTTTCTCTATTATGGGGGTATATTATAGTGAGGTCCACTGTATTTTTTCTTTTAGATACAACATAACTGTGAGAGGATTGCAAGACAACAAATCAAAGTGGACGATATCTGGTACATTTGCCACTACTGACAAAACGTAAAGATTTATTTTCAATGATTCTTTTAGACTAGTGCTTTCCGAATTTCTAAGAATTGAAAATTCTCCGGTTGTTTGGCCAACCAGAGACTGTCCCGCCTTCAGACAATTCCTGGAATTCCGTAACCTCGGTTAAGGAATATGGAAAGCATCCTTAATTTCGGATAAAAAATTTATGAATCCATTTAAAAGTTCATGCGTCCAATGAAAAATCATGAGTACATCTGTGGATCAGGGAATCAAGATGATTTTCTACTGATATCCCATCGTCTTTTCAAATGTCCTAATGCCCCTTAATACATCGATATCCCCTTTAATCCACTCAAATGAATCGATATCTCCATTGATCCCGCCAAATCCCTCATTATCCCCCTTAATCTCTTCCAGATCCCTTATTAAGCTTGTGAAGAAATTAAAAAAATAGGTGTTGATCAAAATGTTGGATGTCTTCAGGGTCACTATAGCTTCAGGATGTAGGTCTTCAGGGGTGACCTCTTTAAAATTGGATCATAAAAGTTTGAGTGGATGCATAAACTAGATCAGCTCAATATTTTTTGCCTCATTTCTAGCGAACCAACAGAACTTGATTGGCTTGGACCTCCCACAGATCTTCGTCTAATCGAAAAATCTGACACAATGCTTCACGTTACATGGACACCTCCAGATATATTTGAGCCAGAATATCGGGATCTGTTAACACATTATCGTGTCACTATTGCTCCTGTCGATGAATATACAATGAAAATGGGGCCTAGAAAGAATTACACTGTTATGGGTTGGTGGTTAATAATATATAGAAAGATTTTTAGAGTATTGGATTATATGGCAAATTAAAAATGCCAAAAATCTGTAAAAAATGGACGCCAAACTGAACCCAAGAAAAAAAACCGAAAGTCTAGGGAAGACCCAGGCCTAAGAAACTCAGTGAGGCTAAGAATGCCGTGAACTGCACCAGGGATGGGTTGTGTTTCGGGTTGAAGCAATTCCGGGCTTCGGGTGGCCAGTTCAATCTCTAGTGTTTAATTGTTTTTTGAATCAATTTTTACATTTAAGTGCCAGGAAATTCCATCAAGTTTACGGAGCTACAGCCTGAAACTATTTACAATATAACAGTGCAAGGTGGCACAGATGTAGGATATGGACAAATGATTTGGGGGGCGTGGGCAACGTTGCCTACTGGGAAGACATGGATATTACGATTGAAGGACAGAACACCGAACACTTTGACTGTTGAATGGGAACCTATTTGGGGATTCTCCCATCGTGGGTATATTGTGAGTTTGTTTAGAGAATTTATCTACTAACGGACCTCTTTATAAGATACTCCCAGTATTAGAATGAATAAAGCGAACCTCTCTATTTTTGTTATCCTCTATTCGATATATGGATCATTATAAGATGCAATTTTTTCAGCGTATCTTATAGTGAGGTCCGACTGTATTAATTGAACAGATATCAATTTGTCAAATTTTCCAGTTGACAGCTAAATCCCTCCATTCTATCTACCCCCATGTCCGTGTGGGTGGAGTCAAGTCCTTCGACGTCAGTCCAACAGCAACAGAATTTACAATTACCGGATTGGAACCTGCATCTACTTACAATGTCACTCTTACTCTTAAAGATCAAATGGATGGAGCTTGGGGGGTTTACTCAACATTGCCTCCGGGATGGTACTTGCCGAGAAATTTGAAGCATTGTGACCAGACTCCTTTTGCTACCTCGTTGAGGCTAGTTGATATTTTGAGTTTAGTAGGAAAATGCTTAGATTTATGCTGCAATGGGCAGAGGTTCGAATCCCACGTGTTGAAAATAATTTTATTTGAGTAAATATACATAAATAAATAAAATATTAACCAGTTATTCAAAAAAATTTTTTCTTCCAGTTGGGAGCCTGTAGAAGCTAACATGGCGTCAGAATATCAAGTTCGCTATATTCACCTACACTCTTCCCGCACTCTATGGAAGGAAGAGGAGGCCAAATTCAGCAAATATTTGCTTTGTCCAAAAGACCCCTGTGGACGTCATTGCTATTTGGTCTTTAACTTGGATCACAATCCGGACGATTATGCCTTTATGGTCCGGGCAAAAGTGGACGGGATTTGGAATAACTGGAAATTGGCTGGACGTCCAACAATCGCTGACCAACCAGATGTCAAAGAACGTTGTTGTATCGTTCCTCCACCTTACAAAGTTGAAAGTATTGGGCACGACGGAACTCATTGGGATGTCCCTATAGCCCCCTCACCTACCGACCACAATATTACTCGTTATTATGTTGTTGTGGATGAAAGAGACCCTCCTGGAGATACAAACTGGACAATGTTGACAGACAAAGTAACGGCATATCGTCTACATATTCCTTATTATGTAACGGCTTCTTACTCTACACAAACTTTGGAATCCCATACAAATGTGAGGATTGGGAATGGATCGGTTATTGGTGGATATTTGAACTATCCGTTACAAAAAGGGAAGACATACCATTATGAGGTGAATTTTAATATATTTTAGGAAATTATATTTCGAACCAGAGTTTGGTGAAAATATTCAAAAATCAAAATTGAAATTTTGAAATATAACTCTTTTCGAACCTCAATTTTACTTACATACACTTTTTGGATACCCGAAACTCTCCGGTTCTTTTTCTCAACAAGACCATCTCTTAAACTTTGAGGTATCGCATTCCAACCAAACTCGAAAAATATCCCTTAACTTGAGATTTTTACTTAGTTGTGATCTAGTTATTAGTTTTATCGACATTAACCCGGAATGGGCAAAGTTTAAGATTGAAACTTCAATTTTTGAAATATGGGGATTAATACTGCTAGATTTACTCTATTAAACATGCTGGATTTCCTCAATTTTGTCCTACCAATAAACTAAAAAATATTTTTAAATGTTCCAAATTTGTACACAAAAAATTTCTGTTAATTTTATTTATTCAAAAATTTATTTATTTTTCTCTTTTCTCTTTAAGATATATACAAAATGGATGATGCATGGTGATCAGCCTGTCATTGCACGACAAAGACGTAAATTTATTTTATTTAAAATTAAAGCTAATTTTTGTGTCAAAAAATGTGTAAACTAAATATATATTTAGTTTGTATTTATTCAAAAAATAATTCTTTAAAATTCTTTAAAAATGACCACCTTCCTATCAGGAAATCGTCCAGATGGTATTTAAATTAATTTTAGATATTTGAGAATTGAAACTCTTTAATTATATCGATCAAAGGAGATCAACCCCTCCCCCCCCCCTCCTCCTCTCTTTTTCCCCTATCAACATAGCCAAAACAGATGTTCTCTAAAATTTGTTTGGCCAGGGAGTTTTGTCTAAACAATACCTTTTATTTAAAGATATCCTCATTTTAGGTACGGTGAAATAAAAAAATAAAAATTCTTATAATCCGACTGTATTTTATTCAATTTAAGTTACCCTCCTTATTATAAGCCAATATTTTTCGGTCACCCGAGTTTATGAGTTTCTGAATATTTTCCCCCAAAACTTTAAAAAAATAATTTAAATTAAAGCTATCCCCCCATGGAATCGCCAAAATGCTCAAAGAGCAGTTGTAATATTTATTCCAATTGTAATCCTTTTGGTTGTTGTAATAGGCTGTTTTTGGTTTAAACCGTAAGTGGATAAGTGAATGAGTGTTTTGTTTGTTGTTGTTGTTGTTGTTCTACCCAACTTCCCTCCCTTCCCATTTTCTTCCCAAAATTTTCTCCTTTTCCTTGTTTTCTTAACAAATTTTCCCCATAATTTTTAGCAGAAGCATTCCTAGCAGCTGGTTGGCCGTGGTGGTGGTTGTTACTTTTATTATTGTTGTTGCTTCTTTTGTGTCTCTTGCTCTCAGTTTTGCTATTTTGGCTGTTGAAAAAGTTTTTAAAATAATTTTTTAGACAAAAAAGATTACCTAAATAGCCCCCTTTACCTTAATATTTTTCACTTTCCTACTTGATTAAAAGAAATATTCCAGTAACTCTACTCTATCCCAAAAAAGACTAACTAACAAACAACCATAAGATTGCCATAACGACGTCCAAGACTCAGTCTTGGGTTTTGACTCAAATCTTTTATTGAATTTCCTCAGTCCTCCGGCTGAACTTTTGGTCCTTAAATTCGGTTTTGGATGTCCATAATCCCTTTCTATTTCATCTCAACAAAATGAAATATAATGCTCCCCACTAATCCTCATATCCTTTACACAATAGTGAAGGCTAAAATTTTATTTTTTTATTTTTTTAAAAACAATTACCCGATTAATTAATCAATTTCTCCAACTAACACTTAATTTATTTGTTATTTATTAAATTTTAACAAATTAATTTTAAGATGTGGTAAAAAACACTATAGAAATGGCCAACACGAACCTCTTATCAAAGAAAAATATGAGAGATATGAACATACTAGAGGCAACTTTGAAGATGGGTATTCACAAGGATATCGTGCTGGGAGAGGTGGAAGGCGTGTTGAGGAAGATTGGAGGGGAAGGGATGAGGCGTTTAGAGTAAGGGAAAATTTTAATTTAAAATACAGACAAACTTCTTTATACCCAGATACCTCCAATAATAGATACACCTCGATATAGAATACGATTTGTTAAAATTTGGTTGGGGAGCTGTCTAATGTTTAAGATACACCTCATTTTTAGGGTTTTTGAGTCCCTACTCATCATAAGATGTGATTTTTTCAGCCTTGATGGGTAAATATAAACGAGACATTGACTGAATAAAATTTGCTTTAAGATTTATAAAAAATAAAAAAATTTTCTTAGGAGGGTTATGCAAAAGGCCTTCGTGATACAGGTGATAGAGGTATGAGCACCTCAATGGCCAATTTAGCACAGCGTCCAACTCAACGGCTGGGTTACTCTTCGGGTTATATGCAAGGCTTTAGAGATGGATCTTCAGGTAATTTTGTCATTTTTGTTAAGTGTGATGTGCTCATTTTGTGAACTTTTTTGTTGAAAATGATTGGAAAAAATATTCAAAGGAGAGGAGCATTCCCTCTTTACAAGGGCCATAAAATTAGAAAATAGTTTTTAAATTTAGGCGTCTTCGGTGACAGAATAACCGAAAGTCTGTTAAAACGATTGGAAGAGCAATACCCAGATAATGAGGAATTCCGTACCGGATATATTGACGGATTTAAAGATGGGGTTGGGGGAGGTCGTTTTGAAGATTCTCGAAGAATACAGCAAAGTTTGACTGAATTAACAGAAAGGTTAACTACAATAGAAAAAACTGTGGAAAAAGGGGATGAAATACATTCTACAAAAATATATCATGTTTACAATCAATCACCTGAAATGCTGGCACAAGGACAACAATTAGTTAGCGAGTTGGAAGAGGTAATATGTAGAGAATGTTGTTTTTTAAGTTTAAAAAATCTGAACAAACCAGTCTACCCAGGAGTCATTAATAATTTTTACGGACTTTTTATAAGGATCTTTATTGACTCGGCTAACGTAAAGCATACCAGATTTGCCATAAACTTAATTTAAGACCTGCGGTAGACAGGGTTGTGGTAGACTACTAATACCTTTCGGAATTAAAAATATTTTTTTAGTTGGCTTCCGGCTCTAAACGAAGTACTTTACGTCGTCATTACACACCTGGCGATTATTTGCGTTATGATGAGGCTAGTGGGGAATATAACAGCCTCGGGAGAAGTAGGCGTTCAATGAGTGCTACAGCACTTGGACGGGGTGGTGGAGGTGAGGAAAATTAATTTTTTGGGATATTTCTTGAATAAAATTAATAACTAATACTGTTTTGGCCTGACTATAATATACTCCCTCCTTTAGGCTAAAAATCGCCTTATAATTTTCATCTTAACTAGGGGATATATCTTAGATCCCCCCTCTGCTATCTTAAACTGAGGTTTATTTAGTTTTGAGAGTATCTTATAGTGAGGTTTTCAGGTATTTGATTAATTTTTATATTTGTGTGAGCAAACTTATTTTGAGTGGCCAAAAAATAGTATTTTTTTTATTTTTTGTAAAAATTTTATTTTTTATTTAGTGTGTTTACATTTTCGTATTTGAGTGTGTTATTTGCTTTTTTATTTTTTTTATTTTTGTTTTTTGCATCTTAGATGCTTATGCCGTTCTATACGACCGTGAACGTCACCATTCTGGCTCCATTGAAGGCCAGGACATTTCCGCAACTGCAGGACGTTCAGCAACAACAACAAACGCTGCTCGTTACGGCCAATATAGAAGCCGTTCTGAATTGGCAGGGATGGGAGGGACATCTCCTCCGAGACGCTATGCCTCCCAAACTTTGTTAGACGGAGCGAGACCTGGTCCAACAACAGGTCCAACAGCTGCCACAACAGCACATTCAAGAAGAGACGCTCTGTACGAATTACAAAGAGAATTGGACTCGTTAGCAAGTAGATCCCCTGCAAGTGGAGGGGAGTTTGTTGGGACTGCAAGACAACAACAAATATTGCCTGGAAGGTGGGATACAGCTGTGAGTAGTGGAAGCAGTATTTTTGCTTCTGCTGCTGCACAACAACAGCAACAACAACAACGAAATTACGAGTTTGGTAGGAAGGAATTTATTTTTAATTTTTTGTTTTTTTGTTTATTTGAAGTTTGTTTTTAATATTTTTTTAGTTTTTTACATTTTCTGTTGTTTTCTAAAAAATTTTTTGCTTATTTCGGTTATGTTCTAAAAATCCGAAAATTGAGGAGGGGGGGGGGGGGGGGGGGTTAAGGAGGAAAAGAAAATGAGAGAAAAGTTAATTTACAATGTGGAATTACTATGAGATCTGGTTCATAAAGCGTTATCAAGATTTTTTGAGGCAACTTGATTAGTCCTTAAGTTTTGATTCTATTTTATATATATTTTGTCTATTCCCATCAATATACTACTACATATTTATATATTTAGAACAACAACAAACTTCAGCAATCACAACAACCCACCAATGGCCAGAAGATTTAATTGAAATTGTCCACGAACCAATGGGTCAAACTTTGGACAGAATGCGGCGTTTCAGTACTTCTCTATCCAACGTAGAAAGGACAGAAGGAGCAGCAGCTGAAACAGAAAAAGTAGATCATCAAGAAAAATATAAACGAACATATAGAGAGGTAATTTAAATAAATTAATTAAAGAAAAATATTTTCTTTTAAGGAATACTCGTAAATATGTGTATGAGTGCAAATTATAAAAGAAGTGAATGCTCTAAAAACTTTACTCAAAACATCCATTCAGAGTTTAATGTTTTAAATGTTTTGATGTTGTTCTCTGTTTTTTCCTTATATTTTTATATTTAGTGTTTTTCTCTAAACTTTTATTTTTTCCGGAAAAATAATGAGGTAACAATAAGTTGCTAAACAAGTTTTTAAAAACAAGTTGCAATTTTCAAACATGTTTTACAACTATTTATACCAACTTCATGTTTTTAGGAAAGTTTTCAGGAATGTTTTTGTGGAAGTTTTACAAAACATTTACTTGGAAATTATTTAAACATGAGTGAGCAACATCTAAACAAACTTTAATTTTCGCTCAAACATGTTGGCGCATTTTACTGCCTTTATTAATTCTCACTTTTATATTCTTTTTTCTCGATCGCTGCCATTTCCCTCTTTTTCCTTTTCCTTTAAAATTTTTAATTTTTTCCTCCAGTCAATATATTTTTTAAAATATAATTGACTATTTTTGCATTTAAAAATACAGTTAAACCTCATTATAGGATACTCTCTATTTAAGATAACCTCATTTATAAGAGAATTTTTTAGAGGAGATATCTTAGAACGAGGTTTGATTGTATGTATGTGGATTGCTCACCCTTCCTTTCATTTTTTATTGTTTATTTTTTAATAGCCCATTTATGTATGTGGTAAATAAATAAATTTTTATTTTTTTTTTCAATAAAATTTTTTTAAAAATTTTAGTTAAAAAATTAATTTTTTTTAAGTTTTGGCCATTAATAAATAAATAAATAAATAAATAAATAAATAAATAAATAAATAAATAAATAAATAAATAAATAAATAAATAAATAAATAAATAAATAAATAAATAAATAAATAAATAAATAAATAAATAAATAAATAAATAAATAAATAAATAAATAAATAAATAAATAAATAAATAAATAAATAAATAAATAAATAAATAAATAAATAAATAAATAAATAAATAAATAAATAAATAAATAAATAAATAAATAAATAAATAAATAAATAAATAAATAAATAAATAAATAAATAAATAAATAAATAAATAAATAAATAAATAAATAAATAAATAAATAAATAAATAAATAAATAAATAAATAAATAAATAAATAAATAAATAAATAAATAAATAAATAAATAAATAAATAAATAAATAAATAAATAAATAAATAAATAAATAAATAAATAAATAAATAAATAAATAAATAAATAAATAAATAAATAAATAAATAAATAAATAAATAAATAAATAAATAAATAAATAAATAAATAAATAAATAAATAAATAAATAAATAAATAAATAAATAAATAAATAAATAAATAAATAAATAAATAAATAAATAAATAAATAAATAAATAAATAAATAAATAAATAAATAAATAAATAAATAAATAAATAAATAAATAAATAAATAAATAAATAAATAAATAAATAAATAAATAAATAAATAAATAAATAAATAAATAAATAAATAAATAAATAAATAAATAAATAAATAAATAAATAAATAAATAAATAAATAAATAAATAAATAAATAAATAAATAAATAAATAAATAAATAAATAAATAAATAAATAAATAAATAAATAAATAAATAAATAAATAAATAAATAAATAAATAAATAAATAAATAAATAAATAAATAAATAAATAAATAAATAAATAAATAAATAAATAAATAAATAAATAAATAAATAAATAAATAAATAAATAAATAAATAAATAAATAAATAAATAAATAAATAAATAAATAAATAAATAAATAAATAAATAAATAAATAAATAAATAAATAAATAAATAAATAAATAAATAAATAAATAAATAAATAAATAAATAAATAAATAAATAAATAAATAAATAAATAAATAAATATACTCTCTCTCTTTATTTTTAAAATTAATTTTATTTAGCAAAAAGTGAAAGAAAAAACCGGTATAAAAACATGAAAAGAAAATTTAAATAAAATAAACTTTCTACACACTAGTTGGCCTTGGAAGGAAGGAGGGAAATAATTTAAATATTAAATTTAAAAAACTGGAAAGTTTGGACGTAATAAAAAATGTGACGCGTTGTATTGCCCAAATTGTCCTAAATATGTGGCCTAAACAAAACTTTGTTTTATAAATTATGTATTATAAACTTGCAAGAATAGTATTAAAACATTGAGCATCTAAAAATTGATGTTTTTATTTTAAAAGTGTTTTATATTGCTGTTTTTATGTTTTAATAGATGTTTTTAGTAATGTTTTTATAATTGTTTTTCACAATGTTTTCTATATATTCATAGACTTTTTAGCTTTTTGATATGTTTTGTTATATTTTTAATTAACGTTTTTCCAATGTTTGTTTGCTAAATTAATGTTTTTAAAATATTCAAATATAGGTATTAAGTTTTAACCAGACCTGCACATGGATATGGATAATAATATCCGTAATATCCACTGATATATCCGGATACAGACGAATATGGATACTGTTTTTGAAAATCGGACGGATACGCGGACATCCGTGCATAATTTTTTTCTACCCTACAATTTTCTACTCTTAAAAATTTTTTTGGAGGTTCGGGAAGAAATAGGCCAGGAAGAAATTTATTTTTAAAAAAGAAAGAAATTTGCGGAATAGCAAAAGGAGGAGAATTGGAATTTTTGCGTTGATTTCGTCAAAAATACGTAAAACGCATAACTCAACGCAAGGCCAAAATTTAACGGAAATAATGCAATACGCTTTGCGTTATCGGATCGGGGTTCTGGCTGAAAAACCGAGTTTCGGATCAACCCGATCAATATCTAGTTCCTACCGATGTATTACAGATGTTGGTGTTTCTAAATTTTCTAAAAATTTTACAAAGAATAAATTTTAAAAATATTAACTAAGCTTTGTTGATGTTTTTGTTGATGTTTAAACTGTTTTTGTCTTTTAAATATGTTTGGAAATGTTTAGGCAATATTTAAAGATGTTTAAGTTCATTTGTTTTATAAACAACCTATTAATTTCTGTTTAAATCTTCAATGTCTTTATCGGAATTTTTAAATTCAAAATATGCACAAACAAAGCTTTTTTTTGCTAAATTCCCAAGGAAGAAAAAAAATATTTTTTATGGATTAAAAAACAAAAATTTTTTTTTATTTTTTATATATTAGCTACAAAAAAGACTACTAGCTATATTTAAATATTTTTCTCACATCCCTGCGCAGAGCAACAATCATTTAAAACAACGAAAATAGGGAACCTGAGACGTTCTTTTTTCTTCTTCCCTTTATTTTTTCTTCCATTTTTTTCAGTTTTTTCTTCCTTTTTTATCCTTCTACATTTTTTTATTTTCACCTTCACCCTGTCTCTTTCCCTTTACCCTTTCCCCCCAATTCAGCCAATTTTTTATATATTTATTTTTTGAGTAAAGGGCCGGGACCGGTCTTCAATGAAAAACTGTAAAATAGTAAGCAATATATCTCTCCGGAAAATATAGAGATTGATGACGATCTCTGATGGGGAAAATTTTTAGAGAGAAAATGAGAGCGGCAACAAGGTAATAATAATAAAATAAAGAAAAAAAGGTGTTGAGGGCACTGATCGGAGAATTTGTTAGAAAAAAGTGGGAGGGGCAAAAACAACCGGGGAGAGCTTTAATATATAAAAGCAAAAGAAAATTTGTGGGGAGACTTAAAGACGGCGAAGTTGCGCAGCCAACATATAAAGATATTTGTTTATATATAGTATTGTTTGTTGGGCTGTTTGTTTGCCGTTGTTTCCCTTCCCCTTAAAATGAACTTGTTTTTGTTGTTATTACATGTTTTGCAACATGTTTTGTTGTTGTTTATTTTATTAGCTGTCCAACTTGTTTTATTACACCAAATTTTAAATGTTTGTTTGGAAAGAAGAAAAATTAAAACAACATTGTTTTTAACATTTTTTGTTGTTGTTTGTTTATTTATTGAATTAATGGAGAGGAGAATTTATTGTTTCGGAGCACCTTTAAATTATAAAGAAAATTTTGAAACAAATTTAATTTTACAAGAAGAAGCTGATAAAAAATTGGTTTTGGTCTGTTTTTATTTTTTTAATTAAAATGAATCTTTTAAATTAATCTTATAATTTTTTATTTTATTTATGTTTATTTTTACTATTTTTTAATTAATGTTTTATTCAATATTTTTTTCTTTTTTTTAACAATATTTTAATTGATGTTTCTAGGTTCGTTTATGTTTTATTAAGTGTTTGTCACTTTGTTTAACAATGTTTTTATTTAAGTTTTAGGGTTGTTTTATTAGATGTTTGTATGTTTAGACGATGTTTTATTCGATTTTTTAAGTTAAGGTTTTTACAATGTTTTTGTTTAACTAAGTTTTGTTTGTTTTCAAATTTTTATTTTATTCAATGTTTTTAACATGTTGTTTAAACAATGTTTTAATAAATGTTTTAATGAAATAAAATTAACCTTTCCCCATAATAATTATTAACTAAATATTTTTAGAAATATTTAAATGAGTTTGGACATCTTCGAACACCAATTCCAACACCAACAGAATTACGTTCTGCTATAAAAACATTTCAAGATATGGCTGGTTTACCATTAAGTGGCGAACTTGATCTTGAAACGCTTGAACAAATAAAAATGCCTAGATGTGGAAATGACGATATTGGGAGAATTAATGAAAGAAGGAAAAGATTTGGTAATTTTTTATAAATATTAATTGTTATTGACCCAAAAAAAGCTCCGTATGATTTTGGGATAAGTAAACATTTGAACGCCCTAGTTTTATATAATTTATTTTGAAAGTAAAGAAGTACCATAATTATAAAGGAGTTTTAAACATAAAAACAATATTTTTTTTTCATAAAATTTTGTCCTGTTTTAATTTATGTTTTTAAAACAATAATCAATAATTTTGGGATTGTAAAATGTTTTAGTTTGTTTGATGTTTTGTTTATGTTGTTTTCCATTTTTGTTTTATTTTTTGTTTGTTTAAACTAGGATACATAGCAACGACCCAGGAACCCCGACCCCGACGATTTTATTTGGCAAAACCCCCGACCTGAACCCCGAAGGGTTTCAGGTGCTTGTATTTTATGACATGATTTGCTTGAAATATTTTTCTTCGTTTTTATTCCACTTTTTGTTTATTTTTAATGTTTTAGTTAAATTTTTGAATGTTTTATACTAAGATATTTCCAATTTTAGTATATATTTCTCGATGGGAGGGAAAGTTGAAGGACGGAGAACTACGACTTAAATGGTTTTTGCATAACTATACACCTGATATTCCACGTGATGAAATTAGGTATTTAAATATGTAGAGTTAATTATTTACTTTTTTAATATTTTTTAGAAGAACAGTAAATAAAGCATTTAATTTGTGGTCATCACAGATAACTCTAAAGTCTGTCGAGGTAACTTAAAATTTTTTTGCCTTTTTTTTATTAATTTTCAGAGTTTATCGCTTCATTTTGAAGAAGCTGAAAGTGAAGAAAATGCAGATATTACCATTCTTTGGGCAGAGGGAGACCATGGAGATGCACATATGGTTAATTTAAAAATATTAACCATAGCACATATGGTTATTTATTTTTTTATTTTTAAAATTAGTTTGACGGTCCAGGGGAAGATGGCAGCAATATTCTAGCTCATACGTTTTATCCTAATTATCAATCGAAGGGTACTTTAAATGGAGATATTCATCTTGATGATTATGAAAAATGGCATGTTGGAGTAGGCAAAGAGGGTGCTAGTTTCCCTCATGTTTTGGTTTGTATATTTTTGTTTTTAAAATATAACAAGGGAAAATATAATGTTTTCAAATTTTTGTTTTGGTGTGTCTTTTGTTGTACCATGTTTTGGAATTTTAATTTTAACATATGTTTTTGTCCGTGTTTTATTAAAACAAAAAATCAAATGAATGAAAAAAATAAACATTTAAAACTAACATAAATTAACGTCAAAAATTAATTAAAACTTTTAAGAACATATTTAAACATTTTTAATAATAATGTTTTATAAAACTTAGAGTTACATAAAACATTGATTAAACACAAAAAACGTAACAAAACACAAACAAACATATTTTATCAAAACAAAACATCCAAATAGTTAAAACATTGACTAACATTTTTTTAATCATGCTTTAAACATCTTTTAATTCAAAATTGACAAACATCTAAAAACAAGTTTTATTATAATAAATATGTAGATGTTTTAATTATTCTAAACAATTTCCCTTCATGTCAGGTACACGAAATTGGCCATACTTTAGGATTGGGTCATTCCAAAAAGCGTGAAGCAATAATGTTTCCAATTTATCGAAAAGAACAACTTGAGAGAATGCAATTAGATATGGACGATAAATGTGCTGTTAATTGGAGTTATATTGGTCCTAGTGATTTATGTCTTTATATGTGGTTATTAGCTGAAGTTTTGCCTAAAAAAGTGGCGCCTATAAAAAATGATGAAAATGATTATGAAGAAGAAAATGAATTAAAAAATGAAAATAATGTTAATTGGTGGGCTGAGGAACAAAGAGGGATTATTACTAAAATGCCAACTAAATCAAATTGTTAGTTGCAAGTTTAATTAATTTGTTATTAAAATGTTTTGTTTTCGTATTTGTTTTGTTTTAATGTTTTATGTTCAATGTTTTTGTCATCTGAAAACAAGTTAAAACCATAACTAAACAAAACATCTAAAAACATGTTAAAACATTTAAAAATAAAAAATCATATTTTTTAGTATTTTAGTTATCATGAAAGAACAAAATAACCGTGAAAATTTACAATTAACTAACGAATTGTTGCCTGATTGTGGTCCTTACAATTCTAATATTGAAAATATTGAAAATGAACAGAACAACGACAATAATTATTATAGCAAAGTGAGATTTCAATTATCACAAGTTTTGAGACGAAGACTTGGATTCCCTAAAGAAATGGCTTCTTCTTATGGTTTTTATTTTTATTAAAAATATTGGTAAAACATTGGACTGAAAATTGAATAAATACAATACCAATTAAACATTTAACTAAAACATTTAATTAAACATCCGATTAAAACATCTTAAAATCAAATAAAATATTAATTAAAACATGAACTTTTAAATGTTATTAAACAATTTATTTTAAAAATATTTTCAGTCAATGTTCTTTGCCGATTTTTTGATGGTCTTAGACAACATTTGGGATTAGCTAAAAATAATAATTTTTCATCAAATAATCATTCATTTGGAATTAAACCGTTAGGTGTTCACAATTATTGGCAAAATAATGAAGAATATAATTTTCAATTATTGGCGGATAATTTGGAACGTGAAAGTAAAAGAAGTTTTGATTCAAAATTTTTTAATAAATTATTAAATATTTTTGAAGGTAATAATAAATATGTTAATATAAAATTAGGCGAAATTTAAATGAGAAAATTTTTGCTAAAAATTATTTACATATCAAAACTCTTAACAAATGCTGGTTCTGTTAAAAACAATAAACCAATGATTGAAACATTAAAACATCGACTAAAAACATTAATTAAAACATTAAACTTCAAAATTTTCTAGAACCAGCATTATTTAGCATTCAAAGATAAAATACGTGTATTATTTATTATTTTTAATGTTTTTTAAGAACGTTAAATTCCCACTACTCATTTTATGTGCAATAATCTTAATTTTTAATTTTTTGTTTTTATATTTTAATTTAATTTTGTTATTATCATTTTAATTTATTTTTTAAATAATTTTTGTGTTTTGTTTTTAAATAAATTCTTTGAGTTGTTCTGATATTCTTCAAAGCATTAGAAACAAACATATTTAAACAAACACTCAAACATCTATTTTTTCAAACATCATTAAGAATAAATAGAACTTCAATTAAAAATACATCCAAAAATCATATTTCAGACTTTAAAAACATTTAACTAAAACAATGTTTTAATATTTAATTCAAACATCTACATATCTTTTCCCAATGTTTTTTGACAGCGCTTTATTGTTGGCGTATATTTCCTTCCTCATTTTTTTTATCTGCCAAGGTCGTCTACCTATTTTTGAAGTTTTTATTCTGATAATCTACTAAAAAGGACATTTCTTGTCTAAAATAAATAAATAAATATACATTAAATTGTGTTAAATTATTAATATTTAATATATTATTTTTACATTTTTCGCCCACGCGCCCAGTTCTTTTAATATTTTCCAGTCAAGGTCAAGGTAAAAAGCATTTTTAATCAAAAATTGTAGGAGAAAAACGAGGATATAAAAATGTTTAAATTAATAATAATAAAGTAAAAAATTGAGACAATTGAAAAGAAAATCTTTTTTAACAATATACAATTAATCTTAAAATCCGTAAATAATAACACACATCTACACCATCCGAAAATAAAATTTCAACGAAACAAAAATAACAATCCTACGAAAATCACAAAAACGGAAATAAACGAATCTCTGATCCAGTTTGAAGTTGCGGGCAACTCTCGGTTAACCCTCAATAATTTCCCTTGACGCTTCCAGTCAAAAATTTCAAATCCGAAATTTTTAATTTTTTGATAAAAAAATTTAAAGGTAAATAAATTAACTGTGTGGTCTTTAATTTATTTCCAAAAATAAAAAGGAAACAAATTTATCAAACAAAATAAATTTTAAATTACTAATAATATTAAAAACATATGATTTTATTTAAAAAATAACCAATAATCATTTTTAAATATTTTTTTGTTCAAAGGTCACAGTTTTAAAAGAGGAATAAAATTATATTTGTTTTTAAAACACCACGAGTTTTTTTTATTTAGCGAGTAAAAGTACAAAAGAAAAATTTTTTAATTTTTATGTAAAAGGAAATTTAAATAAGTCATCGAGTTTAAATTGTAGGGTAGACAGTTGTGCCTTTAGTTATCCAGGCTTTGAGTTTGTTTTACTCAAATTTAAATGAAGTTGACCGTTTTGAAAATTATGGTCAGTTTGGCCATTTTGAGAAAAAAAGGATATAGAATAAAAGGATAACTCAAAAGGGATATAAACGGATACGGATACCAAAATCCGTGTCCACGTGCAGGTCTGCTATACACATTTATATCATTGTTTTTAATAATTCAAACCCTTTCTTGGGGTTTTCCGCTTTTAGATTTTGGGTGAAGACTTGGTCTTCTGAAAAATTTTCTTTGATAATTTAAATTATTTATTAAAATAAAAATTAAAAAAATTAAAAACAAAATTTTAAAAATTATTTTCAACACAAATCCCCAATTGTTTATTCAATTCAAATCCAGAACAACATGTTTGGTGACATTCTTCTTGTATTATTTTTTGTTTTTGACAACGAACACCTTTTAACAACGAGAGCAAGCCTTGGCATTCCCCCTCCTCCGATATGGGTTTGGAGCAGAGCCCTACAGAAAATTTTGGAATGAAAGATTTTTTCTCAGATATAATTGATGACTCTCAATTATATAAAATTAGCTAAACATGGGACCTCACTATAATATACCCTCAATTTAAGATACCTAGGTTCTAAATTTAGGGTGCCCATTAGGTAAGGGAGCTGTCTAAGCTAGAGATCGAACCATCGTACTAGCGACGATATTTTTCTGTATCTATCGCTATTCCGTATTGTATTACGGTACATAAAAAAATTTTCCGTATCGTAAATACGATATCGATAAAAATTCTCCGTATTTTTGAATTACGGCCCGTAATACGGTACGGTAAAATTTTGAAGTTGATCAGTTTAATTAACCCAAAATTAAAATTAATTTATTACCAGGACACGGTTCGCGTGAGCAAACTTGCGTTTCGGTGTCAACACCTCTGAAATTAAATTGAAAATTATTTTTTTAATAAAAAAATCTCTTATTTCACAGCAAAAATTATTTTAAAAAATACACGGCAAATTCGGTTTTAAAATTAAAAATAATTTTGGCCCTTTTTAGGCCCTCGAGGTAATTTCCTAGTTATTAATCAGTTTTGACGTTACATCATAATACAAGTTTGAGGACTTGTATCTAGAATCAGCATGTAGGTAGGTACCATTTGACTTGACTAAAGCGTACCCTTAGCTAAATTATATCCGAAAATTCCTTTTTTCTAAAAATCACAGCAAAACCAACAAGCAAATTAATTCATTGTCTTCATTTCCATTGAAATTTTGTCCATTTTCATCATTATTTGTTTTTGTATTATTTATTTCATTAAAACACTTTCGACTTCTTCTTTTCAACCCACAACCACCACAAGTAGCACTGCATTCTGTCCACTCCCCCCACTCACTCCATTGCCCGTTTCTTGATGCATTTATTGCTTTAGCTTTTGCTTGGAAACCACGTCCACCACGATAGAATGAACGGAAGAGAACAAGTAAATCGTTTGTGGCTGAATGTACTGGGGAGGTTGGTGTTCCATAACAGCAATAACTTGAGATAAAAAATGAATTTTTTTGAATTTTTATTTATGCTGATTTGGTTTTTTGTTGTTTATTTTTTAATATTTATCAATTAAAAATTGTTCCTCATCAAGGGGATTCGAACTTTCGACATTTTTGTAAAGAACTAAGCATTTTCCCGTTACACCATAGAAACAATTTTCTTCGGGTAAATGAAACAGGTGGGCAAAATGTTGTGTTTGTGTATGTTTGTATTAATTTTTAATTTATTCAAATTAAAAAATACCGCATTCCGGTATTAGCAAAATCAGTACTGTTCCTCACTTCAACATAGTCCATGCAAAGAGAATGGCGGACCTATATGATAAAACAATTGGTAAAAGTTTTTTTTTAATTTCTAGACGTTTCAAACATCCTATTTTCAAAAACAAACAACAAATACAACAAACATTAAAACAAGTTTTTGAATATTTTTAAATAGCTAAAACATTTTTAAAATTAGAAAGAAAAAGTTTTAAAACATGAAACTTAACAAATAAAATTTAAAAACATTTTATCGTAAAATACTTATGTTTTATTTTACTAAAAACATGTTTGTTTGATCTTAAAAACATGTTTTTATGCAATCTAGAAAAAACATGTTGAATTTACTAGAAACATACACTTACTATTAGTTTATTAAAACATGTTATTTTATTAAATTTCCCTCAAGTATTCAAAACATTTTTATAAAAACAAAAACACTTTACAGACATATTCAACACAGTTTTTAATTTAATTTACAATAAAAACATACCTGAATTTAATACAATGCATTAACATTTAATGTGTAAAACTGCCCCAACCTTGCAATACCTTTTAGACAGATTAAAATATTTTCAATAAAATTTATTTAACTAAAAAAACCCTACATTTCGAATTCACCAAAGAATTGCCTAAAAAATTATTTTTAATAATTTTTTTTAATTTTTTTCTTTACAATTGTACTCTCTGTCCAACAGGAGCAACTAACAGCCACGAACATTCCTGTCCTTCCCTAAATTCCCCTGGGTAATTTGGACTTGAAATTTTCGTCCAACTTTGTCCAACTTCTATACGGCCTCCACATTCTGCTCCATAACCGGGCATTACCTTTAATTTTTTAATAAAGCAAAAAACGGTAAATGTCCGGTTGGTGTCCTACATGTCCGCAAAGAGAATGCGCATTTTTCCTTCCTTTTCTTGCATTTTTTTCTGCAAGGAGTGGCGCCCATTTTTCTCTTATGTATGGTAGGTCTTGGCACGTGGAAGGAAAGGAAAAATAATTAGAATTACTAAGTAGAAAATTTAGATAAAGAGACAAATTAGATAACGAGTCGAAGAAGAACTTAGAAAAAATTAGATCATATCCAATGTATCTAACCTTTGATTCTATATAGAGTTCCTAATCGTCGAAAAATGGGATCCAAAAATTCATGAAGAAAAGAAAAAATAATCATTAAGGATCTTTGTGATAGCTTTCTCAAATATATTTTTAATATATCAGCGGGATAACAAACTTTAATGGGATTATAATGTAGGGATATTAAACAATGGAATTTAAGATATTTTGAGAAATCAGCTTCTGCAAATGTCTCATCTATATACACAATAGAACTGATCGGTGAACATGATTTAATTCTTCAAGAACTTAAAAACCAATTTTCTTATTCTAATTTTTTCTAAGTTCTTCTTCGACTCGTTATCTAATTTGTCTCTTTATCTAAATTTTCTACTTAGTAATTCTAATTATTTTTCCTTTCCTTCCACGTGCCAAGACCTACCATACATAAGAGAAAAATGGGCGCCACTCCTTGCAGAAAAAAATGCAAGAAAAGGAAGGAAAAATGCGCATTCTCTTTGCGGACATGTAGGACACCAACCGGACATTTACCGCAAAAAACTTCAATATAAGATACACTCTTTGGTGCTGAAAAAATTGTAGCTTATAAAAAGGTGTGTTTTAAATTGAGTGGATTGATTAGGAAGCTCACTCCCCGCCCAATGGCCAACCAAATTTTATAAAAGTTATCTTAAATGGAGGGAATTTAGTATTGGGAGTATCATATAAGGAGGACAAATTTAAAAGAATAACTTGTTCACAAACTGCCCCAGTAAATCCATCAGGACAGCGACAACTTTAAAAATTATATTTAAAAAAAGTTGAAATTAATTTACCGTTCACAATGTCTAGGGTCTGTATAACCACCTTTTTAATGAATTTTAAAAAATAATTTATTTATTTAATATAAAAAATTCAAACCCCTCTGGCATGGAAGTTGTTTGGGGCATACTTGACGGCAATAAATTTCTAAATAAAATTATATTAGGTATATTAGTTAAAAAAATATTTTTTTCTAAAGCATCTTTTATTAGCCAGAATTGTATTACACTTTGAGCTGTTCAAGACCGAAAATTTTCCCAAATTCAAGACCAATCTACCATACTATTTCTAAAAGCCTCAAAAAATCAAGACTGAGTCAAAGCTTGTCAAGTCTTCCACAACGGTAATCTCCCAAAAATCCCTTTTAATTCAATTTTCAATAACACATCTTTTTTCTATCCCAAAGATGTTGTATTAGCAGTATTTAAATGTATACGTAGGAAAAAGTGCCCGTCCCAATTCCCCAAATCGGAAATTTATTTTCATGTCGGCACGTTCTCCGGTATATTTACGCCTTCCAACCTTTCTAAATACTTTTGACCAGTGCTTCGAAGCTCGTACCAAAATTCGTACTCGTACCTCGTACTCGTACCTGGTACGAAGTACGAGTACGAGTACGAGTACGAGCAAAAAAATGGAGCAGGTACGAAGTACGAGTACGAGGCCAAAAAAAGTGAAAAGTACGAGGTACGAGGCCTAAGTACGAGCTCGTACTTCTCGTACTTGGTGTTAATAGGAAAATTAAAGAAATATATTTAATTCCTTTGATTCTCCATTATATGAGCGGGTGGCCGAGTGGTGAAGGTGCTTGGCTGCACCAAAGTCTCTAATGATTTAATATTGGGTTCGATTCCTATTCGCTAAAAAAGAATTTTAATATTTTTTTTCATAAATAACTTATTTAATAATTAAAAAGTGATTTTTTCACACTAAAAAGTGATTTTTTTCGCCTACGGCCTTCCAAAATTTTCGCCTGCAGCGCTGAAAAATGGAAGAAATCTGGCTTAAGGACCTCAAAATTCTCAAACTTTTTGCCTGCGGCGCAGAAATGGAATAGAGATTAAGAGGGATATCCGGAGATAAAACTGTGTAAAAAAATATATAAAAATTTATAACGTTCCATGGAAGAGAATGAAAAACGGATGAAAAAATACCCGTCGCATCTTGGAAACCGACCCATCTTGGAGGAAATATTGCTCAATGCACTCCAAAATGCTCAAAAATTTTGCCTGCGGCGCAGAAAATGGATTATATTGGAGGATTTATGGCTTAAAAGCCTTCCAAGATTCAAAAATCATCGCACAAACGCTTAAAATTTAAAACTAGATGCCATGGACTCCAAAAAATCATAAAAATTTTCGATTTTTTGCTTTTTTCTCAAGTAAGAGTAAGTACGAGGTACGAGTACGAGGTACGAGGCCAAAAATAAGGGTGGTACGAGGTACGAGTACGAGTACGAGCAAATTTGAAATTTCGAAGCACTGCTTTTGACCTTTTTAATTTAATTTAAAATTCCCCCCACCATTCATTAATCTAATATCATTAAAACTAAGTTGGTCTCTTTGTCCAATAGTTCTTTGATAGTCTACAATAAATGTCCCAATAGTAAATAAATCGTCCAATTTAGCAAAAGCTTTGGATCTATAATGCATTATACTTCCATAATCGTAGGGAACTCCAGAATTGTCTACATCTGATGGCTTTTGAATTTGATAAATAAATATTTTTTTAGTTAAATAAGATTTGATTTATAATTATGGACTCATCACTTTTTAAATTTTCTCGGGTTTTTTTGATGCTCGATTTAGGTGATACCTTGTAATAGAGTTTTCTTAAATAGAGGCCTATTTAGGATTGCCCAGATATCGGTCCCGGATCTCGATAGAAAGTACCTTATACTGAAATATATCTACTAGTAGGTGCTCTATAAATAGTGAAGAGTTCACTACTATTTAATTATCAATCAAAGCCTATATAAATTATACATAAAATACCTGTTCTTTTAAAAATTGACCTAAAAATAATAAAAATAATTAAAATTATTTAAATCATCCACACCTTTACTGTCTCTATCAATATTATCCCATTGTACTTGTACCCATAAATCTCTGTCTGGTCTGCTTTGTTCATGCCAAAACCCTAAAGCATGAGCTACTTCGTGTGCAATAACTCCTAACTAAAATTAATTTTCGATTTAACAGCCCTTCCAGAGACCGAACTGGAAGGGCTGTAATCTCGATTACAATAACCTAGATTTTTGTTCGAGATCTCATATCGGTTCGCACTCTCAAAGTGTATCCCGCCATTTCTTAAATTTCTAGTCCGAACTATATTTGTCGGAAAGAGAGAGAGAAATTTCCGTATTAGGATATAGGAAATTATCGGATTGGATACCGGCCAAGAATACGGACATCCATTGGTTTTCCAGGATCAGTCAACTCTAGTCCCAACTTCCCATAGCATTGTCTCCTCTATAAATTTTTCTCGAGGCCCTCTTCCCCTACATGGACAACCCTACTCAAAACAACCCAACCCTACTACAACCTTATCGCTGTAACCAAGTAGGTCTCCTCCATGTACTTTATATAAATAAAAAGAATTAATTTAAAAAATTACTCGAATACATTCAGGTGCTAAAGAGACAAATTGAGGTTCTCCCAAAGGATGCCTATAAATTAAAAAAATTTCTTTCTTCATTCCCCCTCTTCCCTCCAACCTTCCAACATTAGAAGCACACCCATCAACATCAGTAAATACAATTCTAGAGCCTTTAGGTTCATCATCTTTCCTTTCAAAATTTAGACAAGTAATATTATGCCAATGTTCTAATGCTAATTCTATTACTCTTTGTTCTCTTAATGCTTTTTTTTTAATTAGAAAATTTTTAAAATATTTATTTACTGTGTGAACCATCAAAACTATAAATTATAGGCTTTGTAGAATCCCATCGTCGAATCTAAATACAGAAAATAAAGGATTGTGTGAAATTGCTTTGATTTATTTGACGTGGTTTTTTATGTAATTGAATTCTTAAAATTGAATTATGGACTGTGGCTTACGGTTGTGTGTATTCGAGAATTTAATCTTTAAAAGGTCTGTTCTGGAACAGTCCTGATCAACCCCGTACAAAATTCTTAAATGGATGTCCGCAAATATCAATCCGCAAATACCAACCAACCCTTCTAAAAACTTACATTTGAACCAATAAATTTTCTTTTAATTCTTTTGTGTTGATTATTTTTATTATTTTTAATATTTTCAAACAATTTATTTGCTTGATTTTCATTCAAAATTATATCCCCTTCAAAATGTTGCCTATTTTCCTCTGGCCATTCCTTCTTTAAATTTACTAATTTATTTTTATTATTATTATCGTTATTCATTCTCCTTTCTTTCCAAGCTTTTAATTCTGACATTTCCTCGGTTGTCTAAAAATTTAACAAAAAAAATTTTTTGAGTAATGTGTATGTAGGTTACCAAGTTTTTCTTTTCTTTTTCTGTCGTTGAATTTTCTGTTAATTTCTCAACTTTTTCGTTTTTCATTAATTCATTAATTTGCTTCAACAAATTCTGGATTCTGAACAAAATTTATTATAGTAGGGTTAGCCCACTTCTTAATCCGAACGGGAATAGGAAGCTTTTTAGTTTATTTCTTAGGCAGAATGTTCTCTTCTCCTTTTTTCCTCCAAATGTCCGGGAGCCCAAGGGTTGGGTCGGGTTATCCGAAATACGGACTTTTTTCGACCTGACACCCAAAATCCCAAATTTTTTTCTCAATCCTGCCCATCCCTACTTCCTTGGTCTCTCCTTAATAAGAATGTAGCATATTTGGTCTCTAACATTCTGGAGAAGGGGGGGGGCATTTTTGGGGCGTCATTATTTTAGAATGATTAGTAGAGGGTAGTTTATTTAACTTGCCTATTTAATTCTTCATCACTTTTACCCCATTTTAAAGCTTTATTGTGCCATCTATCCTTCCATTCATTAATTTCTCTTTTGCTCCTTTCCTGCCCATTTTCTTCTTCTTCCTCCCCTTCTTCAATTTTACTTTTAATTGTTGTTTCCCCTCTTAATCTTCTTCTTCCCTCATCCCTAGCATTTGTCCATTCTTCCAAATCTGTATCATCCCCTCCATTAGGCAAATGTTCATCGTGAAGAATAACTCTATTATTTCGAATTACTGCTTCAATAAATTGAGGAAACAATAAAAAAAGAATCCAAAACCTTTTGAATAAAAAATATATTCTTTATTTTTTTAAAATTATTTAAATTGGTTAAAAATCAAAAAAAGTTATGAGATAAAGTATGGCTCGAGGTTGAAGCAACGAGCCATACTTTATCTCATAACTTTTTTTGATTTTTAACCAATTTAAATAATTTTTATATCAATCGAAAGCTCTGGATATGAGGATTATTTTATCTAACAGGAAAATCCCTCTAGAAAAACCCTCTCCTCTCTCTCTCTCTTCCTTTCTTTTTCAATATCCCATAATTGTTTAATTTTAAATTTATTCTTAAAAATAATTTTTTTCAAATTAAATATGTACACTCTACCTCCATAAAGGTAATTTTCCCATTAAATTCCTTGCCTTTCCGAGAAGAAGAAATTTTTTTAAATAAAATTTAAATAATTTTTTAAATAATTTTAGCGGCAAAATATAAAAAATATTTCTGATTAATTTTCAACTAATCTTGTGTTTGTGTTGTTGTTGTTGTAAACCCAAGCCGGTTTTTGGGGGCTTTTTTATATTATTGTTGTTATTAATCGACTTTTAGCCCTTAATTATGTTAAAAAATATTTTTTATAAAAAAGGTGAAAGAAAAAAATTATTTTTAACCCTGTTTATTTTTACAAAAAATTATCGCGGCAAAAACGAAAAAATTGGGTGAATTTTGGATATAGGTATCTTTTAATTACTCTGATAAAAGTCTGCAACTTTTTATCTGCAAGTTATAATATTTATTTTCTTATAAATAAATTTTTAGACTTCTAAATAGAATAAATCTCATTTTTAAATACTCCCTTTATAAGCGACACCTTCTATTTAAGAGACACCTCATTATAAGGGAAGATTTTTAGATTTAAAGGTTATCTAATAGTGAAGTCCGGGATAGTATGTACCAGGGATTTGACGAAAGTGATTTTAAAAGGCGAAAGGTGAAATAAGAGAATAATCTTGAATCGAATACATTTTTTTCTAATTTGCGGATAAAATGTTGCGGACTTTTCTGTTAAAATAAAAAAAAAATTTTAATTTTTCAGTAAATTATAAATTAAATTTAAAAAATCAATTTATTTATTTGTTACCCCCAAATAAGTTCTACAAGTAAAGTAATTCGGCGGAAAAAAAATTATAAATAAATAAATTTATTTAGTAATCACTCCAAAAATGTAGAAAATACTTGCGCGTCTCCTCTCTCATTTAATTAAATAAACCGTTCTAAAATTAATAAGGAAGGAAAAGAAATGATATTTTTAGGGGTTCCACTTTTTTTGTAAAGCAAATTTTCCCTAAAATTTTTTAGAAAATTAATATTTAGAATACCTCCAAAAAACGACACTTTTGTCTAAGAATAATTGTCTATGTACTACACTAGTGAATTTTTCTTTTAAAGAGAAAAAAACTTTAAATTTCTTAAAAAATTAATAAAAACTTTTTGACGGAAAGGATAAATACTACATATTTTATTTTAAACAATTGTGAAGTCTTCTTCTTCTTTTTTTACTTTTCATTTGACCAGCGGTCAATCGACTAAAATTTGACGGTCATTTCAGAGAAGAGAGAGAAAGATTGATTGAATGGATGGATATTTAAATGAGGGATTAAATCTTTTTCTCTTTTAATAAATTCACGCGAAGCAAACAAAAAACTTTTTTTTCGTAAAATCTAGACTCTTTAACCTCAATTAAATGATGGATTTTAAAAAGATTTTTAAAAAGCAAAAGAAGAAAGTCGAAACACAAAAAAGACGAAGTTGATTGTGAGGTGAAAGACGAAACTGTCACATTTCTGTTGCGGATTATTTAAAAAATTGCGGACTGCAGCTGCGCAAAAATATTTTTTCTATGCGGACTGACTTTATTTAAAAAATATTTATTTATGATAATTTAAAAAAATAAATAAAAAATTACAAAAGCTTCAAATATATAAATATAATGCACATAAAAAATTAAAAAAAGGCTGAAAAAGTCTTTTAAAAAATTGTTTGAGAGATTTCTCCAAATTTTAAGTAATTGTTGTTGCTGAATTATTTAATAATTGTTCAAGCGCTTCTGCAGGGATTCCACCAACAGTACGGCTCTTTAAAATTAAGAGATTAATTGTTAATTGAGTGGTTGAACTTGAACAATACCGCTTAAACGACTGAGGCGGAACTTACACTTTAATGGCAAAATTTTGACATTAAAGTGGAAGTATAATGAAAGTTAGATGTTGTATATAAGTTTATATTTTTCTGTTATTATAATGTAGTGTTTAAAATTTGGAGGTAAATCAAAATAACTAATCAACCCTCACACTATGAAATATTCCCTTTTGATAGAAAAAATCATCTCTTATAATTAGATTTATCTTAAATTTCGAGTATCACTTAAAAGGCTTCCCTCCCCCTCCCCCCAATTCTTGTACCTGTACTTTTTTGTTACTCGGAATTGGAATAACTTGTTTACATTTTCCATTTTTATATTCCTCTACAAATTCACGAAGAACATCCTCACTAACATCAGGCTTGTCACAAATAGCTAAATGTCCAGCAAGCACATCACAAATTAATAAAAGAGGTAAATCTGCATTTTCTTGTCCAAGATTTTCCAAAACCTTTTTTTCGAATAAAAAAAAAATTTTTTTTTAATTTCAGAACAAATTTTGGAGGCGACATACTTTGCTAACACAAAAATTGGAGTAAAAATGTAAAATAAAAGCTCAGTTTTGGTACCCCCCCCCTCCCCACCCTCTATGTAAACAATAATTCAAGACTAGCACTTAAGATATCTCAGAACTAATGTGCAGTTTCCCCATAAGTCCCGGCCTTTTTCTAAAATGTTTAAGATGTCGAATCTCGATAAAATTGTAAACCTTTAAAATATTAACAAAAAAAATTTTTTCTCACATCATCACAAATAGGGTCCTCGCCAGTATAAAAAAATTGAAAAGGATCATTTCCCAAAGAATTTGCATTTTCTGAATTGAGCGAGCTTTAAAAAAAATAATTTTTTAAAAATCAAAAAAAAATTTTCTACATTAAATCTCCTTTTAAAGTATTTTTAGACTCATTTTGTTCGTCTTTTTGTTCTCCTTGTAATAAATTATCAATACAGGTAGTTAACAATTGAATAGAAAATTCAGTGTCTTCCGGTGAACCATCTAAATATACAAAAATATTTATTTCTAGATTTAAAAACAAGATAAAAAAATAAAAATTCGTTTTTAATTCTTATATCAGGAATCTAGCAACATAAAGAATAAAAAATTTCCGACCCAAAAAACGCTGGGAATTTTTTAGGAATCGGGTCTCCTGATTTCTATTCCATATACAGCCTCAACTCATTCTTAATTATCCCTTTAAAAGCTGAAAAATTGTATCTTATAAGGAAAGGACCAGCCAAATTTAAAACGTATCTTACCTTTGTTTTTCTTACAATTAAACTGTCCCCACCAAAAATTTTTATATAAATTTACCAGTAAATAAAATCAAAGAAGCCATTTCTGACAATCGATGGACTGTATGTTCAGTTAATTCATACAAAGATTTTCTTTCCCAAGGATACCCTAAAGGATCAGAAAGTAAAATATTTCTTCCATTACGTGAAATTAGTGAAAAATTTTCATCCTTAGTGAAAAATTTTTTCAAAATTTTTTTTTTTTACTTAAATTGAGAGAATCCGGGGTTATCCATAACCTAACTGTGGTGAAGCCTACTCGAGCCTATATAGAGCCTAATCAAATCAAAAATCAATTAAAATCCCGACAATGAAAAAAATTTTAAAAAATTCTGAAATTTCTATAATTTCTAACCCTTAACTAAAAAAATTAAAAAATATAAAAAAATACCCATTTAGCACCAAAAAATATTCCTTTAACTCCATTCCCAATTTTATCAAATTCAACATTTTCAGTCAAACCACCATCACCACAATTCTTTAACAACTTCATTCCTTTCAAAAATTCTTTCGGAGAAACAAATTGCCAAGGAAAATTTTCACAATTTTGATCATCAATTAAAGAATTATAGGCTTGTGAAATTATTTTGAGTTCTGAACAGTCGAGGACAAAAAGTGAAGGAGCTGTGACAAAATTGAGTGATCTCAAGAGACGAGACTGTTTTGAAGGGAAAAAAGTTTTTAGAAAAATTTTTGAAAAAATTCTTTGAAAGAAAAATGTTTAATGTTTAATTTTTGAGAATTGACATCTAAGGTGCCTAAACAAATAAAAATAATTTCAATTATTTTACTCGACTTAAGGTCAAGAATCTGGAAAAGGTTCCCAACCGAAATCAAGGTCAAGAATTTTAGAAAGCCCGCTCTCTAAAATTGATGTAAAATAGAGCAGAAGAAAGCAGAAAGAAAATTCGCTAAAAGTAAATAAAAAATTCCAAAATTCGGAAAAGAAACTTAAATTTAGAAAAATTCAGGTTAAATCCCCAATCCGTCCCTAAATCTTCTAAAAAATTAAAAAAGTATCCAAACCTTATATAAATAATTTTGTGGTGGAAAATGAAATAATTCAAAATCATTATTAAATTGAAGAAGATTTCCTCCTTCATTTACTAAATTAAATTCAACATCAATTCCAATTATTTTAATTTCTGTAAAGTTTAAAGAAACATTTTCTGTGCTACATTTTTTGCCGAGACCAAAAAGTTTTTTTAATTTGGCTGGAGAACTTCAAAAAAAAGAAATTTTAGAAAATAATTATTTTTTGTTGATATTTGTAGACTGAACGGGGGGGGGGGGGGGTTCTGAAATTTATTTATGTAGGCGTTACTACACCTATGGGTAGTGTCTCCCGTTTCAAAAAAAAGTGAAGGGTTCCTCAGTGGTTCCAAACAATTCTAATTTTCTGACGATCTATTCAAGTTATTTTTAAACTATTTTTAATTAAATTCAAAATTTTTTTGAGCTGGAAATGGAACCGTTAAAATGTTAAAAATGGGAAGGAACCGGAAACCTTAAGTAAATTCATAATTTTGTGTGTGGCTTTACTCTGTAGTAAAAATTTAAAAAACGATGGAAAGTATCAAAAAAATGTCCCAAAATTCCCCTCCCAATTTTGGTAATCCATACAAATATCCCCTCATTTAATATCCAAAAATTTCCACAAACCTTTTAGAAATTTTCTTTTTACCTTCTTTATTTCTACTAAAAACAAGTTTTTCCAATGCTTGTAAAAATAAAGGATTTTGTTGATTTAAATTACTAAAAACATAAAATAATAAATAATTGCAAGATTTAATTAATTCTCCAAAAGAATAAATTTCTTGTTTTGTTGGTTGTTGTTGTAATTCTTGTTTATTTGTTGGTGGTAAATATTTGACAATAATGGCACGTTCAAAAGAAGAAATATTTAACATTACTATTTAATAGCTAAAAAATTAAATAAAGAAAAGGGGGTTAGAGATGGAGAGGAGAGGGAGAAATTCTGAATTTTGTTTTTTAATTTTCAAAAAAATTTTTTGGTAGTTTTTGGTAGTCTTTGCGGACATGTTTATATATGCGAACACATAATGGTTAGCGAATAAATTGAAGAGAGAAGGGAAAAGTATAAATGCTCTGACCATTATGAGACCAATATGATTACACTCTGTTCCAAAAGTATATGCCCACCTATATTTTTAGCTTTATCTCTGTGATTTCGCTATAGATTTTTTAAAAATTTTTTATGATTAAATACCATGACATTTAGAAACAAAATACAAAAAAAATTTCAGAAATATGCGTTTTTGTTTTTTGTATAGAGATCAAAATCAAATATTAAGTGTTCCAAAAGTATATGCCCACCCTTGTTTTATAGGTTTTTAATAGTGGAAAAAATCCACAAAATTTTTTGTTAACATACCTATCAATATAGATAAGAAATACAAAAGAAATGAAGATCTGATGTTCTCCCATCATCGAGATCTTGAAACCCGAAAATCAACGGAAAACCGGGGGCAGACGTCTTTAAAACATATTTTCGACCCCTTTCAGGTAAAATAAAAATTTCATTTTGGGCTTATTTGAAAGCCCTTGAAATTTGCTACAACATAGCATTAATTTTATTTTTTGAAAAAAAATTAACCTTTAAGACAAAATGTGAAAAAAGTTCAAGTCGTAAAAATCACTCAAACGCCCCCAAAAAGTGATGAAAATGTAACTTATAGACTAAACTCATTATATATCAAGGATGAATTTTTTCTAGATTATGAGATAAAAACTATCTTGTAGCAAATTTCAAGGGCTTTCAAATAAGCCCAAAATAAAATTTTTATTTCGCCTATAAGGGGTCGAAAATATTTTTTAAAGACGTCTGCCCCCGGTTTTCCGTTGATTTTCGGGTTTCAAGATCTCGATGATGGGAGAACATCAGATCTTCATTTCTTTTGTATTTCTTATCTATATTGATAGGTATGTTAACAAAAATTTTTTGGATTTTTTCCACTATTAAAAACCTATAAAACAAGGGTGGGCATATACTTAAGGAACACTCAATATTTAGATTTTGATCTTTTTACAATAAAGAAAAGCAAATATTTTAAAAATTTTTTTGTATTTTGTTTCTAAATGTCAAGGTATTTAATCATAAAAATTTGAGAAAAATCTATAGCGATATCACATGGATAAAGCTAAAAATATAGGTGGGCATATACTTTTGGAACAGAGTGTATGTCGCATAAAATATCCGCAAAACTAATTTAGGATAACCCAAAAGTAAATACCATTTGACCCCCCATTTTTCCCAAATTCTGATCGAAAAAATGATAAATTTATAAGGAAAAAAACCTTTTAAGAAAAAATTTTTAATTTAAAAATAATTTAAATTTTATTCAAAAAATTATGTCAACAAAATTTTAAAACAAATTTTGAAAAATTTGAGAAAAATTCTTTTAATTAGAAAAATGCTCAATATTTAAAAAAAGATTTGATGAAAAGAGATGCTCTTTCATATTTTTCTTTATTTCCTAGCCTAAACTCGAAATAGTTTTTCAGGGTTTTTACAAAAAGGATTGACTTTTTTCCATTTTTTTCTATTTAATTACTGCAAGGAAATAAGGAAAAATATGAGGGCATACTACATTATTTCAGAGAATGTCAGATAAAAACTTTACAGGAAATTAGCCTTTTTGATACATTTCTAAAACTTCTTTAGAATCAGCAGAAAAAATTAAAAGTAAACGGAAAATCTTATTTTTAACCCAAACATTTTCAAATTTATACTCAACAAATTTACACAATTCCTTTACCTCTTCATTATTTTTCTTACATTCTTCACAATCTTCTTCGTTACATTCTCCTTCTTCTTCAATATTTTCGCAAATATGTTTTTGTTTAACAAAATTTTGTTCCTCTTTTATTATTTCACCTCTCACAGTTTTATCTAACAATTTGTTTAAAATATCGTAATATCCTAATAGAAGCCCTGGATATTTTTAAAAGGGTCTCATTGAGTGGACTTCTAATACGACATGGGCCAGGGGGCTAAGAGATGGGCTTCTATATACACTTTTTCGATCCGAAATTCGATATAAGAAATTTTCAAAAACCCAATCCGAAATCACACCTGATTTTTATCAATCCTCTGACCTGAAACCCGATGTTTTTAGGAAACCCGATTAGTGGGCACAACCAGGGCCTGCACTATAAGAGTTTGGTTCGTGGTAAGCAAGAAGAAAAAATACTAACATAAGCCTCTTATAGTACCAAATTACCACTCGGTTGAGTTAAATAACGGGGTCAAATGACCTGATTCTTATAGTACAGGTCCTGGTGTAGACACAAAAATAAAAAATATTTTTCACCTTTATCTTCAATATAAAATCCTTTAGGTTCAGATATCTTCACATGATGATAAATTAATTCAAAAGTAGTATTTGTATATCCATCATTAAGACAAAAAAAGTTTGTATAAAATACAAGAGGAGGAGAATCCTCAAAAAGTAAGTCAATCATTTTTGGATTTAATACAGTTTGTTTCATTTTAATAATTCCAAAATGACATTGAGAGAGGGTTTCAAGCCAGTAACGAACAAAAAATAATTCTTCAATATTTTTTGGATAACGTTTTAATTGTAAATGGAGAATTTTTGGTGGTAATTTGTTGTTGTTGTTGTCTTCTATATTTTTTAAAAAGAAATTAAAAGTTTTTGAGGAAATACAGAAAAAGTTTGGGTATGTGGACAAGTTGAGTTAGGCTAAAGCCGATATCCAGTCTTTTTTCGACCCTAAACCAGACCCAATTTTTTTCTCAATCCGACCCATCATTGATCTGATATCATATTTATGACAAAATTAGAAAAGAGATATGACGGCCCAATATAATTTTTCTTATGACATTATTTGAACAGAAACTTTGCATTTAACATGCCATAAACATGACACATCAGAAACTTCATATTATTTGGATAAGCCCCAGTTGTTTTAAGGACGAAAAGGGTGTGGGGCAAGAGCTTTACTTTTCTTTATTTATTTAAAGAAAAAGGGCTGAACTTTCTTATGCCAAAAAATTTCTAAAAAATTGTCAGAAAATTCAACAGCTCACCACTTACAGATGCTCTACCGTCTGAACTACCGGGGCTTTCATATATCTGCTCCAAAAAGAGAAACAAATTCACAGCTTCATCAAATCTGTGTTGATGAATTTCTTCAGGTTGACTAATAAATATAGGAATTTGTTGCTTTAATGCATCATTCCACTAAAAAAATCAAAAAAAAAAATTTTGAAAATTTAAAATAAAAACCTTTGCTTTAGTATCTGGATTTAATTGGAAATGTAAACTTTTAGATGGACATTTAACTTGTTTACAAACATCTAGTAAATTTAAAAATAATTTAATTATGTAAAATGTCTAATCGGCTCTAAATTGTTTGTTCTTCTACTTAAGTACCTCAGAAGTAAAAATAGTAAACTGACTGGGGAGGGAGGGGGGGAGGGTATAAATATCAGAAATACCTATGTAAATACCAGCCCATTCAATATAATTTCCCCAAAATTCTAATTAAACTCACAATATTTCCAATCAATCTCCAAAGCAAAAACCTCCTTCCTGGCCAATTCTGTTTTGTAACGGTCAACAATTCCACAAAAAGATTTATTTGTTTGTTGAATAACATTTAATTGGTTAAAATTTAGATATTTAAAAATATCAAGTTTAACTTCATTTGAAAGATTTTTCATTTTCCCTAGAAAATTTATGATTGAATAAAGAAAATCTAAGAATTAAAAAAATTAGAAGGCAATGACTGTATGACTGATTGTGAGTCATTGCCATTTGAATTACTAAGCCACATATTTCGATCAATAACTTTTTGGCCTTTCAACTAGTTCTAATAAATCTTGTCATTAAAAGTCCTGGGTATTTTTTCTAGCAGGATCCAGTACAATCATTCCTTTAAAAATAATAATAATCTCTAACAATCAAAATTCTAACAACAATTTATTCACAAAAAGTTCAGAATAAGGTAAATTATTAGACTATTATGAGTAATGAAGGGCGGGAAGTAAAAAATATTAGAATGCCCAAGTTTAATTTATAGATTAAGGAAAAAGTTTAAAGAAAACATAAGGGAGAATAAATTCAAATAACATTTTGAGGGAATGTTGTAAAATGCTAAGAAACAAAGGGGCATTTAAAATATAATTTTTAAGGGAATTATGTACATGCTGAAAAAATCGCTATTAGGGCTCGCCCTAGCCCCGAATCCGAGTTTTTCGTAAGGAAAACCCCGGATTTTCCGATAATAAAAATTAATAGAAGAATATCAAGTAAATGATTTGTGTAAAACAAAATTGTGATTCTCTACTTTTTAAGAAATAAAAAAATTGTATTTTCTCAACTTAAATTTAAAAAAATTAATTATTTAATTTTAAATTTTATTCAATAAATCAACAAATTTAAAGTAAACTAGAGAAACTACCCAACAAAAATATTAGAGATTAGAATTTTGGAGAGAATTGGAGAAAAAAGAATTTTGATTGAAAAACTTTAGAAAAGTCTAAAATTATTAATCATTTTTTGAGAAAGGGGAAAAATTACAAAAAAAAATATTTCTAATTTCTCTAGTTTTAAAGAAAAAAAATTACCTTATAATAATTAACAGAAACAATAAATACCTACAATTTAATCTCTACCAACAAGAATTTGTAAAACTTTCTTATCTTCAACAGAAATTATTAAAAGCATATGGAAAAGCGTATTTGGAACATAAATATTATGAAATTCATACTCAACAGATTTAAATAATTTTCCTTCACCTTTTGTAACAACATAACTATTATTATCCTTACATCCCTCACAATTTTCTCCGCTACATTCTTTTCCTTCTTTAATATTTTGGCAATTTTGTTGATCAATTTTAAGATATTTTTCTTCTTCCT